AACCAATGTAAGGGCAGGTATGTTTCTTTTAAATACATGTGTGCAGAATGGGAGTACCTGTCAACTGTGTTGTGTAAAATCAGTTGAGGCAAAATTTTAGGAGCCATTTGGAAAAATATATCATTTTTAGCATTGAAACTCCTGAAATTCTATGTGGTTCGCAGAAACAACATAGCTGCCTTTCAGAACCAATGAAGAATGTCATCCCTGACTTTTGCTTTTTTTATGATACCATTTATATTACCATTTTATATTCATTGTAGGTAGTTGCTCAATGTGATCACTTCATTTTGTTCATATTTATTTTTTCTGATCAGTTCTTGGTCCGTCACTGATGCCTACAAGTGCCAGCACACACTCACATGTTCTCTCAGCCATGAGGCTCCCTACGATACAAGAGTGATGTTAGAGAGGGCCCTCTCCTAGTCCAGTGTCAGTGTTCTGTATGAATAGTGGTGATATGACAATCCTTCTGTGTAACTTAGCCCATTTATTCCTTTTGGAACCAAGTCTTGTGATTGAGATACCGGACAGTTTGACTTTGACCTGATAAAACCTGTTGGTACTGGAAATAAGTCTGACACTATCCCCTCTTGAACGTCTAATGAATCTTGTATGTTTGTAGAGGCCCAGTTGGTAGTGTGTTTGCTTCTCACACAATCTGGGTTCAAATCCACATGTGCAGCACAGGAAGTCCATTCATGTTTCCCTTCCTGTGATATTGTAACATGTTTACTGGAAATGACATGCATACCTGGCTCACTAGCATTACTTATTACCTCAACCAAAATTCTGAAAAAAATATTTTGAAATTGGATGAATATCCTGAAATGATTGTAAAGGTGCTATGTGAGTAGATCAAGAAATCCATGTTTCCATGTTTTCAAGTGTTTTTTTGTGTTAATATCAGCTTAACAGACACCTTTATTTGGATTTCCGAAGTGGTACAGTTATTGTATGAAACATTTGCATATTTGTCCTAGTCGACATGTTGTGATGTGAACGCTTGCAAACAGCTTGACCATGTAGTGGTTGGTCACATCTCAACCAGTACATTGTATATTACGTATAAGTATTATTCATGGCATAATGGTTTTAATCATCTTGTGTGCAATCAGAGTATTCAAGTGCTACTTTATTGAATGATCCTTCCACGTGTATGAATGTGCATTTGATGTTATCAAGACATAATTATTCAGTTTCTAAGAATACTTTAAACTAGGATGTATTATCAGGGATAGAATCAGTGTTTCATGAGGTACTGACAGGCTTCTTAAATATATTACTCAAAAGTAGTTAAGAACCACCTGATTCTTTCATATTACTATGGTAATATGTTATGATCTGAAAGTTTGAAGTCTGCCATGAGCAATTGGTTGTTGAGAGAAGTCCAGTTGTGTACTTTTAATTGATCTGTTCCTGGAAGGTTACTAAGGCTTAAAAAAATACAAGAATTGGTTCTCAGGGAATGTCTTTTGAAAATATATTGTGGGTTGGCAGTGTTTTGTTTTTTTTCTTGTTCAAACTAGTATGTAACCAAGTAACCAGGTGTGTAGCAGTAGAGCAGTGTGCATGTAAAGGGAAGTAACTGCATGCTATATTGGATCGCATTTTTTTAAGTATAAGAAATATTTATTTATTTTTTAAATGGAAATGAAAACTAAACATGCTGCAGACTTTATGATGATGCGGGTGGTGCCTGAGAACCAAGATTTTTATTTTTTTTAGCTGAAGTTGGACATTTTCCCTGTCCACAAATTGATCATCAGAGTGGTGTATGTATACAAAAGAAGTTAAAGTACACCCACAGTTGGAAGGCTGTGTGCAATACCCACCAGCCATGACAGATTAACTATAGTCATATGAAAATGTTGAGTGCTCTTTAACTTCTTTTGAATGGCATATCTGAAAAAATGAAATCCAACTCATCGTAACTTAATCAACTCAAATTTCCCATACATTTTTTTTTGCCAGGTGTTGCTATGTGTAGCTTGGTAAAGGAATCTGATGATGTTGTGGTAAATGTTCAATGCTATTTACATTTACTAATCTAGGTGGTGTGAATGGATGTGTGGGTTGGAGGTATGGTTGGGACAAGTCCAAATTTACTACCTGGGCACTCGGCCCTCTCCGGGTACCTGCTGTGCATTTAAAAGTTTCAAGGGTTGGGTACAAAATGTCCAATTGTGAACTGTTTTAACGGAGCCCTGTCAAAAAGTATTAAGAAACATTTATAATATCTGGTCATGCATAGTCAAGTCATCTTTATTCAAACATATAAAAGTTGGAAGGAATACGTGGAGTCCGAAAGAAATGTGGACATTAGTGACTCATGGTGTAACTATCGAGTTATTGTGACTTTTGTTGTTGTCATTAACAATACATGTATATCATATGACTAAGAACAGGTCCTGTGGGTACCCAGGTCCAACCCTAGTACCCATCTCAGCCCTAGTGGGAGAGTGTTTAAATTCTATGTTACTTCCACAGAATCTGTAAATTTGACTTTTGATATAATTCAATGCATGTACATGTATATTCCTCCAGTTCTGTTTTATTATTCCAGTTATTTGAGAATTTTGACACCAAAGCCAAATGTACTGGATGAGCTCCAAGTATCCAACATAAACACCATCAGAAACAATGAACTTTCTTGAAAGTTTTGTCTCAAATATTTCAACATATATGTTTACTTTCTTAGTGTATTAAATTGTAAATTTCAAGGAATGAATTATAATGGTTAGATAAAAATGTTACTAGTTAGGTTTGAAATTGGTTTCTGTGTTTATTACTTGTTCTGGTAAAGAGCGACATTATGACTATATTCACTGAAAAATTGAAACCATTCTACATTTTCACTTGTAATTGTTCCATAAGATACATCTTTGATACTTTGAAAACCATCAAGCAATGTTATAAGAGATGAGAATTTCATATTAACATGGCTAGGTTGGTATATTTGTTTGGCCATAAAACAATCTATACAGTATCTTTGTTCAGAGAGATAGTCCTTTGTCTAAAAGTGATTATTAGTGGGGAAGCGAGGATTGTGAACATTGATATTACGTGTATATTTACATCCTTTGACCATATTGTTTACAGGTCTTTGTGTTTACGTATATTGTAACAAATCTTTTTATGTATTAAAGGTATAAACCTGTACTGAAGAATGTCTTGGTATTTTTATTGTAATGCGACAGATTACTTCTTGGGTTTACGTCCTTACTGGTAAAAAGTGTGTACAAAAGACCAGCATTCCCATAGAAACTTTGGTACATAATGTTGAACGTGTGAATGAAAACTTGACAAGTTTATGTAGTACCTACAGTCATGTGATTCAAAGACAACAGTAAAATTGAAGCTACAAAACCAGAACATTTTTAGTCCACTAGTACTTATAATAACATATAGTAAAACCCTAAAAAATGGCAAATTTCTACTAGTATACTTTACCGTAACTATTGGGCAAGGACAAGGACACATTTCTAATGCTGAAAACCTTTTTTTCCAGTTATTATATCGAACTTGGGGGAAAAAAGACAGATGAAAGGACATAACTAGACTTTCAACAGAAATATCACATGCCTGTAGTTATACAAAACCCTAGCTGGATTGTTAAGTTAGACACATCTGTCTGTTGTAGGACAGCTACTGTAGAACCTGGTATAATGCTGATGAAACTTCAACTTTCTACATATCTAATAAGACACCAGTATCATTCTGGACTTTCTCCCTGAATGTATTCGTTATATGAAAAAAGTCCAAAATCAGCTGTGGACCAAGTTGGAACTTCTCATGGTGCTGATACATGAATCAACACCACATTCTATATGTATGTGGAAATTCAGCAATTCATGACCTAAACTTTCACATTCATACCCGGTAACTGGAAAAGGAACTTTTCATTAGTTCTTTCATGTTTAAAAAAGAAAAGAAACAGGGGTGTTCATTATCGAGCAAAATTCTGAGACTACCAAATTGCTGGTATAAATCAGAACATGGTAGTTCTCAAAATTTGTTTCTTCATGCATATTAAACGGGAGTCAAGACATCATAATTTGGCCAAGAAACTGAACTTGAGCCTCAGGTATATCATTCTGATATCTTTCAATAACCATCAAATGGCCAATTTCCGTCCACTGATTTACCCACCTGAATTAGAAGTCAGTGCAACCGTCTTCTCTTTCATACTTAGATCTATGCAGAAAAGATTCCACAAGACTGACCAGAGGGATGACTTCAACTTTGCAATACATGTAGTTAACTTTTCCTTTGTGTTGTGAAAGATTCCAGCAGCTCAAACCTTTTTGGGGTCAACATTCACCACTTCTGAGGTACAATGGAGCATGCTCTTTCTACCAAGATTTCAAAGAAACGTTTAGGACACTTCTAAATTTGTTTGAGCAAGGCCTCAGTTTGTTGTTTAACGCCATGCTCAGCAATATTCCAGCCAACTGATGTCAGTCTGTAAATCGAATCTGGACCAGACATTCCACTGATTGACATGAGCTTCGACCCACACTATTGGGATATAATGACATGCATTTGCCAAGTCAGCAGGCCTGACGACCAAATAACGTTAGTTGCCTTAGACAAGCATAGTCACCTTTTAAAGCATGTAAAAAGGTTTTATGGTGGACATTTCCAAGTGACGTGTCAGTGACAAAATGACATCCAATGCAATTCCCTATTTTGACTTGTACTATATATTCCCCATGTGTTTGACAGGTGCCATTGATGGGGCAGGATATGCTTACCTTTCCTGAACACCAGGTGTCAGTACCATTTGATAGTGATTCATTAACACATGCTCACGACAGTCAGAATCGGTCAATCAACTATTTTAGCAGAGACAGATATAGAAAGGGTTTTGTTGCATTTATTCAAGTCCTGAGAAAACAGTTCACCGGGTTTAGAAGCTTTGGATGTGGAAAGTATGGCCACAATTTGCAATGTCAGTTCTGTGTACTTGCGATTTGTAAGAAAATAACAAGAAAACATTTAAGAATAATTTTTTTTATTCTCAACACTGCTGACAGGGCCATAACATTGTGGCTGCCCTCAGCATTTACGGTTGAGCTTATTTTTTCTTGCCACCCTTGCGTCCTTTCTTGGAAAGACGCTTGGTCTTGGCAGCAGCGGCCCTGCCCTTGGGCAACTTCTCAATTGGGGCTTTTATCTGAAATAATATAATTGTATGATTTTAACAATGGCTTAAGTTCTAAGCAAAATCAAATATGCAAACTAATGCAGCATCTAGCAATGTTCCAGCAATGACGGAAGTCAATAGATAACTGAATCTGGACCAGACAATCCAGTGAATGACATAAGTATCCATCTTTTGTTTGTTGTTTAACAAACTCAGCAATATTTCAGCTATATGATGGCGGTATGTAATTATCAAGTCTGGAACAGACAATCCAGTGATTGACATCATGAGCATCAACCAAGTCAACGAGCCTGACACCCGATCCCGTTAGTCGCCTCTTTCGACAAGCATAGACCTATTCTACTCTGGATCTTCACGGGTTGAGCATCCATCTACACAACTGGGATACAATGACATGTATCAACCAAATGACCTGCCACAGACTTTCCCACCAAAATGAAAGTGGTAGTCAACAAGGAAATACACACTTCTCAAGAGTGGTTGGCTTCCTTAAATTTCGAATCCTGACTGAAAACTACTTTGAAATTGATGATCACTACGTGGACGTGGAAGCAGGATTCGGTCATGACTTCCAGTGACAAATTCAAATGCCTGGTGTAGAATGCTCTACTATATTATAGGGCTATTATAACAATATTGGAGTCAGAAGTGATTAATGTTATATTCAGGTATTTCAAATAATTCTGTGAAAGTTCTAAATTCTTCCAGCAGAGCCAAACCACTGAAAATTCTTCGAAGTTTGAATACAACACAAAAGGCGCAGGTAGACTTACCCCACGTTTTTTGTTGAGAATTTCTTGTTTCTTGCGCCTACGAACAGCTTCAGTGTTTGCAGATGCCTTCTTCTGGACTGCAGCGTAGGGGTTAAGTCGAACCATCACACGGTAGTTCTTCAATGGATTCTTCTTCAAAACTCTCCTGTCTGTATCATGCCTACAAGTGGGAACGTACAAAGAAATAAACACCAAATCATTAAATTGTGTTCTTGTTTGTTTAGTGCCTCAGCCATATTTCAGCTATTTGAAGACAGCCTATGAATAATCAAATCTGGACCAGACAATCCAGTGATCAGTAATATGAGACGATCCATGCCATTTGAGGAAGATGCTATGCAATCAAACAAGCCTGACCAATCCATTATGTCTTTTGTGACTAGCATAATCTGCTGGCTACCAGTTCTAACCGGTTCCCCATGTGATAGTTTGAGACATTTCAGACACATTGAATCTAATTCGCTGGAGAACAGCCCTTGGAAAGCACCCAGTGAACTTACTTGGGAGCCCTGACAACAGACTGGATCTCGCTGCTTCTCAGGAGTCGGGACAGGTCTGTGTTGTTCATCACTGGCATGGGCAGGCTGAAACAAACATGCATATAGAACTCGATGCTTACTAAAGCATGGCATTGTGATAGATTCACTTTTACAAGGCAAAATCAGAAGTGGTTATAAGTTAATTTTCATAATATTCAACAACACGGACCAAAGACATCATCATATTTTGCCTATAATGAAACTGGTTTGTCAAAATGACTGAAGGAGCACCATTTCCTCTGTATGTGGAAAAACAACTCACTTGTAGTTGTTTTTGATAGATGAAGGTTTGCGCCATGTTCCATAAAGACTGTCCAACTTTTTCAAGGCTGATTCAGTCCACACACAGAATCTTCCCACGTGACCACCAGGTGCTATTTTCAGAAGATTCAACCTGGCAACGTTGATGAGAGTGACACCTGAACAAGAAAACCAAATAGTATATGACAAGGCTGACAATGAAGCAAGCATTGGTCTACCAATAAACAGTGAATATCATGAATATAGAACTGTCATCAAGGCAAACAACATTAAGTAACATAGTATTTAGGAGTGGAACAATATCTCAAACTATCGCAATTGTTCGCTTTCCGAGAGGGTACTATATCGATAGGAATTCTAAAAAAATGGCAATAGCATCGTTGATAATAGGCACACTTATCGTAGTCTAAATAGTAGCAATTAGTTAATACTTATATCATGCTAATTTCTAACCTGGATGGTTGGCAAGGATTGCAACAACTTCAGACTAGAGATACTTTCCTGACGTTTGAGTAGTGACAGGGAGGAACATGTATGACCTTAAAGTTGGTTTATTGCTATAGCAATACTATTGCAAAACAAACGCAATAGTGTGAACAACCCCATTAGTCAATCCAATTCACATGCATGAACAGACGTCTGGCCAATAGAAGACGACCAGTAGTTGTTCTATTCCAAAACTTACTTATTTTACATAACCACCAGTACGAAATGAGATGCGGACTAGTTGGATATGGCCAATGGTGTGCACCGCAATCATCTAACCCACATTTTATGATGCAGATCAGTCTAGCCGTTAATATCTTGTCAATATCTTCATTTTTTCCCAAAGCACTAATTACATTTAGAACTGGACTGGAACCTTCACAATGTTCAAAATGTTCCCATCCATGCAGACTCAAGGTATGTTTTTTTTTGCACAAATACGGGTGAAGTTTGCTAAAAGCGTAAACACCAGTAGTAGCTGCAGCTACTTAAACATGCAGTGGGGACGTATTGATATCTTAACATTAGTCAACAAGGTTGATGCAAAATATGCAAGTCAGACTTAGAACCAGTCGTTGAACTTGACGGTACACACTCCCTCACAACTTCCACCTGCAGACATACACACCTGGGATGTTTCTGAAAGCTCTGGAGATACCATTGTCTTGGTTGTATATGACGAGAGGACCCCTGCGCTGGACACGTCGCCTGTTCCTCATTTTTCCCTTGCCAGCACGGAACCGCTTGGAACTGTATACCTGGTGAAGAGAAATGGTTTTAACATAAATGGAAGCAGGAACAGGGCAAGGGCGGCAACATGATGGACGGCAACATGATAAAAGGCCAAAACATGAAAACAAATGTGACAAGTCAGAAGTGGTAAGGTTTTTTTTCAAATAGTTCAACAACACGGACCAAAGACATCATCACTCTTGGCACATTGTCTGTAAAGCGATTTTTCACTTCACTAAATTTGTAGTGCTAAATGATATCAAAAGCTCATACTGGTGTAAGTTGGGTTGGGTTTAACGCCACTTTTATTAGTATTCCAGTTATATCACCGTGTGCCAGCTTAATGTGGGAGGAAAGCTCGAAGTGACGCAGGTCTCGGACGATTACCACTTCGGTGAAACCCACGAGCATGGGTATGGTGCTGACAAACCTAGAAACATAATCGGGGTGAACTGGGAATCGAACCCACAATCATAGGTTTCTGGCGTGTCCAAGGGACGCAACTCTGCACAGCGAATTGCGGCGCCTTAGACGACTGGGCCACCGCCACCCGTGGCCTCACTGGTGTAACTAACAAATACTTAATGCATCACAGTACATGTGACTGTCTAATACTGATTTCATGCAAAAACACTTAATCAGCTAATGAAACGACAAATAAAACAACCAATGAAATATTTTGTGTTAACACTAAGGAAATATGTAATCCTGAAGCCATCTATGAAAAGCGTATAAAAAATTGATGGAAGACAAAACCTTTTATCAAATGAAAACTATAAATAGCAATTTTGCTAATTTGAGTGAGTGAGTACGGTTTTACGCCGCTTTTAACAATATTCCAGCAATATCAGGGTAGGGGACACCAGAAATGTTTGCTAATTTGAAACTTTTGACTTGCTTTCTGAATGTCTGTCCAGGCTTTGACCCTCTTGAGAAGTCCGACTGCCTCCTTCGTCTTCTTGATCTCCTCCACTTTGTCACTCACGACCAGTGGTACCTCGGGGATTTCCTCGATGCGGTGACCTGCAATGTGAATCATAAATTATCACTGATAGTAGAAACTATCTGCTACAAAATGATCTGAACCGGGTTAGAATTGGTCTTCAGCAACTCATGCTTGTCGTAAAAGGAGACTATGCTTGTCGTAAGATGTGACTAATGGGATCTGTTGGTCAGGCTCGCTGACTTGGTTGATTCATGTAACTGAATCCCAACTGTGTAGATTGATGCTCATGATATCAATCACTGGATTGTCTGGTCCTGACTCGATAATTTACAGACTGTCATCAAAGAGATGAAATATTGCTGAGTGCGGTGTTAAAAAACAAAGTGATCCATGTCTCACGTCTATCTGCTGACATGGTGTACTCAAGCCCTCAAACAATTTTGAATGGACACTGCAGGTCAACTTTGGAAAGGGGGAAATAAATGTTACTAACAGATTCAATATTTATACAGCAAATATGACAAAGTCAGAAGTGGTTAGGTTTTTTTTCAGGATAATCAACAACACGGACCAAAAACATCATCATCCTCTGTACATTTGCTGTATTTGAAGTGAAACATTCGTCTGATCAGATTGAGATACAGATCATATGTACCCTGCTGGGGAGTCGGGGCATTACATAAATCCATCTTTTGGAACCACAACATATATATAGCTGACACTAAACTCTGGATATGAATTCCTTCAAGAAAAATTAGCTCCATCACATAAGTCTGTTTTGTTTGTTGTTGTCAGGAATAAGTTCAGAGGCCTGTCAGTAATAAACAAATCAGTGTTTGATATTATGAGCAACACCTCAATGTCACCAAGTATGACCACATCATCTCCCCTTTCAAGCAAGTGCTTGGACCTTGTCTTACTCTTAAACCAGGTATCGTAAATCATGACCCTTGGAGGATGACCAATCCACAGTCAGTGGTAGAAACTAACCATTTTAGTCCACTAGTCCTTATAATGATAACATATAGCAAACCCCTTAAAAATGGCAAATTTCTACTAGTCCTTATGATACCTTAACTATTTGGCAGTTTGGCAAGGACTATAGGACTAGAGCCAGTTTCTAACGCCGACGGTTGGTCATGTCAGATAGGACACTGCTCGAAATTGTTAGTATCTCTTGGCTCGCACAGGATACTGAGGGACTACTTTTGCAAATGAATTCCATCATAAGATTTGTATGCACATTACTGTTAGGCACGTTAACAGCAAACTAACACTGGGACATACCACTCATTTGGCATTATCACCCCATTTCGGAGCTGCTTGTACCAAATAAGCAAGGAAATATCATAAGTTAACCAGAAAAGAAGGAATATCACTTGCTTACCATTGAATCATTACTTTACAATGTGGACATCATGGCAAGTTCATTTTTACTACTGTTTTGAGGGAAATCAGTTCTCCATAGCAGGGTGTTTCAGACTTATTACCATCGCTACTAACCAAACAAGATTTAACACTGTAATACAGCAAAGGTAACAGTCAGAAGTGGGGTTCAACGCTAAGAATGTAAGTGAAAAAATTTACAACTCTAATTCATGACTGCTCATTAATCTATAACTTTTTTTATTAAACCAAAGACCATTTTAAAGTTAACGCCACCAAACACTTAAGTTTGTTTTGTAACATCGCACTCAGTGATAATCCCAAAATATGATGGCATCCTGTAAATATTTAAATCAGGACCAGAAAATCCAGCAGTTAATATTGTGAGAATTATGGTACGAGGACACACCATCAACCAAGTCTCCAAGATTGACCACCCGATCTATTTGGTCGCCTCTAATGACCAGCATAGCTGCTGGAGATCTGTTTTCAATCAGAATCCCCTCTCGAAGACTAAGTTGATAGATCAAGGGAGATACATCGCTTCAGATGATATTCACTATACAAGACTTATTTAACATATAGAGTTACCTAAACTTGGAACAATTTAAGCATTGCGAACAGCAAATGTAACAAAGTCAGAAGTGGTTAGGTTTTTTTTCAGGATAATCAACAACACGGACCAAAAACATCATCATTCTATGTACATTCGCTGTATGCCTGTAGTACTAGTGGTCGTGCATTTTAATTGAAACATGGTAGTTGCAACCGAGTACTTGTCCCCACTCACAATGTCAAGATGTCATCTCTGAAACTGTCTGAGGAACTTGAATGCTGTGGTCACTATAACAAGATTAGAGCCTGCAGATGACCAGTGCATGATGGAATGAGCTTACATCCACACTGTTGGCCATGATGTCCAGTCACATCCTCAGCTTTAGAAATTGGCACTAGTCCTATAGTCCTTGCAAAACTGCCCAATAGTTAAGGTATCATATGACCAGTAGAAATTTGCCATTTTTTTAGGATTTTGCTATGTTATATTTATAAGGACAAGTGGACAAACAGTTTCTACTGCTGATCCTTAGTTCAGATATCTTGTGTGACAAGCCTAATGATGTTGGGGACCTTCATTTGCCAATCACGCCATTTGTGACCGATAGGATTTGCGTACATTGATTACTTGCAATATTTGATTTCATTTACTAGGAGTTAATTGTCCTTATATTAACAAATCCTTCATTTTATTGGCCTATGGACAAATCCATATACTAACTGCTTGAACAAGTTACCACAGCAAATGTAACAAAGTCAGAAGTGGTTAGGTTTTTTTTCAGGATATTCAACAACACGGACCAAAAACATCATCATTCTCTGTACATTCGCTGCATGTGTGTAATAGTTTTAAATTTCATATACCATTTCAGGTGGTTTTTTTGTAACCAACTTCAGGTTTGTTGTATAACTCCACACACAGCAATATTCCAGCTTTAATAATGATGGCAGCATGTAAATATTGAGTCTGGACCAAACAATCCAGTGATCAATATTGTGAGCAACAATCCACATTAGGTTACGAAGACATGCTGTCAACCAATTCATCTGGGACAACTACCCGATCCATTTTGTTTTGCCTCTTACGACCAGCAGAGGATGACGGGGACCTATTCTCAATTCCCTTAGGAGACTACTGAAGTGGATGACATTCAACCCACTACTTAGGCATGAGACTATTCAATATACAAGGCTTACTTAACACAAAGCATTAACTGTACTCCGAACATGTCAAACATTGCTAACAGATAATGTGTGAACACAGCAAATGTAACAAAGTCAGAAATGGTTAGGTTTTTTTTCAGGATATTCAACAACACGGACCAAAAACATCATCATTCTCTGTACATTCGCTGCATGCGTGTTGTAGTCTTATATTTCAAGTGCTTGTTTTAAACCATATACCATTTAAGGTTTTTTTGTAACCAACTCCAAACACACTTAAGTGTGTTGTATAATGCCACACACAGCAATATTCCACCTTTAATAATGATGGCAGCATGTAAATATTGAGTCTGGACCAAACAATCCAGTGATCAATATTGCGAGCAACAATCCACATTAGGTTATGAGGACATGCTATCAACCAATTCACCTGGGACGACTATCCGATCCATTTTTTCGCCTCTTACGACCAGCATAGGATGACGGGGACCTATTCTCAATTCCCTTGGGAGACTACTGAAGTGGATGACATTCAACCCACTACTTAGGCATGAGACTATTCAATATACAAGGCTTACTTAACACAAAGCATTAACTGTACTCCGAACATGTCAAACATTGCTAACAGATAATGTGTGAACACAGCAAATGTAACAAAGTCAGAAATGGTTAGGTTTTTTTTCAGGATATTCAACAACACGGACCAAAAACATCATCATTCTCTGTACATTTGCTGTATGTAATAATCTTGCATTTCAAGTGAAACATGAACTAAATCTGACATATGTAAGTGGCATTATCATATGACACCCACCCTTGGACATGACAATTGCTGGGATGGCTGTAGCAGCAATGGCGGAACACATGGCATAGCGGCGCTGGTTGATGTTGATCCTGCGGTGCCAGCGTCTCCAGGTTTTGGTAGGAGCAAACATGCGGCCTCCTCTGCACATGTTGCCAAATGCACCCTGGCCAGACCTGTGGGTACCGCCACCTCGAACACGAGGAATACGAGCGACGGCACGGCCAGTACCCCATGACTCAGCAGAGGTCTGGTGGCCTGTAAAGGGAAAGGAAAACATCTATTACTGCATTTTGAGAATGTTATGTCATGCTGTAAAATGTTCTGAAGTTGGGTAAAGAAACTTATGAAATGTACATTTTCTTAATATTTATGAAATTAATGTGCCAAAGAGCACATAATAATGTGGCTTAAAATGTGAAGAAATCAATGCCCTTTCCCTATCATCAACTGTTGGACCGAGCCATTTTGTTATAGGCAACATCTAGGGGATTATCTGTGCAATCCTTCATATAGTTTGTTGTATTAACATGATTAGACGTCTGACTGACGGCACATTTGATTAATGGGAGGCCACATTCAACTAACCAGCTTTCTCTGAAACTGCATATGGGTGTCTTGTGTTCATGAGCATCTGGAAGTGCACAAAGTTGACAATATCCGGCCTGACGGGAGCACGGAAGACTGCTGGGAGAGTGACATTGGTTCCAGAGGCTTCTCCCTTCTCTGTGTACACCGATATAAGCGGTCTTGAAGCAGCCTGTAATGTATTGTTAATTTTGTTTAGCATCAAGTTAACAAAAATGTAAAAGTAAGCATAATAGATTCAATAATGTATTGACAGTTTCGCACTAACGGGTAGAATGTGTCTCACATGAGGGAATGCCTGCGGAATCACATTGTACTGCTTCGCTCGTAATATTGGAAATCCACTGATTGAATGTGAAAATTAAGGAATATTGTGGCAATGTTTACATCTCCATTGCAAAACCATTTAACTTTACGTACAACAAATACTTTAACTAAAAATGCACTTTATACAAAACGGGTCTAAAAACATCAACAGCCGCCAAGGGCAATTCACTAGCCTTACAAAAATACATTTACAAAGGGAAGATATGTCTGTACAAAAGATGAATGGTTTGGGAGCCGGGGTTATACACATTTTCACCATATTATATGTGTTTTGGGTTCTGAAGGAGTTCGTGAAAGCCGGTGCAAAGTCAGCACACTGAGTTTAGTCGAACGTGATGCAAGTGTGAATTGAAGATCACAGTCGACACTGCTGCGACCAATAAATTGGGGTCTTTCTTATTCGTGATTAATGAGGGTGTTTATTTACAAATTCGCTTCAAAACTAACAAGTTGAAATGACGGCGGCCATTTCTAGGTCCACGTGCGCATATGGCAGGCAAGTTACGACTATTCATAGTAGAACGCTGTGAAACCCTAAACAGGTAATATCATACAGATATGAAAACTCAAGCGTCTTAGTCGCTGGTAGCTTGGGTATTGCTGTACTTTTTATTGGGCATGATACGCAAAAAACAATTTACCATGTTGGTTGATTTCACCCTCGTGTCTACCACGATTGGGGTTTAGCGGAAAAAGGATGATAGTAGGTGCACGGCGGAAGGATATTGGTGAAATCTATATATGTCAAAATCATGCAACATTATTCCGCTATTCTGGTGAGTTGCTTATTTACACACCTAAACGGGTCATAATAAAGCTGATCTATGTTTCTGTGTCAGTCTAATGTATCGAGTATTCCCCTAATATTAAGAACTATATTGTATCTCTTGCGGATGTATTCAACATGCTTGTAGCCTTTGTGTGCTGCTTTCCGCACCACTATTTGTTACAATCCGGACAACATTTAGATCTCTCTTACAGACAATATGTAATTTATGTTTATTTTTAAAAACAACAACACCCTCATCACAGCCCTATAATCCGATATATTCACCAACTTTTCAGCTTAGTTAATTAAGAGACTTAGGGGTTCCTTTATCGAAGTAATTTTATAAATGTATAACTTTATTTCAGGGACTAAGCAGTTAGCCCCCAATAATAATTATTTTAAAGTAGTTCAAAATAGATTTACATATCTTACATATCTTTACGACAACTTAATACAAAAAAAAACATTAAAGCTTTGACACTCTCTTCAGTGTGCTCAAAGAATCGTTCTCTTTTTAACAAAAACAAAAACAACAACAAACCCATTTAACCAAAAGGCAGACGTGTTATCTGGTTGACTATCCAAAACTTATATTGAAAGAGGTCTTCCAAATTACAATACTATGAATGTATTTTTTTCCGTCAAGTGTTGATTATTTGCTCCAACACAATATCAAAAGTTAATACTAGTTGTAAAGAAACTAAGACGTTAATAAAGTTTGTCAAGGGAGATAATTTGTCATTTACCGCCAGGTACAAACTTGTTATGGTGGAAAGATAGAGAAGTAAGTGACAGTCAGAGCCATGCTTCACGAAGTTCTTCTTGCCTTGACAGGACATTGTGGTGGTGTTTTTAAGGACACTGGAGATGGAATAAAAGTGGGTGGAACATAACTGTTATGTTAATGATTTTGAACAATTCTTAATAATGCTACATCTAGCCCAAGTTTGGCCTAGTGTATTGATAACTTGTCATTCGATCAAGCTGTCAATTTGTATGTTCATTATGAAGTCATTTCAGTCTTGTAAGAGTATTAGAGTTAGACCTGAGAAAGTCATTACTATTATGTTAGAAGATTATTTCAGCAATTATATTGTATATTGTTGTTGTTCATGCTACAATGACCAAATCAACTACATTGGTAGAAACGGATGGTACTACTGCAGAGATCATCCTCACGAGAAGTTGTGGTACTATATTCTAAAGGTGCTACCATTTCTGTTTGTTGTTTAAAGCCGTACTCAGCAATATTCCAGCTATATGACGGCAATCTGTAAATAATCGAGTCTGGACCAGACAAACCAGTGATTGACATCATGAGCATCAATCCATGCAACTGGGATCGATGACATGCATCAACCAAGTCAGCGAGCCTGACCACCCGATTCCGTGAGTCGCCTCTTACGACAAGCATTAACGTTTTTAGACTACTAGTCTTTATAATGATAACATAGCAAGACTCTTAAAAATGGCAAATTTTATGATACTGTAATTATTGGGCAGTTTGGCAAGGACTACAGGACTAGCACCATTTTCTAACTATCATTTATAATGATTCATCTTATCATTGATTCATGATTATATATTGAGAAGTAACTCTCAAACTGTTGATCATTGCATCACCTGAGGAAAACCCTTCACATCTATCAGTCAAAACAACATTTTCTTTTCTCAGGTTTTGGAAGACCTCCCATTTATCCACCCATCTGAAGTGAACGTACTGAACCATCTGTGTCGCTTAGGCACCTTGTATAGAGGGTTCAAGGTGTTTATTCACAAATATGGATCAACTCTAAGCTTCCAAAATGCAGGTAGGCTTTGTTTGTTTGTTTTGTTGTTGTTTAATGCTGCACTCCGTATTGTTACAGCTATATCAGTCTCTAAATAATCAAGCCTCGGTCAGACAATCCTGTGTTTGTTATCATGACCATTACTCCACGCAGTTGGGATACGATAAACCAACCCAGTCACCGAGTTTGACCACCCTGACCACCCAATCCATTTAGTTGCCTTTTACAACAAGCATAGGTTGCTGGGGACTTGATGTGATGTGACGTGAAATAGGGTTTAACATAGCGTTCAAGATTGTTGCACTTATATATAGTAAGACTGTATTCGCACTTTGTAAGGTAGAAATAGATGAAGCCAGGTTAAGCTTCCTCGTTTCCAATTGGAAATTCATCTAGAAGGAATTTAACAGTAACAGCTTTCCTTGGTTGAGGAATCAGTAACACTGTACTGCTCCAATTTTACTGTCCAATATCTGCTGGTCGATAATACTTAGCTACCATTCATGCTTTCATAGTGTTCCACTGAAGTCTGTTGCTGATTTTTCACCAGCCTTCGTAAGTGCAGTAACATGATATCATGGAAATGTTTATACACGTTTCTACCTTTGAATACAGCCAAATCTTTGCCTTTGAATTGTATCTATGTATCAGCAACCAGCGGATATCAGATAGTAAGCGCAGCACAGGACATAGCTACGACTTCGCAGTTAGCTTTCCTTGTCTATGGTATCTGTAGTGACCACTGGTAGACCATACATTTGCAGTTCATGGACAATTTGAGAGGATAAATGCCATTTCATTATGGACTTTTTTACATCATGTTGCTATTAACTGATAGAATAGTCAAGAAGATCATGGAAAGCTTTGAAAGAGTTATGATAAGTTGTTCTGATAACATGTAAACACTTGCCGTGAACACACATTAACTATATTAGGAAGGGGAATTGTCACTTTTAGCTGCAGGATATTTCTAGGTGAACAAGTTCATTTGGGCCATGCAATGTGTTCTTGAATTAGCTTCATATGCTTTGGTTTAAGGATAATGTATTTCCACTTTAAGGTTAATGTTAATAACACCAGGGTATGTTAGGGTAATAACGTTTTGTGGTTGTTGTTCACCTCCATGTCACTTAGCTCGCCACAAGTGAAAGTGACAAAGCGACTTTATGTTAAGGTGAGTTGTGCATTGTCCATCGACTTCTGACCTCATTCCTTACAACATTCACCTTTTTGACTTCCTTTCCCAGAGAACTCCTTCTCCGGAAACCTACATGGAATGTACATCAAGGCTTTTTGTCATGGTTTGGATGAAGTTCTTCAGGATTACCGACAGTTGCTCCTGCAACTAGAGCAAGACATCATTGCCGACCCTCACCTCCCTGTATCCCATCTACAGTGCACCCTACAACCAGTGAGGATCTCACCTTAACAGGGAATTGGGAATGTTTGCAATGGGCAGTGGTAGGGCTGGGGCGATACACCAACTGTGCGATCCGATACATATAACAATACCTTACTCACGATCCGATATGTATCATGATACTTGCATGTGCTCTTATCTGTGGTGCGTAAGCCATCTTTTTCATAGACAGGATGGCCAAATACTTGGCACACTGATGCGGAGTATGGAACAACGAATGAAAATATTTATGTTTTCACTATTAACTTGTACTACTGATTAGTGTTTAGTGGAACAGTTATTAAAGCAAACATTTAAGGTCAGAATTGATATTTTTTACTTAGTGTGCAACTGTGACGATATTTGTATTGAGAAGTAAAAAAGTGCGATCCACCGATGCATCGGTCAAGAGGACCTGCAGTGATTATTTTCAAGTGTCCTCACAAGAAATATGAGGGTCCTGTAAAGTTATGAAATTGTGTAGTGTACTGTACTGTAAGATTGCATCATTATTATAATTTCAAGGCCTTGGTATTTCTTTTTAAGGATTTGGTACAATGAATATAATTGTTCATCCCTTGGGACGCTATATTTATTTTTTTCTGCGCCTGTTCTATACATTTGTGCATACTGAATGCTCATTTCCACGTCATGTAACACCCAGTCTCTACCTTGTACTGGTAACACTACCATTACTCTGATGCTATTAAAAGTACAAGTTCCAGATCAGCAGACTTTTAAGTTTTGTTTTATAGATCAGACTTTAAAATATTTGTATATATATAAATATGTCTTAAGCGTATTTATGATTACCATCTCCAGTGATTTGAACTTGTAACTCCCTTCAAGGAGCATCATCAAATTGAAAAAAAAGAAACCCAAACATAATGTAATTATTTGTCTTGAATGCTATTCTCTAACAATGGTTTAGGAACTCATAGTCTTACTGTCAGAAAAAATGAGAACATATTGTTTTCCTTCATTTTTATACCATAAAAATTGTCCTGTTTTCATTCCAGTACCAACTGTTATTCCCAGCTCTTTCGTCCGTCATTGAACAGATAAAATCTCACAAGGTAATTATCAGCTTAGTCAGGGATTTATCCAGAGTAAGTGTCATTGGCAAATAGGGAAATAATTGTTATTTTGTTCCAGATTAGGTTTATTTCTAAAGTTCTTATTTTTAGATTGCATTGTAACAATCCATTCAATACAATAATGTTAAATTTGGTTTCATGGTCTTTTTTTTGTACTGTTATCAGCGGAAGACAACTCACACACATACATGAAATAGGAACTTTTTTATTCCCATTTGGGAATTTTTACTGACCATTGCTGTAGACTTTCAGCCAAATATCAGCGGCTGAGCAGGTACAATTAAATCCCTGCTTAATGATATTACCTGGGGCATTGCATCTTCCCGAAGCAAGGGATTTAACTGACTGTGAAAGTCCAGTTTCCACCCTTGCCGATCTAGGATGGAATTTCTGGGATCAATCGTAGCGCTCCCAGTGGCTATTACAAGTTATGTCCCTTCTATGTCCCTCCTATTGACCAATCTGATTCCACCTCTCATATCATTTGCATTTGCATCTAATAAAATGACGTTGCCCAGTGAAGACAATCTCATCGATAATCAAGATCTTTATAGTAATAAAACAAGTCTTACTTTGCAAAGTACATCAAATCACATGAGCACCTTGATTAAAAACATGAAAGATTTGGAAAATATCTGTTGACGCTAAGTTGTTGGTACACATGCTTTGCAAATCCTGGAATCAGCCAAAATGTGCATGGCAGTTTACGAACCGGATGTTGATTTAGTTAGGCGATTTTGCACACACTCTGGCGCAGTGGTGACTTAGCATAACTTAGCAGTGCTGACAGGCTAATTTGCATATCACGTGACCAGACTTTTCTCTTGTTTGTAAACAAATGCGCTTTTTCAGAAATCAGAATAGAACGGACTAATGCAAGTATTTGGGGGCGCTTTACATATTGTTTTGCATAATTATATAAATCTGCTACTACAACTGCGACAGTGAGTTGCATGACAAGACATATTTACACATCAAAGTGACCGTGTCGCTAGCTCTCTGCAGGGCTTTGATGACAGCACATGTAGCCATACAACCCATGTAAACATAGGATAACTACGCAAATGGAAATAGTTTTTCACGATTTAGGATATATTCTCAATGAAAGTTAACAATTCTATGACATTTGTTTTTATATATATATATATATATATATATATATATATATATATATATATATATATATACATGTATATAGACTTACTAAAAATGAAATAGATGAAAAACATATGCAATATCTTAAATGGACTGTAAGATGTGACGAATCGTCACATGGCGCTGGCCTGTGGCAGAGGTACTATGCTGGTCACATGAAACTCAGTAGGAGAGTAGACTAGGCATAGACTCGTTAGTCCAGCCATAATATAACTCCATAATTCCAGCCAGGTTCAGGAAGGGTGGAAACTTGACTTTTATAGTCAGAAAACTCCCTTGCCTCTGGAATATGGGGGCATTGTGGCCATGTTGTCCCCTGGGAAAACCCTTCACTGTGCAGAGTTGCATCCCTTTGTCATGCTGACATCCAATGACTGGGTTTGAATCCAATAAGTTGCCCTGATTAGGATCATTGGCTTCTCAGCACCACAGCCTTGCATTGGGTTTCACCAGAGTGGTAAATGTCTTAGACGGGTCTCACTTTTGAACTTCCTCTCACATTAAACTGACAAACCAGTCCATGATGCAATTGATGTAATTGAAATGCTGTTCATGTTGGCTTTTAGCCAAAAGCACTCACATGGATAATATTTCTACTATCTAACTTAATTACATTCCATTAGTGTAGTTTTAATGCTGGTGTTTTTCTGCAAAGATTAAGCCTCATTAATGTCCATAACAGTCCCACATTATTTTCATTAATTTAACTTGGATTTGATGACGACAAATGGGTTTTCAAACATGATGAAATGTGAACCCAATTTAAACAAGGTCTTTAATAATGTTCCAGATTTCTCATTTGTTTTAATTACAGGCTCATGGGTGTTACATACTGGACATTGTCCACAAGAACTCTATATGTGGTCTGCCATCTGTGAAAGAGGCTCTGCACAGGTGAGCTCAATGTGACCTTTGTTGATAACTCTTTGACAGTACCAAGACACTATTATCTAGCCAGAATATATCAGTGGAAGTTGCCTCCCTTTACTTGTGTGCCCTTCAATAGGATATGTAGGCAGATGAAAACCACAGCACATCTGAATATTGATGCTATGTTGAACTGTTCAGTTTCAAACCTTAAGGACCCCAGGACCCCCTAAATGTTTGTTTGATTCAAGTTGATTTATCCCTTGTAAACCAAATCACAGTAATGACCTCCTTTAAGTGTCTATAATTGCATTTTTTAACTTATCCTGTGTTACTCCTTAATTCATTTACTGCTGTTTTGTGACAGAAAGATGGAAGCTGTGCGAGGCCCAGCTGAAAAAGTTGTTCCAACTAGTTGTGTGGCTAATTCCATCACACAGCACCCACGTGACCACTGAAGTGAACACGTCACGGAACGTCACATTACTGCTTGTCAAACAGACCTGTATTATAAGCTCCAACTAATCTACTGGCGCCCTCTAGCTTGTTTGTGATTTCAACATTCTTTTGTGATTGATTATGGTGATTCTTATGGTTTGTGACGTCACATCTTACCACATATTTTTGCCATCGCATGAATATATTGCAGGTGATGGTGGCTACAAGTCACTGTATAAAATCATGTGCTCTGTAGTTCCAATAAGCCATTTTGAATTTTCCATGTGGTCACATTCTCGTGTCTTTCATCATTTATTCTGTATTGTTGCTTGGTAGTTCTTTAATATTGTCTTACCTAATGCTTCCTTTTGGAAGTTAATGTGTTTCTCACTTTTATACTGCAACATATTTATTTTATCTGCCGAGGCTCTGGGTTAAATTATAGCCTCTGATTAATAGCAGATATCACTGCCACTATAACAAGTGTAGCAGGGATCCCCACCCCTTGTGTCTGGACTGTACATACTGTAGCTTACGTTCACCGCTATCTCCTCGAGGCTTCTCCAAGTGCCTCCACTCCCGCCTCCTGTGCCTGTTGCTCCTACGGCGCCTGCTACACTTGTGCCTGTTGCTCCTACGGCGCCTGCTACACTTGTGCCTGTTGCTCCTACGGCGCCTGCTACACTTGTGACTTCTGTGCTTACCGGTAGCACCTCTACCTCCAAAGCTGCATCATTACGCGTGTCTCCTGGATCTTCCTCTAGACGCAGTTCTAAGTCATCTAGGTCTAGGAGCCGTTCCCGAGTGCGCGATCGGACTCATCAGAGGGCTCCTTTTTTGCCTAACTATGAGGTTTCATCACTGGAGGGCATCTGTGCCGGACTGGATGGCTGACCACTTGGCTGCTGTTGCTCCTTCCCCAGGCGTGGATAAGAGCGATACTGTCTGGTTCCGGCCTACTTACATTCCGCCGGAGCCGATGCCGATGCTGAAGGACTTGGTCGCAGCATTGGACGAGGACTTTGCGAAGTTGTCTCTTACACCGGCATTTACCCTCAAAATCAACATCAGTCTCTGTGAGAAAACATCCACATATTACTAAACTAAAAGACCATAGAGATTGTACATGCCACAGCCCTGACAATATTTAACGAGCGTTAGAATGCCCGCAGTATTTTTGAATGACAATGTTGAAACTGCTCAGAACCAGAAGATTCCCTGATCAGCCTCGAATTGCAGGGTGCCTACCTGCATGTGCCTATCCACCCCAGCGACAGGCAGTTCCTCAGGTTCAACTTCAATGGTATCCTCTGCCAGTGGAGGGTACTCCCATTTGGGATTTCCACAGCCCTGTGGTTATTCACCTGAATTGCCAAGCCAAAGGCTCTGCACCTGCACCTGCACCTGCACCTGAGGGACATCCAGTTGGAGTTGTATATTGATGACTGTCTGCTGAACCACCAGGATGCAGCAGCTCTTATCCTCCACCTAGATTTCACCAAACGCCAGCTGCCGTGGATCATCAACGATCAGAAGTCAGAGTTCACATCGGCCTGCACTCTCCAGTTCATAGACCAACCAGGACCTCTTAACTATTCCGAGGGATAGATGGCACAAGATCCAGTGCCATATGATCCCTGTTCTTCAACAATCGCCAGTGGCAAGTGCTGTTGACAGTTCTGTAAGATCGCAAAATGACAAAGATTCCGGAACTCCAAGCATTGCTGTGCCCCTTCAGACTAGAGGATCAGAAGACCATGTTCAGATCATTGGGATCTGAACATGGTTCTTAAATTGCTACGTGGTGCTCCGTTTGAGTCTTAACACTCAGCTTTATTGTTTACCTCACCAAGAAAATGGTGTTCCTCTTGGCTCTAGTTACAGCAGCAAGGGTAAGTGAGTTGCATGCACTCGACATCACCCGTGTCCAGTTTGATTGCAGGGTGCAGGGAGACATTCACCTTGGGCTGTGCTGAGACTTCATAGCCAAGAATCAACTCCCAGGACAGCCTGACATGCCCTTCACCATCCCATAACTCTCCTGGATCGTGTGGGCTGAAGATGAGGAGATACTCCACTTGTGCCCTGTTTCCACGACCTCCCAGACGGAAGTTAGCCATAACACAATATCTGTGTGGCTATGTGTGATCATCCTTCAGGCATATATGGCCACTGGCCTGGATCCTCCCAGGGCCAACAACCCTCACGGGATCCTAGGGGTCGCATCCAGCATAGCTCTCCTCAGCAACTGCTCCATCAGATTCATTATGGAAGGGAGCTTTTGGAAGCACAGTCTTTGCTAGCCACTGAGGATGAGGCCTTGAAAGATATTGAGGACTTTTGGTCTTCTGGACGGTGCCAAGCAGGTCACCAACCCAATGCAAGCATTGGCTTGGTAAGTCAGTTTTAGACTCTAGCATCTGGTACTTTCTACTACTGTTCTTTTACCTGGGCTTTCTACATTCCTCACACTCTCGTATTTCCTCTGACAGGAATGGTCGCCTGGGTTCCAGTCATCATAAAAGGATGACTTTTTGACAAGGGTCTTCTGAAGATCACATCTGAAGGTACGCCCACTTCTGTATCGTCCAATTCAGATACATTAAGGAGCTATGCAGGATAAGTTAAATTATTTTAGTAAAATCTAAAGATTTTTAACATTTGTATACTTATCCTGCATTACTACGTCTAGAGTGGCAGAGCTTCCTCCCCCAATGTTTTCAGATGTTATGATCAAGCAGTAATGTGAGGTTCCCTGACATCATCACTTCCGTGGCCGCTGTGTGATGGAATTAGCCACACAACTAGATGGGACAACTTCTTTTTCAGCTCGAGTCAGGACCTTAAACATCTTCGTCTTTCTGTCAAAAAACAGCAGTAAATGCATCAAGGAGTAATGCAGGATACGTATACAGATGTAAAAAATATTTTGAAGTTACTAATATTGACAAGAAATATGTAAAGATTCCTGTGTTGTTGCGATATTTGACATGTTGAACTGTCAGCACCATATCTATATTTGTGTGTTTCACCCAAGTGGTTAGACTTGCATCACTTTGGAACCCATGAAGGATCCAGTTTAGAATTGGTCTTCAGCAACACATGCTTGTCGTAAAAGGTGATTAACAGGATTGGATGGTCAGGCTCATGTTTGATGCATGTCATCATATCCCAATTGTCAATGTCAATCACTGGATTATCTGGTCCAGACTCCATTATTTACAGACTGGCATCATGTAGCTGGAATATCGCTGCATGCAGGGTTAAGCAACAAACACACAAACATCACCTCTGAGTTTCCTCCTACATTATGCTGATGCCATTCTAACCATACTAACTGGTGCCACATGTATATATGTTTACAGGGTGCTCCATGTTTGTCACGGCGTGATGTTCAAGCAGTTGTGTGCATGGCTGCTCCATGGGAGCCTGGTGGACCCATACCGAGAGTTCTTCATACAGCAGGCAGACGGGGGTCGTGGTGAGCAGACGGACGAAGACACGCAGGAAACACAAGATGATGAGCTTGGCATCATGGGAGTAACTGGGAGGCAGTTGCAGGTAGGTGTTGAAATAGTTCACGGAAAATTATCAACAGTCGAAGCTTGTTGCAGAGTTGTACATAAGCTGCGTGTTTAAAATATGCATTAAATAAACTGAAATATGCAGCCAAATCAAATCCCTAGCATATCAAATACACATCAAAAACTATAAAAATGCTATTGAAATTAAACTAATATGTGTTTACAACTGTCAGCTAAAGTGATTGCGTATCAGCCAATCGCGAAATTCATTAACTGACAGTTACATTCGGTATTTTTTGAAAACTTGTACACTACTATTCATTTGGTTTTAAATGATTTTGTTACGAAACAGTTTTTCAAGTTAAAATACCCAAATGAAATGAAGCATGTGGGTAGGGTAACACAAAATTGAAAACCCACTAAAAATTGTGGAACCCCATAAAAATCAAACCTAAGGGTAAAATACCCACATAACCAAATTCTTATCTAGAGCTCTCTCATTGTGTTGAACTGCAATGTGTCAAATTCCCAGTTGTCTTGAAGTCACCTTCCAGTCCCTGTAAATTCCTTATGATGATGATGATTTGGAGATTTTACGTGTGCTTTCCGACATTATGTATATTTCGCACACAGTAAAATTCCTGTCATTTCAAAATAATATAATAGCAACCACACACGCACACTCACCAAAGTCACTTCACACACAGTGTGACTGACCTCACTGCGATTGCCACAATTATGTCAAAGGCAGGATGATTTCTAACTGAGCACATGATGCCAATATCAAATCAAGCCTAATTAACAAGCACACCTAATTAACAAGCACACCCAATCAACAAGCAGACCTAATTAACAAGCACCCCTAATTAACAAGCACAGCCTACATGAAAGGTGGAAGCTGATTGCTGTTTGCACATCAGCAGCAAGTTTACTGGCCTTATCGTTTACAGTATTTAGTCAACACCAAAACGTAATCTAGTGAAAAATGGAGTGTGAGTGAGTTGGGTTGAACACCGCTTTTAACAGTATTCCAGTTATATCATGGCATGTCAGCTGAATGTGGGGTGAACTGGGATTCAAACCCACAATCATTGGTTTCTGGCGTACCCAAGGGATGCAACTCTGCACAGTGAATTGTGGTGCCTTAGACAAGTGGGCCGACCGTGCCCCCCAAACACTATCAGACTGGTGTGCAGATTTTTCATTTCTGAAACAATGTTTTGATATGAATGAACTTATTGGGTATCTTATGGTTGAGGTTAATAATATGTTAGGTAGGTTGTTTCCTCCTCATAATGTGTACACTCTCAGTGTGGATGGATTCTGTTCTTCCTGATCAGAGTTGCATCCCTTTGCCGTGCAGGATTCAGATCAGTCATGGGTTTGAATCCTAGATTCACCCTGAATATTCCTGGTTTGTCAGCAACATGCCCCTGCTCAAAGGTTTCACAACTGTGGCTGGACCTGTGTTACTTTAGGCTTTCCTCACATATCAAGCTGATGCTCATGTAATTATTGTCAAGGAAACAAAGACTATATGTATGGGTTGTAATTATTGTCAAGGAAACAAAGACTATATATATGGGTTGTAATTATTGTCATGGCATCAAAGACTATGTGGATAGCATGTAATTATTGTCATGGAAACAAAGACTGTAGAGACACCATGTAAATATTGTCATTGAAACAAAGACAATATAGGTTGCATGTAATTATTGTCATGGAAACAAAGACTATATGGATAGCATGTAAATATTGTCATGGAAACAAGTGCTGTATCTGTTGTTGCCTGTATTCCACAGCGCCTCCTGAACCTGTCGAGCCTGGCTGGTGAGACTCCATCCCTGAGTCAGTTCACGGTCCAGGCGGACCTGCTGCCGGCGTACATCCCGACCAGGGTGTCCAGCCACATCCTGTTTGTAGGGGAGTCAGTCCAGATGTTTGAACATGACAGACACAAGCCTCAAGCACAGAAAATAGGTAGGAATTTGTTTGTGGGAACAGAGAAAGATTGAAAAGTAAGGCGCAATGAGTGAATGATATTTAACACTGCCGTCGAGACTGCCCCATTGTCACTTGTTTTCAGACCAGTTTTGTCTTTTAGCCTTTTTAGTAAGTAGTCGTAATAAAATGTTGAGTCTGATTTTGTATGTTGCAGGGTCAATATTAAAGAACAGAGAGCAGGAATTTGCCCGGGCACTGCATGAGCTGTCTAAGCAGTCCGACTTTAACAGTATGCAGTTTGAAAGTCTCATAGACAAGATCAGGACCTATGTTGCTGAGGTATTTGTTATACAATTAGGGACGTCATGTTTTGAAAAGTCTTGAACTGATTACGCATCCTACTTTAACCGTTTCATATCCTATTCCTATTCTCATTTTCATTTTGTCAAATTTTCAAAACATCTTTAGTGCCAGGTACAACTGTTCAAAGAGAACCTTTTTGCTCAACGATAGTTCCTGACTGACATGCATTGCATTATTTCCCGTTTCACATGGAGCTATTTTAAATCAGATTGATGCATATGCAAGCGTGCAAGGCTCAGAGATTATGTCCAAATTAATATTGATAGTTTCATCAAGGTAACTGCTTATAAATATTAATGGTATTCAACAAGGATAATGAATACCAGTTTTTGATGAGTTAGGAATTCTAATCACACATGTTATGGAGTAATCGTGATTGGCCTTGAAAAGCATCAACAAAGTCACTTCCAGTTGCCAGAATGTACATCAGCTGATTTTCTTACAATATTGATATCCAAGGAGTCTTTTCTGCATGAAGGCTGACATGTTACACTCCTCACTTTTACATTGTAATGTTATTTTTATGAAGCTTAAGATTTATTGTATGGTCTGTAATACAAAAATGATAAAGAAATGTTACACCCAGAATTCACTCTCACTCGCTCATTCATCTACGGTTGCGCTCACTCACTCATTGTCACAATCATTTGCTCATCCACTCACAGTTTTTATATATTTGTTTTCAGCATTTATGGGTGTTAATAGTACAGGACTCAGGTTTAATGAACCAGATCCGCATCATGAAGGATTTCTACCTGTTGGGTCGAGGAGAGCTGTACCTGGCCTTCATAGACCAGGCCCAGCTGCTGCTGAAGGCCCCGCCCACGGGAACAACAGAGCATGGTAGGAACCAGGATACGTTGTCATCACAGGACCCCTTCGCTACGATACACACACTCTGTCCCTTGTAGTCGTACTTTGTCACGGACATCACAGGACCCCTCCGCTAAAATACACACACTCTTTCCCTTGTAGTCGTACTTTGTCATCTGACATGACAAGACCCCTTCACTAAAATACACCAACCCTTTCTCTTTGTAGTCGTACTTTGTCATCAGACATCACAGGACCCCTTCACTAAAATATACCCCCTCTTTCCCTTGTAGTCATACTTTGTGATCGGACATCACAGGACCCCTTCACTAAAATACACCCCCTCTTTCCCTTGTAGTCGTACTTTGTCATCTGACATAACAGGACCCCTTCGCTAAAATACACCCACCCTTTCTCTTTGTAGTCGTACTTTGTCGTCGGACATCACAGAACCCCTTCACTAAAATACACCCCCTCTTTCCCTTGTAGTCGTACTTTGTCATCTGACATAACAGGACCCCTTCACTAAAATACACCCACCCTTTCTCTTTGTAGTCGTACTTTGTCATCGGACATCACAGGACCCCTTCGCTAAAATACACCCCCTCTTTCCCTTGTAGTCGTACTTTGTCATCGGACACCACAGGACCCCTTCACTAAAATACACCCACCCTTTCTCTTTGTAGCTACGACTGTCCTAAGTCCACAACAGTTGATCCAGCATTTTTAAAAGGGAGGGGCTCAAAATATCAAAATGTTCTCTTTCAGATAATTTTACTGCCTTCAACACACTACATTCGGTTTTCGGGGGGTGGAGGGTGCCAAGATGTCTTTGTGGAATTGTACCCAGACATGTCACAAATGGCCTAGGTTGAAACGAGACACAAACATATTTTTTTCAACTCTCATCATATCATCAGGACACACTGCTATCATCTGATACTGATTTTTATTTGTTGTCAGGGCAATGCTGTACATATCAAGATTTCCATTTGCAGATGTCAATATGGCATATCAGCAGTCGGCAAGAAATGTGCTTCTTGATGATGAGAATTTCTTCCAACACTTCCACCTGACTGTCACATCTAAAGCTGCAGAAAAAAGTAGGCCAAGTCTTTGATTAAATGTGTTAACTGTTATATTGCATCATGTAATCTCGCTGCCTCTGTAACCATGACAACAGTTTCATTTATTAATAATTAGTCCATGCTGGGAACCACTGTTATGAATACCATATTCCCCAATGATGACCCTTGGTTTGTGAGCCTGTGTTTGTACAAAGCCCGAGGGTTAATGACAGCCCATATGTTCTGCACACATACGTTGAGTTTTGACTTTCTTTGCAAAGCAATAACATTCCCACTGGCATGACAACACCGGAAATGTCATGCCAACAATTCCGTTGTGAGGTAGGTCATTAAGAAACTGGCTCTTGGCGAAATCTTGTAGGAACCAATTTACTGATCCCAACAACTGTTATTTACAAGCGTGACCAGACTAGTGATTTTGGTGCCTTGAAATGGACCTTGGTTGTCAGAGAATGAATAATTTAGTTGCCATAATTTGACATAAACTGAGTCATGGTTACAAATGGTAAGACAGAGCTTCCATACATCTGACATTTGCCAAGCTGTTGGAGCTGTTTTCGCCACGGCCATTTTCTGTTACCGGTAGTGCCCGTATGGCATGGGGTGGTTTTAGCCATCACTAACTAAAATAATGATGGGGAGCATTGTTTACTGAATCACCAGTAGTGTATAGGTGCAATTTTAAATCAATGTGGTTGCTATTTCCAGGTAATACACAACAATATTGATTACAGCAAGTTTGACAAATGTTCTTATGCCTCATATACAGAGTAGGTATGGGTGGCACAGTGTTCCATGGTGCCGCGACTCACCATGTTGAGTTACATCCCTTAGTCATGCCAGGCTCCGCTGATCATGGGTTTGATCTCCATTTGCACCTTGATTATCACCCTTTGTCCATACCTGTAAAGTGGAAAATGACTGAGGCCTGCATCACTAATGTTTAATGCTGTGACTGACTCGTTCATCTACAGAGGGTGGTCTGGCGGAGGATGGAACCTCGGGTGGCACAGCGGAGACAGGCTGGAAGTGTCTGGGTCTCACCTGCACCATCCAGTGGCCTCTACACATCTTTTTCACCCCCAACATCCTGGACAAGTGGGTACCCTTGCTGCTCATACCTTCATTCCTTGACACCTCTACTTGTGATAAACATTGACACAACTCATAGTAACATGCTAAGATTGTTGTATGTATATTCTTTGTGCATGTCACCAAGTAGAACAACCAAGTACTAAAAATACATGTTCATCATGCAGAACACCCAAGTACTACATGTGCCCCGTGAAACAGGTCTTCAGCAACCCATGCTTGTCGTAAGAAGCAACTAACGGGATCGGGTGGTCAGACTCACTGACTTGGTTGATGCATGTTATCATATCCCAATTGCGTGGGTCGATGCTCTTGTTGCCAATCACTGGATTGTCTGGTCCAGACTCGATTATTTACATACCACCGTCGACCTGTGAAGATCCAGTAGAATAGGTCCTCAGCAACCCAGGGGGGTCTGGTGGCTTAGTGGTTAAAGCGTTAGCTCGTCACGCCGAGGACCCGGTTTCGATTCCCGACATGGGTACAATGTGTGAAGCCCATTTCTGGTGTCCCCCGTCGTGATATTGCGTAAAACCGAACTGACTCCCTCACTCAACAACCCATGTTTGCCTAAAAGGCGATGATGCTTGATGTAAAAGGCAGCTAATGGGATCAGGTGGTCAGGCTGGCTGACTTGGTTGATGCATGTCATTGATCCCAATTGCATGGATCGATGCTCATGATGTCAATCATTGGATTGTCTGGTCCAGACTCAATAATTTACAGACTGCCATCATATAGCATATATACATGTATCATGAATGTGTCCATTTAGAAAACAGCCGAGCTTTGTATCAGTTAGTTCCACCAGAACAGCTTTTCATCTTCTGAACCGATTTATTCTGACGGTTTTCCCCCATAGGTATAACCGGATTTTCCGGTTCCTGTTGGCTGTCAAGAAAACACAGACTGACCTGCAGTCCTGTTGGACATTTCAAATGCAGCGTAAGAAAAAAACACTGCGAACAGAGGAAGCTCCAAAATGGCAGCTGAGGACACACATGATGTTCCTGGTGGATAATCTACAGTACTACCTACAGGTGTGTTGGGCAGATAGTGGGGCAGATGTTACCTGTCACTGTTTCACTGTCATCAAGGGCTGACTATTTAATATTTTGGATCCTGCAATTTAAGAAATAATTTGTTCCATGAAGTTTACTTTCGTGGCAAGCATCTACAGCCTTCATCTGACTGGTCTGTTCCTCACACTTCAAGCTGAAACTCCGTTTTCTTGTGTGTAATGTGCACTTGAGTTTTATACAGATTTTGGAAAACATGCTCTTTTGTTTAATGCATGGTCTAAAGCTAAAGGTACATTGTTTTCGCTTCATGTGAAGTTTTGGCTAGAGGGAACAGGATGTTACAATCTTTGTCATAACATCAGTGTATTAAGTTTGGGTTATACTTGCAGGTTGATGTGATTGAGTCTCAGTACGGCATTCTTCTGGAGAAGATCAACTCGACCGGAGATTTTGAAGCTGTCAAGTTGGCTCACGAACAGTTCCTAGTCACTCTTCTGTCACAGAGCTTTGTCCATATGAAATCTGTAAGCAATGCTCATGGTTCATTGTCTCCGCGCTTTACACTGAGTAGAAGCCGAGTGTAAAGCCTAGCAGAAGGCTTGCTTCTGGGACTGCCATGATAGAAATATTGCTGACTGCAGTCTAAACCAACAACTCAGAATTGGTTGGAAGAGCCGACTACCGGTATATGTGACACTGGGGACTTGGGCACACTGGGGACTCTAAGGCGCCACAATTCGCAGTTCAGAGTTGTATCTCTTGGGCCTCGCCAGACACCTGTGATCATGGGTTCGAATCCTGTTTCACCCTGAATATATTTCTAGGTTTGTCAGCACCATACCCATGCTCGTGGGTTTCACCAAAGTGGTAAACATGTGAGACTTTCATCACTTCCCACTTTCTTCCCACATTAACCTGACATGCTGTGACATAACTGGAATGCAATTCAAAGTGGCATCAAACCCAACTCACTCACTCACTATTTGGGATACTTGTTTTCCAGGTATCCAGCTGCCTATATGACATCCTGGAGCTGTGCTCCACCTTCTCCCGACTTGTGAATGAAGCAGAGTCAGCCAACATCACACACACCATTCCACAGCTCCAGACCATTGCCAAGGTAGATATAGGTCAAACTGAACCAACAACATCACACACACCATCCCACAGCTCTAGACCATTGCCAAGGTAGATACAGGTCAAACTGATCCAACACCATAACACACACCATCCCACAGCTCCAAACCATTGCCAAGGTAGATACAGGTCAAACTGATCCAACACCATAACACACACCATCCCACAGCTCCAGACCATTGCCAAGGTAGATACAGGTCAAACTGATCCAACACCATCACACACACCATCCCACAGCTCCAGACCATTGCCAAGGTAGATACAGGTCAAACTGATCCAACACCATAACACACACCATCCCACAGCTCCAGACCATTGCCAAGGTAGATACAGGTCAAACTGATCCAACACCATCACACACACCATCCCACAGCTCCAGACCATTGCCAAGGTAGATACAGGTCAAACTGATCCAACACCATCACATACGCCATCCCACAGCTCCAGACCATTGCCAAGGTAGATACAGGTCAAACTGATCCAACACCATCACATACGCCATCCCACAGCTCCAGACCATTGCCAAGGTAGATACAGGTCAAACTGATCCAACACCATCACATACGCCATCCCACAGCTCCAGACCATTGCCAAGGTAGATACAGGTCAAACTGATCCAACACCATCACATACGCCATCCCACAGCTCCAGACCATTGCCAAGGTAGATACAGGTCAAACTGATCCAACACCATCACATACGCCATCCCACAGCTCCAGACCATTGCCAAGGTAGATACAGGTCAAACTGATCCAACACCATAACACACACTATCCCACAGCTCCAGACCATTGCCAAGGTAGATACAGGTCAAACTGATCCAACACCATCACACACACCATCCCACAGCTCCAGACCATTGCCAAGGTAGATACAGGTCAAACTGATCCAACACCATAACACACACTATCCCACAGCTCCAGACCATTGCCAAGGTAGATACAGGTCAAACTGATCCAACACCATCACACACACCATCCCACAGCTCCAGACCATTGCCAAGGTAGATATAGGTCAAACTGATCCAACACTATCACACACACCATCCCACAGCTCCAGACCATTGCCAAGGTAGATACAGGTCAAACTGATCCAACACCATCACATACGCCATCCCACAGCTCCAGACCATTGCCAAGGTAGATACAGGTCAAACTGATCCAACACCATCACAAACACCATCCCACACACCATCCCACAGCTCTAGACCATTGCCAAGGTAGATACAGGTCAAACTGAACCAACACCATCACACACACCATCCCACAGCTCCAGACCATTGCCAAGGTAGATATAGGTCAAACTGAACCAACACTATCACACACACCATCCCACACACCATCCCACACACCATCCCACAGCTCCAGACCATTGCCAAGGTAGAAATAGGTCAAATTGATCCAACAACTCTTCTAAGAAGGAATAGTTTTATATTAACACACATTGTATGAGAGTAAGGTTTATGATGATTGTTGTCATGGGGACACTAAGAATGGATTTCACCTATGAAATCCAACACCATCACACACGCCATCCCACAGCTCCAGACCATTGCCAAGGTAGATACAGGTCAAACTGATCCAACACCATCACATACGCCATCCCACAGCTCCAGACCATTGCCAAGGTAGATACAGGTCAAACTGATCCAACACCATCACATACGCCATCCCACAGCTCCAGACCATTGCCAAGGTAGATACAGGTCAAACTGATCCAACACCATCACATACGCCATCCCACAGCTCCAGACCATTGCCAAGGTAGATACAGGTCAAACTGATCCAACACCATAACACACACTATCCCACAGCTCCAGACCATTGCCAAGGTAGATACAGGTCAAACTGATCCAACACCATCACACACACCATCCCACAGCTCCAGACCATTGCCAAGGTAGATACAGGTCAAACTGATCCAACACCATCACACACACCATCCCACAGCTCCAGACCATTGCCAAGGTAGATATAGGTCAAACTGAACCAACACTATCACACACACCATCCCACACACCATCCCACACACCATCCCACAGCTCCAGACCATTGCCAAGGTAGAAATAGGTCAAATTGATCCAACAACTCTTCTAAGAAGGAATAGTTTTATATTAACACACATTGTATGAGAGTAAGGTTTATGATGATTGTTGTCATGGGGACACTAAGAATGGATTTCACCTATGAAAACCGGGTCCTCAGTAAGACAAGAAACATTTCTAACCACAAAGCTACCTTATGACACCTACAGGGAGCAGTTCCAATGATAATACTCTAAAACTTACCCTGGGAGTGTTCTGCCATGCTCCCCTTAAGATCTTTGGGGTATTTGGTGCATAGGTTTCATTGTTGCGTCACTAAGAGTTAAGAGTTGCAATTGCATTGATAATTGTTATCCACAAACTAATATTTTTTTGCTTATTTTTTAAGTAAGTTACCAGGGGGAACCAAATTTTCTATTTTTGGTCCCTATTATTTGTGTACAATATGATCAAATAATTTATTCCACAGTATGAGAGGGCTATTGTGATCAAATGTTCAGGATAGAATGTTAACGGATCTGGGAGGGGAATATTAACTTTGTCCCTAATCATATTGCCTCTGATGGTGTGTATTGTTTGCTTGCAGAACTTTCAACGTCAGTCCAGCTTGTTATTCAAGATCCTGTCTAGTGTTCGAAGTCATAATGCCAGCCCCCATCTTGCCCAGCTGTTGCTGAGACTCGACTTCAACAGATATTTCTCTACAGCAGGGGGCCAGCTGGGCAGGTATGTCTTGATAGATCAATACAATAGTCTGCCATTACAGTTTAGAAGAAATATTCATTTGATAGTATTTGATAGCACTTCTTTCTCAAACCTGATTGGTTGGCAGTTCCAAGCACTGATTTTGCTCAGTAAATATTCTTGATTATTTAATCGAAGTCCTCCCTGTGGATAACGCAGGGCAAAATAGGTTCCCAATGTCGCTGTCGAGATTCTGGGACAGGCTAGGTCTCCAGTTTGTCATGTTTTTTACTCTGCGGTAAATTTCAGAATAGGCCCCTAGTAGTCATGCTTGTCTCACTGTCGAGACCCCATGGCAGAATAGGCCCCTAGTAGTCATGCTTGTCTCACTGTCAAGACCCCATGGCAGAATAGGCCCCTAGTAGTCATGCTTGTCTCACTGTCGAGACCCCATGGCAGAATAGGCCCCTAGTAGTCATGCTTGTCTCACTGTCGAGACCCCATGGCAGAATAGGCCCCTAGTAGTCATGCTTGTCTCACTGTCGAGACCCCATGGCAGAATAGGCCCCTAGTAGTCATGCTTGTCTCACTGTCGAGACCCCATGGCAGAATAGGCCCCTAGTAGTCATGCTTGTCTCACTGTCGAGACCCCGTGGCAGAATAGGCCCCTAGTAGTCATGCTTGTCTCACTGTCAAGACCCCATGGCAGAATAGGCCCCTAGTAGTCATGCTTGTCTCACTGTCGATACCCCATGGCAGAATAGGCCCCTAGTTGTCATGCTTGTCTCACTGTCGAGACCCCGTGGCAGAATAGGCCCCTAGTAGTCATGCTTGTCTCACTGTCGAGACCCCGTGGCAGAATAGGCCCCTAGTAGTCATGCTTGTTTCACTGTCGAGACCCCATGGCAGAATAGGCCCCTAGTAGTCATGCTTGTCTCACTGTCGAGACCCCATGGCAGAATAGGCCACTAGTTGTCATGCTTGTCTCACTGTCGAGACCCTGTGGCAGAATAGGCCCCTAGTAGTCATGCTTGTCTCACTGTCGAGACCCCGTGGCAGAATAGGCCCCCATTATGTCATGTTTGATGGCTGTGGGGATCCCAGGGCGGAATTGGTCCCTGTGAACCATGCCAGTCTCACTCTTTCTCACTCTGTCACTTCTTGTCTTTTCAGTATCTGAGAAACAGGATTACTGCCCCAGCAGCCATGATGAAGGGGGATGAAGGAATTGGACATATTGAACCAAAATGACCCGTGTAATATATGTATCTTTATTGTTGAGTTACTGATTTCATTGTCTGGCGATACTGTAGCATGAAATAATGAATCGCAATCTCATTAAAATCAGACCTCAGTTCTCGCTACTGCTAAACAAAGATCTTAGGACATCCCATTAGGGGTCACGTCAGTATGACCTTTCATCAGACCAATCGGAGCATCGCTTACCAGATTATGAAAGTGACAGTCAGAATGTGATTTCTAATCACGCAACCTCCAAAACTTTAACAACTGAATCCATACAATCTAGACCATCTATTAGCCATTCCAGAATGTTCTTTTGTTCAGGTTTCAAATTTGTAATCGAGAATTTGTCAAAATATGTTTCGAAGCGTAGCCAATTTGAAATTAGTGCCGTACAGCACGAGAAAGCTGCCTTCTGATTGGTTATTCCCTTGGTCGGACAAAGTTTATGCAAGATCGGTCTGACGTGACCCGTAATGGGATGTCCTCAGATCTTTGTTTAGCGGTAGCGAGAACTAAGATCTGATTTTAATGAGATTGAATGAATCATCACTTTTGTTGAGATTGTATCTTACATGTACAATTGAGAAGATGTTCTTGTGGTCCTGAAAGTTATTTCTTGTACTACTTTGATGGGCAAAGGTTATGTGTCTCAGGTGCTGAATTCTCATTCTCTGTCACCTGTGAAAGTCCAGGTAGAATATAGGTCTCCAGCAACCCATGCTTTCCGTAAGAGGTGACTATACTTGTCGTAAGAGGCGACTAACTGGACAGGGTGGTCAGGCTTGCTGACTTGATTGATGCATGTCATCGTTTCCCAATTGCATAGATCGATGTTCATGATGTCAATCAGTGGACTGTCTGACTTGATTATTTCCAGATTGCCGTCATATAGCTGTAATATTGCTAAGTGCGGCGTTAAACAACAAACAAACCTTTAGGCGTGCCAGCATCCACCGATTGTTGGGTCAAATTGCTCATTCACCCTGATTATGATCGTAGGTTTGTCAGCACAAGGCCCTTCCTTGTGTGTTTCATCCAGGGGTAATGTCTCCGGGCTTTCCTCCCACATCAGGCTGACATGCAGTGAATGTACTGAACCACATGACTTAAAACTGGTGGGTGTTAAACTCAGCTCACTATGATACTGTACAGCATATTAAAAGTCATTGCTAAGGATATATGACACCTTGTTATGTTTCTGGGACATGTTTCTCTGTATATAATGTATATAGTAATAATAAACAAAATCAAAATACAATGTGTTAAGTTAAGTGTCAGTATGTCCAAAGGGCATTTTAAGTCTCCAGTACCTTAGGTGTAAGAGCTGAATGAAGACCAACTTCAGAACTTGCAGATTACAGAGCTAGTTTATCAAGAGATATGATGTGCCTCGTGTGTTTTTTATCATATGGATAAAGCTTTGAAACCAACAAGCTTATACATTCTTCATTGTCAAAGTTTCTATGATACTGGACTGTACTCTCTACTGGGGAATGCCAGCTCTGTTTTAAGCTGACTCAGAAAGGTTTTTGCAATGATTTGTGACTGTGGATGAAACCAGGGTCAAAACAACAATCTGAAAGTACTTGATTGATGTATGTTCCTCAAGTTTGTCCATTTTCCAAAGGTCACAGACCCCTGCTACACTTACTGACTTGTAACAGTGAAACAATTTGCTCAATTGTCTCAAGTTTTTGTGGATATACCTCTATGCCATCATGTAATGCACGCGACAAAAGATTTCCCTGTTACCCAGTTCCTCAGAACTTTCACTCATCGCATGGACATCTGTCATTATAGTGCAAGTGATATTCTTCTCACAAGGATGAACTGACACAAAACGACCTCATTGTGTTGAAAGAAAAGTCGCCATCATAGCTAAATTTACAGGTTACAGAGTTGCTGTAACTACAAAGCATGTGTGACCATACATTTAGGTAGAAACTGTGATAGAAATTAACTAATTGAGTATATTTTAAGTTTTAGGGACAACAGAGAGCTACATTTTTAGCAGTTTTATGTAGCTGACTGTGAGGTCATATTGTCTGCATAAACAAAGAGCAGTGTTCATTAGGGGCGCCAACATTAGTCTAATGACAGGTGTGCTACAAACTGTCAATGTCTGTCACACATGTATAGTGATGTTAAAAAAATAAGAACATTTTTTGATCATATGCTATATAACGCCATACTTTGTTTAGAGGCTATCATAGTTATTCGGATCCAAAAACCCAATTAAAACATTCAACTGTCTGCTGTGTACACATGGACAAGCGTAGGGTTCAGGGACGTCAAACTGTCCGTTATGTACCACATGGTCAAGGATTGGGTTCCGAGATGTCAAATTGTCTGCTATGTACCAAATTGTCTGCTATGTACCACGTGGTCATCCCAGGGGAACATTCAAGGATTTCGATCAGGTCAGTCCTGGGCCATGAACTATTCGGCCACCTGTCCCCTTGTACATTAAGGGAACGATCAGTTGTTATTTAGAAAAGTCCACGCGTATTTTCCTGCAAACGTGACATATGTCCATGTTACAAATTAGAATATTTCCTAATTCTAAGTACTGTACTATGGAGGCCTCTGATATGTTCGCACCTGCATCATGTTTCTGGTGTAAACATCGAACGCAAAGACACAGTGAAATCATTCAAATCATTCAAATCCACCATTTTATGGTCAATTTACAAGAACAAAGTACGACATATTTTATAATATTTTATAATATAATGAATAAATTCCAAAGCGCGATTGAAAAACTTTTCCTCCTACACGTAGGGCCTCAATGGCACGTTAGTAGCGAGCCTGGCATCAATAACAAAATGTCATGAGGTATGCGGGTTCGAATCCCAGTAACGATAGCTATTTAATAAAGATAATTCAGGTGCGACATGTTACTGTTTTGTAGGTAGATCTTTGTAAAGACGTACCACGTAAGAAACAGGCCAAGCTGCTGAGGTACAGGTTATAAAGGCTGGTTCAAAAGAGGTGACGTTTAGTCCATTCCGTCATTATGCGTAGCTGGCCCGGCAATAAAGATCACCAGAGGTCATTATACGAACATCAGAAAGCTCCGAAAACACTAGATGACGTCGTAAGAGGTTTCTAATGAAGATGAATGACTAGGTCCCCAGGACGCTCGTGTTGGTCGTTAAGACACATGTTTGGAAGCCAAATAATCTATGAAGACATTGACTTTGTTATTTTTGTTTCTATAACATTATTCTTCGAATGAGAAGTTACAGAACAGGTGCTAATGCCGCTTTGCAAGTACAGAACAGGTGCTAATGCCGCTTTGCAAGTAACACATGCTTGATGAAGGTACAAGCATCTGTAGTGAAACGTCGTAGAGAGGTTTAAGTTCTTAAGTCAACCATACATGCAGGTTTATTAAAACAGCGTGTATTAAAACAACCTCTCGTCTCAGAGCACTAAACTATCCACTGAACAAATGCAACAATTGTAAGGCAAAGATACCATGTGTGTATCCGCTCCGTACATATCGAGTATCACAGCTTTCTTTAACACATGTAATACGTTATTCACAAGAGTATTTTCACTCATACATAATTTCATGTCATCTAGGTCACAAGGTGTAGAGATATAAACGGGGCAAGGAAAGCACACCTGGCTTAATGTGCAAAATCCCTGTCACTCCCCTCCGTCTTCGTCACTCGTATAGCCCAGAGCTTATTTACGGGCACATGACGCAGAGTGACGTCTATTGTTCTCAAGGGGATCAAACCACTCTCTTCTACGAACCACTGTTGGTGAGGGGCAAGACCTACGTTCAGCAAACCTTCAAGAACTGAGGAGACGTGGGCAGGCACCACTGTATCTCCGACACCCAAGTAATATCTGGCTGGTCCATGTAAGTGATGTTATATTTGGTTCCTTTTACTAGTGTATCTGACTGCCTCCGTGGTCTAGTGGTAGAGCGTCCACCCGGAGAGCGGAAGGTGCGGGGTTCGATCCCAGCCGCATCATACCAAAAGATGCTAAAAGATGGTACTTGTTGTTACCCTGTCTGGCTCTCGGCATTAAGGGGCTAAAACAAGGACTGGTCGGCTCGGAGTCAGTATACTGTGTCTGAGTCGGGTATTCATGTTAAACTGCGACATAGTATCTCAATGGGCTAGCACTATAAATTGGCATCAGTCTGGACTAGTACAAGCAGACACACACACACACACACACACACACACACACACGTGCATGCACGTCGCTATATAAGTGCAATAATCTTGGACGCGACATTAGACCCCATTCCACAACCACCGACAAGTATATATATAGTACAGAGAGAATGAATGGACATTGTACGGAGCCCTGTTGGGGACACAAGCAAAAGTAAACTGCCGGGCAAAAGAAAGTATACACCCATGTTTGATGGTGGCAAAACATGAAACGAACAAGACATGGTTATTCGATGGTGATGTATTTGATACGGGTATCATAGGTATGTTTTGGATCTAAGTTTGCAATGCTTCGGCGACTGTTTTCAACCTAGTGATAGCGTTGGTAATCTTATTGTCAAATTCAATTTTCAAGAGTATTCTTTCTTTTGCCTGGAAGTAAATCTACACCTCTGTACACAGCGCTTGTGTATTATTGTATATACTGTACTTGTATCTATAATATATTTCACCTCTTCATCAATTTCATACTTTCCATTTCCGTCTCGTTAAGATTAAGAAAAGGGAACCGTACGTTGACAGTGTGAGGGGCGTTGGGAACAGGTAGATGTTCATCAACATTAAACACTTCTTTAGTAGAAGATGGTTACGTCCGAAGTTACACTGAAATTCCAACTAACTGAAGAGAAAATGTGCAGTCTGAAACATATGGAAAACCCGTGTTGAGGTCACGATTGTTATACCATCTTTATCTCGAGAAAACTTGTATAAAATTCCAACTAACTGATGAGAATGTGTACAGTTTGAAGTTCAAAACATTTGGAAATACCCACGTTGAGGTCACGATTGTTATACCACCTTTATCTCGAGAAAACTTTATAAAATTCCAACTAACTGATGAGAATGTGTACAGTTTGAAGTTTGATACATTTGGAAATACCCACGTTGAGGTCACGATTGTTATACCATCTTCATCTCAAGAAAACCTGTATAAAATTCCAACTAACTGATGAGAATGTGTACAGTTTGAAGTTTAAAACATTTGGAAATACCCACGTTGAGGTCACGATTGTTATACCACCTTTATCTCGAGAAAACTTTATAAAATTCCAACTAACTGATGAGAATGTGTACAGTTTGAAGTTTGATACATTTGGAAATACCCACGTTGAGGTCACGATTGTTATACCATCTTCATCTCAAGAAAACCTGTATAAAATTCCAACTAACTGATGAGAATGTGTACAGTTTGAAGTTTAAAACATTTGGAAATACCCGCGTTGAGGTCACGATTGTTATACCACCTTTATCTCGAGAAAACGTGTACAATTCAGTAGGTTTTGACTGTTCAGTATACACTTTAGCATTTACAATTCACATTGGTGATTAAGACAGAAAAAAAATCACTTCAAACCATGCAATTTCTTTTCTCTGGATTTAAAAGTCGCCCATTATTCTTTTCATATTTCCAGTGATACAATCAGAAGAGAATGACACTCAGAAATTATGTTGGATATTTGTATTCCTATCATGACGTAAATATAGTCATTGTAAATACACGTATCCATACATTCATTGTATGTAACTACTCAGTGTGCACGACTTACTGTGTCTTAATACGTATATACTACTCAGTGCGCACAAGATAAAAAAACATGTTTGTTCTTGCTCTTAACGGCTTTCCGTAGTATTGTGATAACAGTCATGACGGCATCGAGAATTTTCGCATGTCCTTCATTTTCTTTGACCATGGCATTCCCCAATGGCCCTGACCAAGTCGAGGAACCTAGTTTGAACATTTACGGTACAATGATGAGTGTGTGAGTATGGCTTTACGCCGCTTTTAGTATTATTCCAGCAATATCACGGCGGGGGACACCAGAAATGGTCTTCACACATTGTACTCATGTCGGGAATCGAACCGGGTGTTCGGCGTGACGAGCGAACGCTTTAACCACAAGGCTACCCGACCGCCCCGGTACAATGATGTTTTACATCGTTTTGTTTCTTGTTTAACATTTCAAACTGTCACATAAAGCGATTTCATCACCATAATTATTGTTATTAACTTACAAATACTGACAGTGTATACTGATGAGCACTGAACATGCAGCGACATATATCATGAACACGTATGCTATTATTAATTTCCAGATAATTCACTTGATATGAAGGAAGTACTCATCGTGTTCGCCGTCGCTGCGTTTGCAGTGTGCGACGGTCGTGTTCTATCCGCACCGAGACTGGCTCAGGATGCTGCTTTAAACTCGGGAACATCAAGAAACGGTCACATGGGCGCCGTAGCTTCCGGATTGACCGGAGGTGCTCCCCTGCAGGAATACCCGTATCCCCCGGCCTGCTTCCCCAACACTTGCCCAATCTATACCATCACTGCTACTGCTTCTGAGGTAAAACTGATGACCTCCAGCTTATTCGCAATTAACGTTATTATTTTAGCCTTTTTTTATTAATAGAACAAAGAGCTATTAATTTGTCTTTTGTATAGTCACGTCCCTGTGAGTGGATGAGAGAGGGTGTATAGTTTTACGCCGCTTTTAACAATATTCATGGAACATCACGGCATAGGACTCACTAAATGGGTTCAATCTGAGTCTTTCGCGTGACGAACGAACGCTTGCACCACTTGACTACCCTGTCAACTTAAGTCCATATAAATAAATGTGTTAGCAATAAGATTAATTGCTACCGGGCTGCATATCATCGACTTTCTGTAAGTTCTATCGAAGTTCTTTGCTGTGTAATCATACAGAACTACATCTTCCCGGGACAAGGGAATTAACTGACTGTAAAAATCCATTTTCCACCCTTGCCGAACGAGGCTGGAATTTCAGGGATCGATCGTAGCGCCACCAGTGGCTATTACGAGTTATGTCCCTTCTATGTCTCTCCCATTGACCAGTCAGATACCACCTCTAATAACACTTGCAGCGTCCAGCCAAAACGATCTGATCGATAATCAAAATCTATAACGGGTCTTACTTCGCGAAGTGTATCAACTTACATGAGCACCTTGATTAAAAATATGATTTGCTTTGCTTTGCTTTGCTTTTTGTGCTTTGCTTTGCTTTGCTTTGCTTTGCTTTGCTTTGCTTTGCTTTGCTTTGCAAATCCTGCAATTGGCCGAAATCTGCACGGCAGTTTACGAACCGGATGTCGATTTCGTTACGCGATTTCAATTGGACTATGTATAAACTCGTTAGTCCAGCCAAAATATGCCCCCATAATTCCAGCCGAGGTCGACAAAGGTGGAAACTGGACTTTTATCGTCAGTTAACTCCCTTGCCTCGGGAAGATGACAGAACTAAATCATGACAGAAGTTTAAAACTTGCAAGTGCAGGAAAGATGAAACAGACAAGTGTCAACCATTAGAATACATGTATATCTGAAAAACTCTTCATACCAATATTTGAAAGATTTCCCTAACGAAAACAAATGACATTTAAAGCACTTATCACACCTCATCCTTTTTATGAGTATGTGCTAGAACATCTGGCATATCCCAGTCCACTGTGACAGAAAATCGGCTCACTTCATGAGATAAACATGGTATTTGGCAAGGACTGAATGAGTCTCTTTTTTTACATTTTCTGTTTCAGAAATACGAGACGAGACAGTACCCGGCTGGTAAGTGGCTGAAAGCCACAACACAACCATACGATGTGCGACACATCGAGTCCAAAGACATCATCGACTACATCATCAGCGCGAATTCACTGAGTGAGTTACACAATGATGGACATACGTTCGATGGCCACTGTATATAGTTTACAATATGACAATGTTGAATTCTGATATTAACATGACATGGGTAGTCTGTCAGACACTGAAACAAATATATCCAACACAGCCCATGCAAGTCTATAATATTTGTCAAGTCTAGATTACTGCACTATCTGAAAATGAAGAGTCTCTGGGCTCCTTTTTATGATATTTTATTACGATAATTTAACAACTGTTTTTTCTGTAAAATGTGTTGATTTCATAGACTAGATGTTAGTCTTATTAAATAGGTAAATCTTATGCTTACCCTTTTCGCGAACACCTGGTGTCATCACTGATCTTCAGTGATCAATTCATATAACTTTCACCGCTGATTTGTCTTTTACGCCAGATGGAATATTTTCGGCAGATTCTCAAAACTGATTATTCACTGGCGTTGACGTTTTATGTTATAGTGCACTACTAGGGAACCATACGGGTCACGAGGAAGTACATGTGCTTAAAATGTCTTCGGAAGTAGCATAAGCTCCGAACTCTTGGTGGAACTAAATATATGAACAAATTATGTGAACTGACTTCATTACCAATGAAACTTGAAGTATCAGTGTAGCGGTCAATACCAACAAGCACGTTAGTTTTATTCAGTGGCAGAAGGGAGTGAAAATATATTTTGGTCCAGTTTCCACAATATATACAATGATGGGAGGGGGGAGGGGCACAAGTGTTTTATTAACAGCTATACCCAAATAACTGCGCTTTGGCGAGTGTACACCAAGGATATCCATAAATGAATTCTCAACTTCCGGGCAATAAAAAGTATACACTTGAACCTTGAACCTTGATGAATTTCTATCAAATAGTGATGTTAGCTGGTGTTTGCGAAACGGTTAGCGTATCCTGCTTCACCGAAGGCACCCGTCACAAACACATGCAAAGGCAGTAAAGTATACATCTGAACAAACATGAAAACACCGCCACAAGCTCAGAACAAAAAAAAGATTTTATATTCTCCTGAACATTCAAAATAATAACGTTGTTAGATTATCAGCTTCGAAGTACTTCCAGTAATGTTAGCAGAACCAATCAGAATCCATCATTTCAACCACCAATCATAACATCCCTACCTAAGCCCTTTCAGGTTAATGTTTTCCCATTGTTAATTTTTACCTTACCACAAACGTACTGGTCACTACCTATGCCCATTTAGGTTTAATGTTTCAACTTTTTTATTGCTTCCCTTCCACAAAAGATGACATGTCCTGTGCATAGAGTCACATACAGTGGCCTCCATTTTGTTTCTATTAAAAGACAAAACCCTGCAGTACGCCGTGCCCGTGGTGGTTAAGGTGGACGTCCCTCTCGGCCACGCTGCCGTCTACAAGAGGTTGATGGCCCAAATGTCCTCTGTTGGGGTCATAATGCAACAAAAGCGGAACGAGATTATTAAACAGCTGACAGAGCTGCAACAACAGCATCAGCATCTGCAACCCCACCAGCTGATGGTGGAGCTGCAGAAGAGGATGCAGCCGATGAAGCAGCAGTACCGGACCCTGACCGCCGGCATCTACAGTGAGTTCTCCACCTTCTCCCACAACTACAACATGACGCTGTACCTGTACTTGCACCCAGACTACCATCAGAACACCCCAACACCCACCAACCCTAATGTCACCATCGTGGACTCACCTGGATTCTCCGTCTATGCCAAGTAGGTATTACAAAAGGACTATGCCCATTGCCAGTATAGGTCTAATGAGATGTGGGTGGATCTCGGACATTGTCTGTTAGTGATCAGGGTCATCATTGACAGCAAAATTGAGGCACATCTTAGAATTTTACACAGCTGACAAAGAAAGTAGCGGTTGGAGACTTGAATCAAATCTACTAGGACTGCCAATTATATCGAGCCTGGAACCCCTTTAATGAAACGATGAGGTCTAAAGAGCAAAGTGTGTCCCTTCTGGGCTTTATTTGTTCCCAAACCAGCTCCTATTGTAAAAGGACCCGTGAAGATTCCGGGGTAGAATAGGTCTTCAGCAACTGGATTCACAGGGATTCACAGGGATTCGAACCCAGGATCATAGGTTTCTGGCGTGCCTAAAGGGACGCAACTCTGCACAGCGAATTGCGGCGCCTTAGACGACTGGCCCACAGGTGCTCCCTGGGCCAATAGGAACCAGCAAATTTGATCCAAGTATTTCAAAAGCATAATTATATTAAATACATCACAGAAATATTGTCTGAGTTTCACATACATTACTAACACCTCCAAGTCCTGGATTTAAAATGGCTACGAGACTAGCAGCATATTGTCTCACAGACTGTTCAGTGTGTTATACATTATACATTATACCTGTTGAAGATTAGACTATTTCACAACACACAATGACTTAGCTAATTATTCTCTATCTTCCTACGTGCACATGTATATCATTTGACAGCAAGACTGATCTGTAAACTCACGTAATGATGATAATCTGTTTACAAAATAATCAGCACCCTAATAAAATCCCAGCAACCTCTGTTGGTCGCAAGAGGTGACGAAAGGCCATCCTCTATGTGTTGATTGCGTGTCATCTCACCCCGACTGCTCTGGGTGTTCCTAAAAGTATCAACCTCTGCCTTGTCTTGTCAGGTTCGATCCTGTTTTGTTTGTTTGTTTGTTTGTTTGTTTGTTCTTTAACACCTCCCTCAGCAATATTTCAGCTATATGACGGCGGTCTGTAAATAATCGATTCTGGACCAGACAATCCAGTGATTGATATCATGAGCATCGGGCCTGAGCCCGACCACCCGATCCCGTTAGTCGCCTTTTACGACAAGCACAGCCACCTTTTACGGCAAGCGGGGGTTGTTGATACCTGTTCTACCCCGAGGTAGTTCGATCATGTACAAGCCACCTTTATATTGTTTATATTCTGTTTATACCCGCGTCAAACAAAAAATAAATTATTTACATATCCGGATGACCGCTTTGAAATCCGTAAGTGATTTCTTACATATGGGTGTTATATTTATTCTGTTCTCTACCTCCTGGCGAACATTTATAAATACATTCTCATTAAAAGGTAAAAATATGCATGAATGCAAATAAACAATTTACAGTCACTTGATATTTTATCGTATGCACATTGTGCATTTTTACTCTTAACCCCTCTTCGAAAAACTTCTTTGTTGTACTGTGCGCCTGTTGCCATTCAGTATTGAAACCATTCATTCATTCATTCATTCATTCATTCATTCATTCACATAAGTTTTCATATGATGAATCACATTTTCAGAGGCTACATGGACATGAATGCAGCCTCCTCCTACGACATGGCCCTGAACGTCTCCTCCGCTGCCAACGTGGAATTCAGCAGCTACTACTTCATCGACTACTTACAACGCTACAATGGCTTGAACAAGTTCTTCTACCATGAAGTGTGGCTCAGCACTGATCCAACAAGGCCAGTCCTGTGAGCAAAGGCACTGCACTGCAGCTCAGGGTGTCGAGTGGTCAGCCATCTACCCGTGGCGTTAACGTGTTCTTCATCAGTACAATATGTTTCCTACGTACTTTAGTGCGGGCAGTGAGTGAGTGAGTGAGTTGGGTTTAACGCCGATCTGAAAAGTATTCCAGTTATATCACGGCGTGTCCCCTTAAGAGGTATGAATACCAAAGAAATGCAGGTCTTAGATGCTTACCACCTTAGTGAAACCCACGAGTATGGACATAGGTGAATATGGGATTCGAACCCAGGATCATAGGTTTCTGGTTCGCCTAGGGGACGCAACTCTACACAGCGAATTGCGCAGCCTTATACCGCTGTGCCACCCATGTCCCGACAAGGAACGGCAAAGACAGTCAATTACGTTATGACTATCACAAACCCAACATCCACAGAACTAACAGCTAACACGGTACTACATTCATTATTCACATCGTGTATCCTTGTATGTTTTATTAAACAGTAAATCCCAATCATTGTTCTTGAACTCTTTCTTTCAAAGGATTGCTGATCAATATCATAATTTAATTATCGACTCTTATGACGAAAGGACCGCGGGGATTCCGGATAAGAATATAGGTCCCCCAGCAACCAATATGGCACATTAATGGATCGGGTGGTCAGGCTCGCTGACTTGGTTGATCGTATCCTAATTTTGTGGATCGATGCTCATGCTATCAATCACTGGATTGAGTGACCTAGGCTCGATTATTTACAGACCGCCGTCATATTGCTCGAATATAGCTGAGTACGGCGTTAAATAACAAACAAACAATAGACGAATTAACACGATCCGTATGCCATCTTTCCTGGTGTGATGGAAGTATACATAACACGTCTCTCACCTAGGATCGGTGTGCTATAGAAGTAGTATTACCCTGCTCTGTATATACTGACAGTATATTGCCCTCTCAATACATACTGTCATTTATTGCCCTGTTCAAGTTGACAGACCACAAAACCAAAGAAGGAAGTCACATTTAAAGCGGGACTGAGCTCAGGCAAATTGGCGGTTCCAGTAAATTTAATTCAAGTCATTCAAATATTAGTGTGTGTTGCTTCCAATTTCATGACGTATGATAATTTGTCAGTTAATGTTAACCCGAATCACACAGAGACAATGTCAGCTTCACACACGTTAATTACCCCCATCTCGAACTAGGTAGACATGGGAACCAAACGTATGTGCACAGTCCCCCTTTAAATCCAAGCATGCCCAAGGCGTCTGACACAACCTGCCCCTTTAAGAAATACGTGATTTTTAGGAGTGACTGAGTATGGTTTTACGCCGCTTTTAGCAATATTCCAGCAATATCACGGCGGGGGACACCAGAAATGGGCTTCACACATTGTACCCATGTCGGGAATCGAACCCGGGTCTTCGGCTCGACCATTTTTTAACGTATTTTGGTATGACGCGGCCGGGGATCGAACCCCGGACCTTCCGCTTTCCGGGCGGACGTTATACCACTAGACCACGGAGGCGCCCCTACATTGCGGAAGCAGTCAAGCCCTCCTTATGATAAACATAAGTCAATAGAAACAAAGGTACGTACCAAAGTCAATAACGTTTGATTTAAGTGATTTATCGCAGGGTAACTGCCACGTTCACGCTATGACGATTCGTGGTGATAAATTACCGTTGGCACATGTTCAAAGACACAAGCCGTATACAGGGAAGGGGCATTGTCAGGTAAGGCCGATGATCCACGGCGATCAACAGTCTCGTCAACATATTCTTGATTGCTTGATTTTTTGACTGACTGACTGACTTACCCATATCTACTTTCTTGTACTTACTGATATATATTTACTTATATTTATTTACGCTCTATGTGCTTCTCAATCATTTCAAAAGTATTCAAAATATATTTTAGAATAGACTAAACTAGCAGACCTTAAAACACAATTATTTTTGCACACGCACCGGTTTTCTTGCCACCACCAAGACAGTTCATCTAACCGATAACACCCTGGCAACACTATACAAGTTCATCTAACCGAGAACGTCCATGTACATGAGCAATCAGAACAATGTCGAGGTTGTGAAAGGTGAACAACGGTAAACAGTTGTATGTACGTTCCATAATGAGTTTATAATAAATACAGGACAAAAATGTGTTAAATATATTCATGGGGAAGATGAGTGCTGATATATGTATGATATTTGCAGCAATAAACAATGCTCAAATATAGAATACGTATAACCTGATTTGAAAATCAACGCTAGAAAAAAACACTTGAAATCGATCTGGCGTTGCGTGATAAGACGAACAAAGACACAACAACCTCTCGAACAAACCACGCAGAACTAGATTGTAACCAAGTGTAGCTAACATGGGTTTACTCGCCGAAAGGCATGGGTAATCGTACACCTCAGCCCAGTAGAATTTATGGTTCGGTCTTATTTACTTCCTGCTTGCTAGCTGGTGCTAATACCCCACCGACGTGCGCACTCTGGGATAAGACAGTTATACAGAATACACGATTTGTGTGAGATCAATACTTTAAACTATAGACTTGTTAATGATATAATCACTGCAACGCTGATCGTGTTGGCCGAAATACATGTTCATTCTGGACCCTGTGTTTTCGACCCGTGTCTAGTCAGGTAAGTTGTACTTACGCTTGTACCGAGAACTGATTCTAATGTCCCCTCGACGAAGTCCGTTGTCGTGTCAAATACCTAATCGAGGTAGATGCGGTATAACCCCTATGCTGTTATGTAAACTACATACACATGACGGTAGGGTTGCGAGTGAGGTCGGTTTAGTTCCGCATTGAACAGTATTTCAGTTAGGTCAGGGTGATGCAGGTCTTGGACGTTAAACACTTTGGCGAAACCCAAACAGATTCAGCGAGTCTGGGATTCGAACCCACGACCTTAGGATTGTGGCACGACTAAATGGCGCAACTCTGCACAGCAACTAAAGAGTTCGCTCGTCACGTCAAAGACCTGGGTTAGAATCCCCACATGGGTACAATTTGGGAAACCCATTTCTGGTGTCCCCCGCCGTGATATTGCTGGAATATTGCTACAAGCGGCGTAAAACCAAACTCACTCACTCACTCACTCTAACTCTTTCTGTAACTGTTACTTACTTCAGGTACCCTTAATAGTAAGACATGTCCATGTCGATGAGGAGGTCGTCCAAGGTAGATGTCGTCCCTGCTAACCGCACCGGCCATGGTGGTGGACCTGGAGGGTCAGTCGCCCACACAAGAACAGGCCGTAAGATTCTCACTGAGGAGGAACAGCTACAACACGACATCAAGATTCACCCGGAACTCCAGTCAACTCTTCAAGGATTCGACGACTTTCTAAATCTCCTTCAAGCTAAGAAGAGAGATAAGGGACAGATTTTTGAAGCCCTGTCAACAAACATAAGTAAAGCCTTTGGAACGTATTCATCAGACAGCATACGTGGAATCATGGGGAATTATCTGGCAGTTAAAGGGTTCGCAAAACGCATGTATGATCTGTATGAGTTTGCCATTGGTACGATGGACATTCTGACGTGTGATTTCATCCACAAGCACCAGGATGCTATCGAGGTGAAGCTGGTGATGGAGATGCGGAAGAGTCTGTGGACGGCCAGTGACAACAGTTGGTCTCTTGGGGAGAAGATTTCCCAGACAGGGTTGTTCAAGTACCTCCTAGCGGACGTGAAAGCCATCGGGAAGACCTTACCAGTCATATCGGTAACCTGTGTTTATATACTCTTATCATATAAATATAAATTGTCAATGCAAGAGAATAACCAATCTAGTTTATCCGCTGATTCCATTTGGCCAAAAGGCCAAAAAAACTTTGAAAATATATGAATGGAACACTGAGAATGAGTGATGACACCAGTTGTTCGCGAAAAGGGTAAGCATGTCCTGCTCTCCCGGTAGCCGCCGTCACTAACACAATTCGCATAAAAAAAGTAAGCATTTATTGCCTAACGTCGCACAGTAGTGGTCCTGCCATGCGACGGCGGTGTGTTCACAAACAAAACAATCAAGTGATCGATGAACCAGAAAATCTAGTAACACGTTAGTGCATTTACTGATTTTATTTAAACTAATAAAATGATATGTCAATTTTGAATTACGTCTGCTGTGTGCAAGTGCAGAGATTCTCCTGCTTTAAATTAAAGAAAAAAGGTTTGAGAAAAATATTTGTTTTTGAACACAGTGACGGGGGCAGTTTTAATGTCTCGGCCTAAACATTTCTTTTGTAGTTGACCCAGCTCAGCATAGTGACATATCACTTCTTATATGGGTACTTATAAATCACGATAAGATCATAGTGATGACATCTTCATTCTGCTTTTAGTAACATTAATCAATAATTATATCAATAATTATTCCAAAATGGTCGCCAACTGAAGCCACATAAACTCTGTAGACGAGTATGTACTTTCCAAGATATGTTTATCTGTTTGAGTATAGTCCTGCTTCGGTGTTTAAATATGACCTGGTTTATCGGTTCTTTATATACTGTAAATCCTTGAAATAAATGCGAGAGGAAAGTCAATTGCGAAAATGCGAATGGTCCTTGCTCGCATTAATTACATTTCGCATTTTTTGACTGTTGACAAGAGGACCTCGCCTCGTATTTCTTCAGATCAACGAACAGGCGATAACACATGGGTCAAACCAAGCCGGACATCGCAATCAGCTGCACACACATTTTCTCCCAGATAAACCAGTGATTCATTTAAGAAATACCCAATTATATACCGTGAATGAATTTGTTGCAAATTTCTTACTTTCTTGCACAATTCTTTAAAAAAAAATGTCAGTGGAGGTCAAATGGCTTTATATTATATGTCAGAAGCAGAATGTGCCGGCATCCAGATGCTCATGTAAATAAACAATGATGTTTGCAAAAACAAAAACCTGACAAATGACAATGCTTAACGCCCACCACACCCCCTCGGGGATTTCGTGTTAACGGTGTTTAGATGTGACACATAAACATAATAATAACATAGATGTGACACATAAACATAATAATAACATTGTTTTGAGATTAAACATGTCTGTGTTAGAGGTGAACGGCACGAGTTTTGTCATTATTGCGGTTCCTCGCGTAAAGACTTGTACAGTTGCACTAACCTCGTCTTGTATGCCTTGACTCACACGCGTGACTTTCACTGACTGTTCCGGCATATTTCTGGGCTATATTGGGCACCTGTCAATCATCCAAGACAGGCTCGAGTCACGTGTGTGATTTATTGTTGTGATTATGCTGGAGTGGCATGGTACATACAAAACATGGACATGCTCCCACTGGTATCTTGTTGTTAAAAGTTTATAAAGAAATTCAAAATTATGTACATATTTTATAGTATTATACAACTTTCAGGTTGACGTAAGGTGAGCTAATAATCAAGTTAGTTGACAGGTTCATTATAAGAACAATATAACTGAAATCTTCCCCTGCCACTTTGCCGTCTGAGTTATGTACGAGGCGCCATCCGCAACAGACACCAGGCTTTAAAGATTCAACATGTAAATATGACTTACAACCGAAAATAACTCATACAAAAATTGGGTTGGTGACATTTTAGTTACTCGTTCTGGTGTATACTTCATGTCTTCAACAACATAACAGCATGGGTACAAACCAGGATTTAAAACGCCAGACTTTTTGTTTGGGTTTATGGATTTTGATAGTCAAATATTTGGTCTGTAGGTCGAAAATGATTAAATGCATTCTACAGGAGTTTTGTAATCATCCTAAAATTGATTTGGATCGGCAAGTGATACAACAATCTTGGCCTGGTTGAGGTGCTTATAAATATTATATATCTAAAACCTCATTTATTGTCGAAGCGATCTTTACCGTCGGTGTAACAAGGCCTTTGTCTTTCAGAGTTGTTTTTGAAATTTTCGATTTTTAAGATAGACGGATCCGTAAAACAAACAAAACCAGGCGACATACTTTTAACCTTTCATGTGCAGTGTCATTTAGGACACATGTAGCCTTGCTCCAAGTCTGTACTGAAAGATACGTCAATGGATGTGTTGTAATTCTATCCTCCTAATAGGCAAGTCTAGACATATGGACAGACTCCAGTCTCTTAAAGGGACAACTAGTTCTTACTATTAACATAATCTAGAAATTATTACTTAAACTAATAATTATTGCCCTAGAGACTTGTGCAAGTCTAGACAACATGGTACGGATGACCGCGTGAAGATTCATACTTGTGGCGGAACAGTTTGAACTTTGACCCTAGAAGCCGTTTCGACAATCGCGATAAGATATTTCTACTAAGATAAGGTGGCATCTTCGTTGTCTCCAAAATAGAAATAAAGGTTGGGATGGGATTAATAAAATAGACGCGTCCTCCCTTTATCTGGAGCTGTAGATAGTAGCTGTGACACGAGAGTCGGGTTTTCATAGTTGGTCGTTTAGAGCATGCAGGGTCATGTGAGGTCATAGTGACGCATTGGATGCACCTTTCATCAATATATTGTTTGTGAAATGTTTGTGCATACTGGGCCGAGCGGTCTACATTGCCAAACTGAATACATACAAACAAAAGGTCGTGGCAGTGACTATAACGCAAGATGTCGGTGAACTAAACACATTTTATTCCTATTAAAATAATGTTTAACTGAATGTACTAATACAGCTAAAAGCAACATTATTTATCAATTTCAAACATTTCAAACCATAAAACGTATCTCATTTAAACAAAATTCAGTTGTGACAAGGCTTCAACCAACACGGAGATTTCCATTAAGTCCAGATATTTGTTTTCAGTTACCGCTGCAAAACCAGATATGTATTTAATTAAGACTATTAACCTAATTATTCTCTTTTAAAAACATCTTGCAACAATGTAGTATCATTTTTTATTCTAATGGAACAATTTATTTATTTCGATAAAATCCCAGACACAAGCATGTACGGGTAGACAGTAATCACGTGGTATGTCATGTGGTTGGTAGGATTCACTGTCACAGCCAAATGATCAGATTTCGATTTTGGGATGATTCCGAACTTTACGAACTACCTATATATAAACATGTTGGTACAATACAATAGTGGATCACGATATTCATTGATGAAAATAGTTTAGTCGACTTGTTGATGGAATGTTCCATGATATATTTTTGCATCCTTGTTTTGTTGTTTCTAAAGCATCTAGGTCAAGAAACCTGTCATTAGTCACCTTTAACAGTCAAGTGTGTCCTTCATAGATGCAGTAAACGTCTAACACCTCCATCACTTCGGGCTTTCCTCCCACATCAAATTGACACACCGTCATAAAGCGGCGTTAAGTCCAACTCACTCACTCTATAGATGGTTTCACAAACACCATTTAGTAGAATGTCGTTTTGAATGTAGTATGTATGTTGTAGGATGACGATCTCCCCATTGACACCGATGTTGGCATCACGTACAACTGTGTAGTGTGTATGTTGTATGATGACGATCTCCCCATTGACACCGATGTTGGCATCATGTACAACTGTGTAGTGTGTATGTTGTAGGATGACGATCTTCCCTTTGACACTGCTGTTGGCATCATGTACAACTGTGTAGTCTGTGTGTTGTAGGATGACGATCTCCCCATTGACACCGCTGTTGGCATCATGTAAAACTGTGTAGTGTGTATGTTGTAGGATGACGATCTCCCCATTGACACCGCTGTTAGCATCACGTACAACTGTGTAGTCTGTATGTTGTAGGATGGCGATCTTCCCTTTGACACCGCTGTTGGCATCACGTACAACTGTGTAGTCTGTATGTTGTAGGATGGCGATCTTCCCTTTGACACCGCTGTTGGCATCATGTACAACTGTGTAGTCTGTATGTTGTAGGATGGCGATCTTCCCTTTGACACCGATGTTGGCATCACGTACAACTGTGTAGTCTGTGTGTTGTATGATGACGATCTCCCCTTTGACACCGATGTTGGCATCATGTACAACTGTGTAGTGTGTATGTTTTAGGATGACGATCTTCCCTTTGACACCGCTGTTGGCATCATGTACAACTGTGTAGTGTGTATGTTGTAGGATGACGATCTTCCCTTTGACACCGCTGTTGGCATCATGTACAACTGTGTAGTGTGTATGTTGTAGGATGACGATCTCCCCTTTGACACCGCTGTTGGCATTATGTACAACTGTGTAGTGTGTATGTTTTAGGATGACGATCTTCCCTTTGACACCGCTGTTGGCATCATGTACAACTGTGTAGTCTGTATGTTGTAGGATGACGATCTTCCCTTTGACACCGCTGTTGGCATCATGTACAACTGTGCCCAGAACCATGCGACCAGACAAAAGTACAGAGAGCTGGATGCAGTTGACATCCTCCTCCCCTTCCTTAAAGCTAAGTCAACAAGTAAGTCTGTCTACACTCCCGTGTTTCTGCACAGTACTGGAACTACGAAACATTGCCGATTATCTCGTCATTTGAGATCAAGGGAGAAATAATTCTGAATCTGAGTCTCTGATTTTTCTATGTAAACTGAGGGGCAAAAGAAAATATACTGAGTCTTTTATGTAACTGAAAATTGAAAGAACTGTTGTTAAATTTGACTTTGTCTATATAACAAACACTCACTCCTGCAAGTTTATTAAAAGTAATCCGTGTCTGGGTGATTTTGTGTAAAAAAAAATTGGTTCAATGAAGACTGGGGTAAGAAATGAATTTGCAACCAAATGTCCCCTACTATGTTTGAAATGTAAATATGTGCCAAAAATTTCCCAAATATATTGATTTTCCAAGATAAGCACTTGTGTATTGTGCGAATTGTTTATTATATTTTAAAAATTAAAACCATGTAGAACTATTCTTTAAGGTGCTAACTAAGCCCCTATGCAGTTCACGTTTTGGATATCATAGCGCTAACTTAAGATATTTCCAGTTGTAAATCAAACATATGATAAAATCAACTGAGAGGTATAGTTTCTTTTGCCTTTCTGTTGATTAAATGGAGTGATATTACATCCTATTTATTTCAGCCACTTTGACAAATATGCTAATTTGTTTCATATCATCAATGAACCAAGAGTGAAATCAGCTGGTAATTACACACAATATAACTACCTTCAAAGTTTTTATGCAGGTTTGTTTGTTTGTTGTTTAACGCCGTACTGGACAATTTTCCAGGCATATGACGTCGGTTTGTAATAATCGAGTCTAGAACAGACAATCCAGTGATTGATATCGCGAGCATCGATCTACACAATTTGGATACGATGACATGCATCAACCAAGTTAGTGAGCCTGCCGATCCCGTTTGTCGCCTCTTACGACAAGCATAGTCGCCTTTTACGGCAAGCATGGGTTGCTGAAGACCTATTCTTACCCGGATCTTTACATGTAGTTTATCTCTTTGGCAGAAGTGAAACTCACGACTCTGTTGGTGTTAACCCACATCGTGGACGAGGCGAAAAACAAAGTCCTTTCAGCAGACGTTAGTGTGTTCGATTTCCTCATCGACATGATCAAGAAGGCTTGGGAGGATCCCCATCATCGCTGTATCCAGGGGACCACTTTCTTCAGCGCCCGGGAACTGCTGAACGGACTGACAGCCTTGGCCAAGAATGACGACAACAAACGCCTGCTGATGGAGAAGGGGGTTTTGAAAACCCTAAAAACAATCCTTAAAGGGGGATCAGAGGTGGAGCAGGAGGAGGCTATAGGATGTATCAGGGAACTCTCCTTTAATGACCAAAACAAAAGTATTCTCAACGTAAGTATGCTTAGTATATATATACGGGTGGTACGCCTGGTGGAGGTTGATTATGGAGCTTTCGAACAAAAAATAATCCAATCAAAATGACACAATTAATCTTTTCCTTAGAAAATGAACAGCCGTGTCTGTCTTATGCCACTTTGTATGTTATTGTTCACATAGCTGAATAGTTTTCAAAACCCGAAGTCAATGGTAATAGCTGCAAGTTTGTATCAGCACACTAAAACGAACCATGATTCAACCACATTACCAGTCAGTGTCAAACATCTTCCCGAGGCAAGTGAGTTAACTGACTATAAAAGTCCAGTTTCCACCCTTGCCGAACTAGGCTGGTATTATGGAGTTACATTTTGGCTGGACTAACGAGTCTATGCATAGGCCAATCAAAATCGCGCACTGAAATCGAAATCCGGTTCGTAAAGTGTCATGCAGATTTCGGTCGATTGCAGGATTTGCAAAGCATGTGCACCGCTAACTCGTTGTCAACAGATATTTTCTAAATCTTTTCATGCTTTTAATCAAGGTGCTCACGTGATTTGATGCACTTCGCGATGTAAGACTCGTTTTATCACAATATAGATCTTGATTATCAATCAGATCGTTTTGACTGGGCGCCACCGTTTTGTTTGAAGCAAATGCAAGTGATACGAGAGGTTGAATCTGATTGGTCAATAGGAGAGGCCTAGAAAGGACATAACTCGTAATAGCCACTGGTGGCGCTACGATCGAGTCAAGGAATTCCAGCCAAGTTCGGCAAGGGTGGAAACTGGACTTTTAAAGTCAGTTAACTCTCTTGCCGCGGGAAGATGGTGTCCAAAGGCTGTAATTAATTCGATGTATGAAAAGTGTCTCTGTATAATTGGGGCAATTCTTACCCGATACATAAAATATAAAAACAGTAATATCTACAGACTATATTACTTTAATCAAACTTTGGCTTCTTTGTCTCCTTGATGGTTAACCTCAATCCGGAACTGGACTCACTAGTTTCACTAGTTCATGTGACTTCACATTACACGACACAATTGGCGGCTGTCGTGGCACATACACCGTATCAAATTGTATACCTAATTTCTATTTACTACAAAAAAACCTACATGAATACTATGCTGAGGGATATGCAGTTAACCCAGAATTCATGAAATACGACTATTTACATGTTGCTGAATGTCCACGTTCTCTTTCATAGGATAATACAAATTGAGTTATCTTCCCCTAGGCTGACGAAGGTGTGATGGACGTACTGAAGGAGAAGGAAGCGTCTGGTAACGCACACATCGCCAAGGCTGCCCAGTTCACTCGATGGGGCCTTGCCACCAAGAAAATCCAAGAATCCAGTAGGTTCCAGAATGTTTATCGTTCGAAATGTAGCTATATTAAGACATGACCGCCCCTTTCTCTCTTATCATACTATGCATTGAATGCCAGCTGGACATACGACCCTTAGGGTATATATAATATCCAGATACATGCGCATCTTGAGAGAACAGGCAGTTACATAGTCTATATTGAGATGAAAACAAATTTCATAGAGTCTCTAATACGGAACATCTTTCAAATTTATCAAGATTTCGTTCATCCAAAGATTGTACGAAACAACGTTGATCCCCTAATATACGCTTGCCACCGTAACTTGAACAACGAAATTGGATTTTCTGGCGTTTTGTTTTAAAAAATAATTTCTCACATCTTAGTCCAATGGCGTCTTTATTCAAAATCGTCATTGAATAACTCCATACTTTCGCTCATGACCACGTACACGCGTTTGCAAACATGCACTAGGGCTGAGACGGGTAACTCGGGTTCTCGGGTCGGGTGGGTACTGAGCAGGACAACCTGGACCCGTGCTTAGTCACGTGATATATTGTTTAAAGACAAAACTTATCTAAAACTCTATGGTCACACTACAAGCCACTAATGTTCCGCTTTCTTTCCGACTGTGCACGCATTCCTTCTGACTTTTATATGTTTGAAAAAAAAGATAAAAATTCATGCAGTAAACATCAGTGTATGCATGACCAGATCGTTTTATACGTGTATCTAAATACATTTTGCTATGGCTACGGTCAAACTTTTCCCAATCGGACAGTTTATACCTATCTCTTGAGACCTACAGCGGGTACCCGGGTAGGGTCGGATAATAGCGGGGTGGGTACCCGGGTAGTGAAGTTTGAATCGTCCCAGCCCTAATATGCACACTAACACATTCACTTAATACCGAAGCATCGGTATCACGACGAGGACTAAACCCTTTCCTCAGTCATAAGAAGAGTCCATTATACCATTTCGACTATTATAACCATGTATTTATAAATCACTATCAAATGGTAAAGATACAAGGTGTTTGCGAAAAGGTGAGCATATATCCTGCCCCACCGGTGGTGCCCATCACAAACACATGCAAAGGCAAGTCAACTGTTTACCTGAACAAACACGGGAACATGTATTACAAGTCAAGATTGCGTCAAATTTGGAAATTTCTCAACATGTCTACCATAACACCTTTTGAAAACTTTACAGAAGCATTGAACGTTGTAACCCTGATTAAACTCCTTCCATATAACGTGAACCTTCCTATGACAAGATGTGATTTGAAAGTCATTGTAAAGACACCTGGTTCTTCAAGACTTACATTCACGTTATCCATCAAAACAAAGCTTGTCTTCAAGTTTTGAATCAATAATGTTTTCGAAGTTACTACATTAGTTCATGATGTTGATGTTGAATTTCAGATATTCGACGCAGACAATCATCGATGTCGATGACCGCGATACCACCCAAATCTGGTCACGTGATGTTGAGTTACTCCTGGTACAATCAGAAAACCGTACTAGAAGTATGTTATTATTACATTGGAATTTCGATAATTTCAAACGACCTTATTCTCCACTTCTACCGTGAAACACATCCTCGATATCCAGTGTAGTATATCTCAGTTCCCAATTCCATACCAAATGCCCTGAACCCACTGGCTGGTGCAAATGACATAGTCCTGAAACTAGCCGTCCAAATTATATGTTGCCTCATGACCGAGACAAAAGGGGATCTCACCAGTACTCGATTCTAGTGGGAACTCCTGGTCGCTTGGACTATCCCATTTATATATGGTAAGATGGCGAACAGGTCCATGGGTATTTATCACAATAAAACGAATATTAAGTACACCGGACAATCCAAGATGTGTGAATTATTGAATATTATATTTCTCTCAGACAGGACATTATGTATCAGTAACAAAGAACAAAGAAGTCAATTAAGTCAAAACATTTTGAGCCTGACATATGTAGAACTGAAATATTATCATAAGCTTCAATTATTTATCAACATTCCCTAGCAGTTCATCCCTGTTTTGTAGAAGGTCAAATCGTGTTCTTTAAAACAGCCCTCGACCGGAGCAACTAATCCTAGGTCCTTGTTAAATATCTGGCCATGAACGTGTTTTGTCAATTTGAAAACAGGTGAGAGGGACTGGGGCCCAGATCGAGATAGGGTAGACTCTCATTTCCTTACTTCAACTATAGACTGGTGTGAACAGGTACATTGTCCTGATGGAGGAGAACACCATGTCCACGTTTGCCGAGACGCGCGCCTTTGATGATTTGCGCGATCCTTTCAATAAGTCTTCGATAATATTCACTATTCATCATTGTTCCACATGGTACATGATCGGTGTGTATAATGCCTTCGAGAAAGCGGTGCCAAAAAGAAGGTGGCCCTAACTGTTTTAGTGGATCTGGTCGCTTTCAACGTCTTGCTCATTGTGAGACCCGAAGTGGTTCCACTCCATGGGTTCTTCTTTACTCTCGCTATCTTCGTGCTGGATCCAGGGCCCACTTGCACAAAGCGATCTTAGCGCTAAGACTATCGTACGCCTATGTTAAAGTATGGGAGTTAAGATCATCTTAGCACAAAGATCACTTTGTGCAAGTGGGCCCAGGTCTCATCACCTGTGACTAGCCTCCAAATGAAAACCGGGTTTGCAACTATATCTGTTTTACAGGACATTAGAGGTAGTGAACCGCATCGCCTTCATCAGATAGCATTCTAGGAATACATTGGGAACAAACCTTTGACATATGTAGATGTTTATGAAGGATTGCTTCTATTGACCTATTCGAGAAGTGGTCTCCTCTAACTCATGGGGTATAATTCGCGTATTGTTCAGGACCAGGTTGTCGATGGCATCCCTGTCTTCTTCTGCTGCTGTTGCCAGAGCCGGGTCCATCTTACCAAGTCTCCCCACACTCACACTGAACTTCCGTCCCTCAACATTTGATTTTGGCCTATGATGGGTCTGCCGCCCATGAACGCCATGCAACCTTTCATTTATATTCTTTGGGCGATTGACCTTCTTAGGTTACATACAGGTTTGTTCATGCCAAGGAGTATGATACCTCGAAGTCAACCATAAACAATTGGCTGGACTCAATCACACCCAATTGTGAATTTTGACTCTATGAATACTAATATATCTCACACGTGAGCAGAACAACAACCTGGATATGACAGGCTCAAAACTTTCTGATACGCTTCGTATGATACCATCCGAAACCAATTTTAAAGAGGAGACCCAATGAGTGAAGCAACAAACATGAATACTAATGCCTCCAATCTGTTCTCAGTTACTGACAAGATGATCGTGTCGGATCACTACCCCCAAGAAATTCCCAGTCAAGAAAATAGCTCCATTCTGTTACCAAAACATGACCAAACCGAAGTACCAGACGCAGTGATTCTGTACTGTTTTGTTGTTGATTGCTTTGTCCCCAAATGGCTCCAAAGTTATTCAATAGAGCTAACTCGTATATTTGACATGTGTCATATATCCTCAACCAACAATTTTCGGATCCTGGCACTACTAAGGGATGTAGCTCTGCATAATACCCCAGAAGACAGTTCAGTCCACGCCAGAAGGTAGCTAGAAGTACAAACTTGTGGCGAAACATTATTTTGGTTCAGCATATGCTCATAGGTATATTGTCTCCAGAAATAGTGGCCTTTTTATACTTTAGCCATAGGTCTGTACTCCATTGTTATCAATTCAAACCTTAAGCAAACTTAAAAGGATAGTTGCCAGGAGCATGTATCTGTCCGATACAGTTCATTACTAAGTCTGTACAAACAACGGCATGAAATACTTTGGAATCACATCCGGTACAGAATGTTTTGTCAACTGAACGCCAGGTCTATGATCGACTGAAGAGTGAGGGATTTCGGCTCTGGATTGACATTGATGACATGGCCGGCAGCACGCTGGGGGCGATGGCGAACGCCGTGGAGAAGGCCAGTGCTGTTATTTTGTTTGTGTCGGAGTCATACTTTGAATCGCAGAATTGTAGGCAAGGTTGGTGACACTAGATATGGTTATGTGAGTGAGTGACTGAATGAGTTTGGCGTAACGCTCTTTTGACGGATTTCCAGTTATATCATGGTGTGACAGCTTAATGTGGGAAAAAAGTCCGAAGTAATGCAGGTCTTACCTGACATACCTAGAAATACATTCGGGACGAACCCGGATTCGAACCTACAAATATAGGTTTCTGGCGGGCCTAAGATAGATATTGTTATATATGGCCTGACCGCCCGATCCCGTTCGTCGACCCTCACGGCAAGCAGGGGATGCTGAAGGCCATTTTTCACGAGGGTCTTATGGGGGCTTTAACAAGCATTCACTACTCGTATCAATAGTATCAGTATATGTAATCACTGAATTGTCTGATCCAGACTCGACTGTGGACGCTGTGGAGATTATACTTATACAAATAGACACAAAAACGTAAGTTTATATTTGCAATGACAAATGCATAATTTAAACATAGGAACAAACAATTAGCGTACTCTTAGTATTGAGACTACCACGCTAGGATTCTACACTGGTGCTTGTTGCAGAGGCGGAGTACACGTACAAGCTGAAGAAGACGATGGTGCCGGTGCTGCTGCAGGGGGGGTACCAACCTACAAGCTGGCTGGGGATCATTCTGGGGACGAAGTTGTACTTTGACATGAGTCCTGGGAAAGACTTTGGCGCCAAGTTGAAAGAACTCGTGAGAGAGCTCGGGGATAATGGACGAATTACAGAGGAGGAAGAGAAGGTGCAGTTATATGCTATGCCGATTTGTTATTCCAGTATCCCATGAATTCATACGTATAGGTTCATGCTTGAGCGGAGAGGTTTATACCAGAGGAGGGAGGTTCATGCTAGGGTAGACTGATTCAAGCATGTTAGAATAGATGGGTCCATGTTAGAATAGATGGGTTCATGTTAGAATAGATGGGTTCGTGTTAGAATACATGGGTCCATGTTAGAATAGATGGGTTCATGTTAGAATAGATGGGTTCGTGCTAGAATAGATGGGTTCGTGTTAGAATAGATGTGTTCATGTTAGAATAGATGGGTTCGTGTTAGAATACATGGGTCCATGTTAGAATAGATGGGTTCATGTTAGAATAGATGGGTTCGTGTTAGAATAGATGTGTTCATGTTAGAATAGTTGGGTTCGTGTTAGAATACATGGGTCCATGTTAGAATAGATGGGTTCATGTTAGAATAGATCGGTTCGTGCTAGAATAGATGGGTTCGTGTTAGAATAGATGGGTTCATGTTAGAATAGATGGGTTTATGTTAGAATAGATGGGTTCATATTAGAATAGATGGGTTCATGTTAGAAAAGATGGGTTCATGTTAGAATACATGGGTCCATGTTAGAATAGATTGGTTCATGTTAGAATAGATGGGTTCGTGCTAGAATAGATGGGTTCGTGTTAGAATAGATGGGTTCGTGTTAGAATAGATGTGTTCATGTTAGAATAGATGGGTTCATATTAGAATAGATGGGTTCATGTTAGAATAGATGGGTTCGTGCTAGAATAGATGTCTTCATGTTAGAATAGATGGGTTCATGTTAGAATAGATGGGTTCGTGTTAGAAAAGATGTGTTCATGTTAGAATAGATGGGTTCGTGTTAGAATACATGGGTCCATGTTAGAATAGATAGTGCATATTGATTCACGCTAGAGTTGAGTGGTGACTCCTGAGAGTGACTACACCAGCTCTGACGTGTTACTGCTCGACTACTGAGACTGACTACACCAGCTCTGTTATGTTACTGCTCGAATCCTGAGATTGACTACAGAATATCTGTCATTTTACTGCACGACTACTTAGAGTAACTACACCAGCTCTGACGTGTTACTGCACGACTACTTAGAGTAACTACACCAGCTCTGATGTGTTACTGCACGACTACTTAGAGTAACTACACCAGCTCTGACGTGTTACTGCTTGACTCCTGAGAGTGACTACACCAGCTCTGATGTGTTACTGCACGACTACTTAGAGTAACTACACCAGCTCTGACGTGTTACTGCTTGACTCCTGAGAGTGACTACAGCAGCTCTGTCATGTTACTGGTCGAATCTCGAGACTGACTACTCCTGAGAGTAACTACACCAGCTCTGACGTGTTACTGCACGACTACTTAGAGTAACTACACCAGCTCTGACGTGTTACTTCACGACTAATTAGAGTAACTACACCAGCTCTGATGTGTTACTGCACGACTACTTAGAGTAACTACACCAGCTCTGACGTGTTACTGCTTGACTCCTGAGAGTGACTACACCAGCTCTGATGTGTTACTGCACGACTACTTAGAGTAACTACACCAGCTCTGACGTGTTACTGCTTGACTCCTGAGAGTGACTACAGCAGCTCTGTCATGTTACTGGTCGAATCTCGAGACTGACTACTCCTGAGAGTGACTACACCAGCTCTGATGTGTTACTGCACGACTACTTAGAGTAACTACACCAGCTCTGACGTGTTACTGCTTGACTCCTGAGAGTGACTACAGCAGCTCTGTCATGTTACTGGTCGAATCTCGAGACTGACTACTCCTGAGAGTAACTACACCAGCTCTGACGTGTTACTGCACGACTACTTAGAGTAACTACAACAGCTCTGACGTGTTACTGCTCGAATCCCAAGACTGACTACTCCTGGGCGTAACTACACCAGCTCTGACGTGTTACTGCACGACTACTTAGAGTAACTACACCAGCTCTGATGTGTTACTGCTTGACTCCTGAGAGTGACTACAGCAGCTCTGTCATGTTACTGGTCGAATCTCGAGACTGACTACTCCTGAGAGTAACTACACCAGCTCTGACGTGTTACTGCACGACTACTTAGAGTAACTACAACAGCTCTGACGTGTTACTGCTCGAATCCCAAGACTGACTACTCCTGAGCGTAACTACACCAGCTCTGACGTGTTACTGCACGACTACTTAGAGTAACTACACCAGCTCTGATGTGTTACTGCACGACTACTTAGAGTAACTACACCAGCTCTGACGTGTTACTGCTTGACTCCTGAGAGTGACTACAGCAGCTCTACCGTGTTACTGCACGACTACTTTGAGTGACTACACCAGCTCTGACGTGTTACTGCTTGACTCCTGAGAGTGACTACAGCAGCTCTGTCATGTTATTGCTCGAATCCCGAGACTGACTACTCCTGAGAGTAACTACACCAGCTCTGACGTGTTACTGCTTGACTCCTGAGAGTGACTACAGCAGCTCTGTCATGTTACTGCTCGAATCCCGAGACTGACTACTCCTGAGAGTAACTACACCAGCTCTGACGTGTTACTGCACGACTACTTAGAGTAACTACACCAGCTCTGACGTGTTACTGCTTGACTCCTGAGAGTGACTACAGCAGCTTTGTCATGTTACTGCTCGAATCCCGAGACTGACTACTCCTGAGAGTAACTACACCAGCTCTGACGTGTTACTGCTTGACTCCTGAGAGTGACTACAGCAGCTCTGTCATGTTACTGCTCGAATCCCGAGACTGACTACTCCTGAGAGTAACTACACCAGCTCTGACGTGTTACTGCACGACTACTTAGAGTAACTACAACAGCTCTGACGTGTTACTGCTCGAATCCCAAGACTGACTACTCCTGAGCGTAACTACACCAGCTCTGACGTGTTACTGCACGACTACTTAGAGTAACTACACCAGCTCTGATGTGTTACTGCACGACTACTTAGAGTAACTACACCAGCTCTGACGTGTTACTGCTTGACTCCTGAGAGTGACTACAGCAGCTCTACCGTGTTACTGCACGACTACTTAGAGTGACTACACCAGCTCTGACGTGTTACTGCTTGACTCCTGAGAGTGACTACAGCAGCTTTGTCATGTTACTGCTCGAATCCCGAGACTGACTACTCCTGAGAGTAACTACACCAGCTCTGACGTGTTACTGCTTGACTCCTGAGAGTGACTACAGCAGCTCTGTCATGTTACTGCTCGAATCCCGAGACTGACTACTCCTGAGAGTAACTACACCAGCTCTGACGTGTTACTGCACGACTACTTAGAGTAACTACAACAGCTCTGACGTGTTACTGCTCGAATCCCAAGACTGACTACTCCTGGGCGTAACTACACCAGCTCTGACGTGTTACTGCACGACTACTTAGAGTAACTACACCAGCTCTGATGTGTTACTGCTTGACTCCTGAGAGTGACTACAGCAGCTCTGTCATGTTACTGGTCGAATCTCGAGACTGACTACTCCTGAGAGTAACTACACCAGCTCTGACGTGTTACTGCACGACTACTTAGAGTAACTACAACAGCTCTGACGTGTTACTGCTCGAATCCCAAGACTGACTACTCCTGAGCGTAACTACACCAGCTCTGACGTGTTACTGCACGACTACTTAGAGTAACTACAACAGCTCTGACGTGTTACTGCTCGAATCCCAAGACTGACTACTCCTGAGCGTAACTACACCAGCTCTGACGTGTTACTGCACGACTACTTAGAGTAACTACACCAGCTCTGATGTGTTACTGCACGACTACTTAGAGTAACTACACCAGCTCTGACGTGTTACTGCTTGACTCCTGAGAGTGACTACAGCAGCTCTACCGTGTTACTGCACGACTACTTTGAGTGACTACACCAGCTCTGACGTGTTACTGCTTGACTCCTGAGAGTGACTACAGCAGCTCTGTCATGTTACTGCTCGAATCCCGAGACTGACTACTCCTGAGAGTAACTACACCAGCTCTGACGTGTTACTGCTTGACTCCTGAGAGTGACTACAGCAGCTCTGTCATGTTACTGCTCGAATCCCGAGACTGACTACTCCTGAGAGTAACTACACCAGCTCTGACGTGTTACTGCACGACTACTTAGAGTAACTACACCAGCTCTGACGTGTTACTGCTTGACTCCTGAGAGTGACTACAGCAGCTTTGTCATGTTACTGCTCGAATCCCGAGACTGACTACTCCTGAGAGTAACTACACCAGCTCTGACGTGTTACTGCTTGACTCCTGAGAGTGACTACAGCAGCTCTGTCATGTTACTGCTCGAATCCCGAGACTGACTACTCCTGAGAGTAACTACACCAGCTCTGACGTGTTACTGCACGACTACTTAGAGTAACTACAACAGCTCTGACGTGTTACTGCTCGAATCCCAAGACTGACTACTCCTGAGCGTAACTACACCAGCTCTGACGTGTTACTGCACGACTACTTAGAGTAACTACACCAGCTCTGATGTGTTACTGCACGACTACTTAGAGTAACTACACCAGCTCTGACGTGTTACTGCTTGACTCCTGAGAGTGACTACAGCAGCTCTACCGTGTTACTGCACGACTACTTAGAGTGACTACACCAGCTCTGACGTGTTACTGCTTGACTCCTGAGAGTGACTACAGCAGCTTTGTCATGTTACTGCTCGAATCCCGAGACTGACTACTCCTGAGAGTAACTACACCAGCTCTGACGTGTTACTGCTTGACTCCTGAGAGTGACTACAGCAGCTCTGTCATGTTACTGCTCGAATCCCGAGACTGACTACTCCTGAGAGTAACTACACCAGCTCTGACGTGTTACTGCACGACTACTTAGAGTAACTACACCAGCTATGACGTGTTACTGCTTGACTCCTGAGAGTGACTACAGCAGCTTTGTCATGTTACTGCTTGAATCCCGAGACTGACTACTCCTGAGAGTAACTACACCAGCTCTGACGTGTTACTGCTTGACTCCTGAGAGTGACTACAGCAGCTCTGTCATGTTACTGCTCGAATCCCGAGACTGACTACTCCTGAGAGTAACTACACCAGCTCTGACGTGTTACTGCTTGACTCCTGAGAGTGACTACAGCAGCTCTGTCATGTTACTGCTCGAATCCCGAGACTGACTACTCCTGAGAGTGACTACAGCAGCTCTGTCATGTTACTGCTCGAATCCCGAGACTGACTACTCCTGAGAGTAACTACACCAGCTCTGACGTGTTACTGCTTGACTCCTGAGAGTGACCACAGCAGCTCTGTCATGTTACTGCTCGAATCCCGAGACTGACTACTCCTGAGAGTAACTACACCAGCTCTGACGTGTTACTGCACGACTACTTAGAGTAACTACACCAGCTCTGACGTGTTACTGCTTGACTCCTGAGAGTGACTACAGCAGCTCTGACGTGTTACTGCTCGAATCCCGAGACTGACTACTCCTGAGAGTAACTACACCAGCTCTGACGTGTTACTGCACGACTACTTAGAGAAACTACACCAGCTCTGATGTGTTACTGCACGACTACTTAGAGTAACTACACCAGCTCTGACGTGTTACTGCTTGACTCCTGAGAGTGACTACACCAGCTCTGACGTGTTACTGCACGACTACTTAGAGTAACTACACCAGCTCTGACGTGTTACTGCTTGACTCCTGAGAGTAACTACACCAGCTCTGACGTGTTACTGCTTGACTCCTGAGAGTGACTACAGCAGCTCTGACGTGTTACTGCTCGAATCCCGAGACTGACTACTCCTGAGAGTGACTACAACAGCTCTGTCATGTTACTGCTCGAATTCCGAGACTGACTACTCCTGAGAGTAACTACACCAGCTCTGACGTGTTACTGCTTGACTCCTGAGAGTGACTACAGCAGCTCTGACGTGTTACTGCTCGAATCCCGAGACTGACTACTCCTGAGAGTAACTACACCAGCTCTGACGTGTTACTGCTTGACTCCTGAGAGTAACTACACCAGCTTTGACGTGTTACTGCTTGACTGTTTCCACCGTTTTGTTTCAGCTGCAGGATGTTACTGACGCCGCCTCAAAACCGTCAATGGCGGTCGTCGCGCGTGGAGGAGGAGGAGAAAGGGTGGCCGGGTGGACCAACAAAGATGTCACTGAGTGGTTGAAAAACATCGGCATGTACAGGTAGGTCCTGGGTGGGCGGACAGAGATAACAGTCATACTGTCTGCATTACGTTTCAACAGACTTCGTCCCTTTGAGACGACCATCCCGTGATTATACGGCACTTCATCAGACAGACCAGATATTGTGGTGGGTGGTCAGTTAGATGTTCTTGACGATCAAAGACAGCTGAAAGGTAGTGAGTAGAAATGTCCTGAATATAACCATTCTAAACATTAACATTACGTTTTGGGATATATACGAGACTCGTGCTACATGTAGAGGTGATTCATGTGAGTAGTGAGTGAGTGAGTTGGGTTTTAACGCCGCTTTTAATAGTATTCCAGTTATATCGCGGCGTGACAGCTTGATGTGGGAGGAAAGCCCAAAGTGATCAGGTCTCAGACGTTCACAACTTCGTTGAAACCCACGAGCACGGGTATGGTGCTGACAAACCTAGAAACATAATCGGGGCGAACCGGGATTCGAACCCACAATCAACAAATCATAGGTTTCTGGCATTCCCAAGGGACGCAACTCTGCACAGCGAATCCTTGCTTTAGACGACTGGGCCACCCATTCCCCCCTTCACGTGAGTTGAAATGTAGTCCTGAATATAAACATACTAAACATTAACATAACGTTTTGGGATATATACGAGACTCGTGCTACATGTGGAGGAGCTGCATATGAGTAGGAATGTAGTCCTGAATATAACCATACTAAACATTAACATAACGTTTTGGGATATATACGAGACTCGTGCTACATGTGGAGGAGCTTCGTGTGAGTAGTATGTGCCTAGCTGCCATACTGTGGACTTCCCAGACTCCTAATCAATAGACAGACCATGCACGGATACTTCACCACTGAAAGTGGGGATATCAGGAAATGACATTCTTCCAAAGTAATGAAGAACAGGATTATATCCCTTCAGACAGATCAATCTGCCCTGACCTGTTTTTGTATTTTAAAGGAACTAATATATAAACACCATTTACAAAAGAAATTAGTAACACCTACTACGGGCCGGGCAACACTTGACAATTCATTAATCAAACTTAGTTTTGAAAGATGGAAAGCTTGAAGGCTCGACAACGCTTCCTGCTTCTCGTGTTGAGTTTTCAAGTTTCAAAAAAAAGAATATTTTCGGAAGTGAAAAGCGGTGTAGGAAGCGGTGTTGAGCTTTCAAGGTTTCCGTCTTTCAGAAATTAAGTTTGAAAGATCAATTGTCAAGTTTTACCTATTACACCTAATATGTCTTGTAACAGAAAAGTGTAGAAATGGTTTTAGCTATTGCTTTGTTCAAGTATGGGCACTTTTTAAAAGTTATATATGGCGGCAGTCAACTGGACATTATGTTCATCTTGGCATTGTTCTACCTGTATATCTCCAGTTGCTACAACACTCGCCACTTTACAAGGGAGTCTGCTTCAAGATAATATACGTAAAATCTGCTTGTGTAATACAGAATCTAAAGGTGATCATCTGTTTCATTACCACAGCTCTTCTCCCTTGAGGTCGCTGACAGGGCAGGAGCTGATGTTCCTACAACATCTCTTAAACAAGGTGGGTATATATACGTATGCAGGGTAGATTGAGGAAGTCGTATATACATGTGTAGGGTAGATTGGCAGGTGTGTACATACGAGTGTAGGGTAGATTGACAGGTGGGTATATATGGGTGCAGCGTAGATTGAGGAGGTCGTATATACATGTGTAGGGTAGATTGACAGGTGGGTACATACGAGTGTAGGGTAGATTGACAGGTGGGTATATATGGGTGCAGCGTAGATTGAGGAGGTCGTAAATACATGTGTAGGGTAGATTAACAGGTGGGTATATATGGGTGTAGGGTAGATTGACAGGTTGGTATATACGGGTGTTGGGTAGATTAGAAGGTGGGTTTATACTAGTGTAGGGTAGATTGACAGGTGGGTATATACAGGTGTAGGGTAGATTAGAGGGTGGGTTTATACTGGTGTAGGGTAGATTGACAGGTTGGTATATACGGATGTTGGGTAGATTAGAAGGTGGGTTAATACTGGTGTAGGGTAGATTGACAGGTTGGTATATACGGGTGTTGGGTAGATTAAGAAGGTGAGTATATACGGGTGTGGGGTAGATTCAGAAGGTGGGTATATACATTTGTAGGGTAGATTTACATGTAGGTATATACAAGTGTAGGGTAGATTGATAGGTGGGTATTTACGTCCGTAGGGTATATTGACAGGTTGGTATATACGAGTGTAGGGTAGATTCAGAAGGTGGGTTTATACGGGTGTTGGGTAGATTGACAGGTTGGTATATACGAGTGTAGGGAAGATTGACAGGTGGGTATGTACGTATGTAGGGTAGATTTAGAAGGTGGGTATATTCATGTGTAGGGTAGATTGACAGGTAGGTATATACGAGTGTGGGATAGATTGAGAAGGTGAGTATATACGGGTGTAGGGTAGATTGACAAGGTGGGTATATACGGGCGTAGGTAAGACTGACAAGGTGGGTATATACGAGTGTAGTGTAGATTGACAAGGTGGGTATATACGAGTGTAGAGTAGATTGACAAGGTGGGTATATACGAGTGTAGGGTAGATTGACAAGGTGATTACAAAGGTCATGGCCAAACAATACAGGCTACGAATAACAGTCTAAATGAATGGCAGACCGGATCATTTACAAGGTAACATTAAAAATTATAAGCTTTTACAAATTTCCAATTTTGGTGAGCTGTTGCAGGTGAAAAGTCAATCTGATATGTTTCAGGCCCCTGAGTTCTACTACAGCTACTTAGAGAGAAACATGAAACTGAAGACTCTCAAGGACCTCATGACGTTCTCAAACGCTCTGACGTTGCTATGAGAAACGCTGACTGTAAGATGCAGACAGTACTGGTTAACTCAGCAGATAGAAGATGTTTATTTCTTTATATATGTAACTCAAACCAAGTTAAAACACACCCACCATTGGGAGGTTGGGTGTTGCAATACCCACCAGCCATGGCAGAAGTGGATGTTTCAGATACCGCTTTAGGTTGTGAACAATCATAGACAGACAACGAATGACGAATGGGTATGATGATGTATGATGAAGCAAACGAACTATCACCTTTTATACGAATAGGAATGCATAGAACCTGTTCATGTACTTTGTATACCATGTCACATAATGATGTCCTTATCAATGTATGTCTGTGTACAAATATATTATTTAGTTGTTCATATAAAATTATCTAAATATGGCAAAATACAATATACATACCCACGAAGTGTCCCTCCTATTATTTTCAGAATGGGATATGCTGGCATGCCTTAGTTTATTTCGATTTGGTTTATGATAATACAGTAACTACGGTTAAAACGAATTCAAAGAGACAGCCAATTATAATTCGTTATAACCGTAGTTCGTCACAAGCATATATACAGAAAATGGTCGGGACCAAACAATTAATTCGTTATATCCGTCAGTTTGTTATAAGCGTGTTCGTTATAACCGTAGTTTACTGTATATATTACTGATATTACATGACGCGCCCTGTATTGTGAGATTCTCTGTCAACACAAGTTTCGAATACAATGCCTGCAATTGTGATCTATGATATCTTATTGGTGTATACTGTGTATATATATATATACACTATATGAAACGTCAACGCCAGGGAATAACCTGTCTCGATTATCTGACTAAATAAATTCGTTTGGGCATAAAAGGCAAAATAGCGGTGAACTTTATATGATAGATCACTGAAAACCAAGAAGGGTTAATGGTTGCTTGTACTTGTACTTGCCGATTTATAGTGCTAGCTCACTAAGAAATCATGCCACACTTTAACATGAATACCGTGACCAGTCTATGTTGTATCCCCATAATACCGAGTCAGGCAGGTCAACAACAAGTACCATCTTTTAACGTCTTTTACTATGATCGAGCTGCCTTCCTCTCTCCGGGCAGACGCTCTGTCCACTACACCTCAGAGGCGGGCCTGCACATCCAGAGATCGAAGATCGAGTTAAAAATATATCTTTTCCTTAAAAGATATTTGTAAGCAGTTTAGTTCTCACGATCATCAAACCAGAGATGTTGAATGGGTTGCATCCATTTGTAAAAATGTCATCATCTGTGAGTGAGTGAGTTGGGTTTAACGCCGCTTTTAGCAATATTCCAGCAATATCACGGCGGGGTAAACCAGAAATGGGCTTCATACATTGTACCCATGTCGGGAATCGAACCCGGGTCTTCAGCGTGACGAGCGAACGCTTTAACCACTAGGTTACCCGACCGCCCCCTCATCTCAATCTGTTGATCAGTGACCACTGATATAGTGGTGATGTTATCGAGTATAATTTCTCACAAGACATTATCATTCTTGTTACTGAACAGGCAACAACCAACTGTCAAGACAGATCAGGATAGTTTCAGGTTCTCATAAATAATTATATTTTTTAAACAGAGGGTCACAGTGACGTGACGAACATGTTATGTGAATGGAACAAATGTTGCTGTAACCCTTGTTATTACGTCAATGATTTGCAGTTTTTTTACGACATAGAGAAACGAAATTGAAAGGGTTAAACAGACAATACTGCTTATATTCCCTTATGCTTACATGCGTCACAATGACGCTAAACTGATTTCGCAAAAGATGGTCAACAATTGTCGAATACACAATATACACAAAATATCCTTGTAGTCATCAATGTTATTCCCTTTCCAGTCATTGAAATGTGTATTTCTCTGGAGATTCTTACATCCGACAAGCGTCCCCTTGCTTTAACTATTACAGTACAGAACACACCTATACTTAATCACACAACACACGAGGGTAGGGCAAACTTTATTTCATAATAAATGTAAATAATGATAATTCATTTCTTTGAGAAAGTCAAAAAGATAAAATGTTCATATGTGTTGACACTTGAATAGGAACTTTGAAAAACGTGACAGCTGTATTGTTTCCGTTCCCCCGGGGTATAGGTTTGTCCCACGAGTAATGTATTCTGATCACTATGTATTCTGACTGGCGAAATAAACCAATCTGAACTTCAAACTTCAAGCTGGACATTTTAAATGATAAGAAAAAGGTGAGTGAGTGAGTTTGGTTTTACGCCGCTTTTATCAATATTCCAGCAATATCACGGCGGGGGACACCAGAAATGGGCTTCACACATTGCAACCATGTCGGGAATCGAACCCGGGTCTTCAGCGTGACGAGCAAACGCTTTAACCACAAGGCTACCCGACCGCCCCAAGAAAAAGGTGAGTAGCTGATTGAAGAAAATGTAAATGTAGGTATCCATGCTTGTAATTGCCAAGTTCCTTTAGTTAAATGGCTGGTAGGAAGATTTCGAACTTCGAGAAATCGTCCATTACAATAAGACCGGCGGTTGGCGTCGATGTTCCCAACTTGGAACTATATACCTGACACAAGCAGCTGTGCATTGTGGCGCATGTTCTTCATCAACTTCCCCTTCATCAACATCCATTTCCAGTATTTATTAAAATCTTGATTGCGTCAGTTTGGGCATAGTGACACCGTCCCTCACCCTCCTCTTGTAAGAGCAGAAGGCCGACGCCCTCTTCACAGTGAAGTCACACAGCTCCACAGCAGTGGCAATACTCGCGCCAAGAACAAGCCCTAAGGCGCCACCAATATCACAGAACAGATCAAAGAATAAGTAGCTGTATCGCTTCCTGATGTACGGATAGGACATGGATGAGTGATACACCTCAATTGCCACAAAATTACGTCTCCAGTATTCCAGCTAATCGCCAGTTTCGTTAGCCAACGTTGACAGATACTCATCTGTCACTCTCAGACTAGACGCAGTCTTCAAAGTAAAGGTGTTGTACGAGCAGGTGTCCGGGCAGGTAGATTCGCAGTCAGGTCTAGAAAGGAGGTACTGCTCCGTACTTGGATTGATACAGTCGATAACGACCTCCGATTCGCACAATTTGGCGTTACCAGGCATGTAGGCTTCACGGCAGGAGCACGCCTTTAAGAGGTAGTCGGTAAAACATTCTTTACGGCAAGCTTCACGCGAGTATTTTCCTTCGAAATACTTCAGTTTCCGTCTGCCACAGTTGTCCAGTCCTTCTGAAGCATCCATCTCCTGACAAAGAGAAAATAATGGTTACATACCGCCACGTAGGGTTGGTCGAATGCAGTCTTAGGTACGGGTGACTCGGTCGTCAGTGGTTCTGCAAATCGCTGTTCAGACTTGCGTACCTTTGGCGTGTCAGATCTAGGGTTCGAATCCCGGTTCGCCCTGATAATGTTTCTAGGTTTGTCAGTGTCATACCTTCTCGTGGGCATCACCAAAGTGATAAACGTTAACGACTGCATCGCTCCTGGTTATCCTCCCACATTAGATCCCCGGCCCGCGTCATACCAAAAGACGTTAAAAGATGGTACTTGTTGTTACACTGTCTGGCGCTCGGCATTAAGGGGCTAAAACAAGGACTGGTCGGCTCGGAGTCAGTATACTGTGTCTGAGTGGGGTGTTCATGTTAAACTGCGGCATGGTATCTCGGTGAGCTAGCACTATAAATCGGCATCAGTCCGGTCTAGTACAAGCAGCTACACACACACACACACACGTGCATGCACGTCGCTATATAAGTGCAATAATCTTGGACGCGACGTTAAACCCCATTTCACCTCACCTCCTCCCACATTAAACTGACACGCCATGAAAATACTGATGACAACGGCACTAGACCATACACACTCCTTTACTCTCTTTTGACCTCTACCTGCATTCCAAGCCCAAAGAAGTACTGTGAACCAGGCGACACCGCCATTCCTGTGTCCGTTATCACCGGAGGGGTGTCGGGAGAATGGATGGTAATCTGAATAAAGGAACAAAGTTAGTTTATCACAACGACATGCCTTTGTGTGAAACATCGATCTACAAAATAAACATTAATCATCAAGACCAGAGAATAACCAGCCTCTATCCGCCGAAACAGATTCCATTCGGCACAACAGCGGCGAAAATTATACAGACACCAGGTGTTCGCAAAAACGGTAAGCATGATTTGGGGGTGAACTGTATCCGGCTTTGATATTAATCCGTTAATTGTAAACATTAATTTCAAAAAGATTTAAATCACGTGCATGGATTCTCAACTAGATACCAGGAATGTTAAGAGTTCATCTTCAAACTCAATCTAAAACATTTTTGAATAACTGCACTTGTGCGCAGCAGTGGTTATTCAAAGTTAACTCATCGCTTCTAGTTTCAACAATATTATGTGGTCCAGACTCTTTATCACTTGATTGTTTGGTCGGGATTGTTTACTGGCCGCAGTGGTATGGCGGGAGTATTGCTGTGAGGCGTTAGACAACAAACACTTATAGTTTTTATGCAAATGTTTGAGTGTCGTGTTCTACCGGTTAAGCAGGACATGCTAACCTTTTTCGCTAACACGTGCCGTCACTGATTTTCAGTAATCCATTGATACTATTTTCACCAATATTTTATTTTCTAGGCCAATGGAATCTGTTTCGGCAGACGATCGACACTAACTACTCTGACGTGGACGTGTTATATTTACATAGAAGCATCGTCAACAATATACTGTCAGTCATTGAAAATCTCACAGTACATTTGCAATCTTCACCGCAGCATCAAGCTAGCTTGAAAGATAAGATAGATGTAAGATAATACGTTATTGACTGTGAGGGGATTCAGTTTGCATTTGATAAAGGTGAATTGGATACATGTAAACACTCACATATACAAGGGCAGCAACAACAAAAAGACTAATGTAACTTATGTGATCATGGTAATTGTCCGAGGTTTGCTCTACCCGCTCTGATGTCATGAGGCATGTGTCGTTCAAACTAAACTGCGGGGAAAAAGAAAGTATACACTTGAACATTCACACTTCACTGTTCATCACTGTGTGTAGCGAAATCGCGACCCCATGTTCCTTGTGATGGCACGGGTGGCCCAGTCGTGCAGAGTTGCGTCCCTTGGGCACGCCAAAAACCTATGATTGTGGGTTCGAATCCCTGTTCGCCCCAATTATGTTTCTAGGTTTGTCAGCACCATACCCGTGCTCGTGGGTTTCACCGAAGTGGTAAACGTCTGAGACCTGCATCACTTCGGACTTTCCTCCCACATTAAGCTGACACGCCGCGATATAACTGGAATACTGTTAAAAGCGGCGTTAAACCAAACTCACTCACTCACTCATGTTTGTTTCATGTTTAGGCCACCATCAAATATGTGTGTACACTTTCCTTTGCCATGCAATCTCTGAGTAAATACCATGAACCCCTCTCCTTCTGTGTTCTGGCGGCTGCGGGTAAACTCCTCCGACTTCACGTCCAAAGCCATTTTCAACCCGTAATGTCTGCCCGAGTTCCGCACGAAGGCCGTCCCTTGTGCTTAAAGAAATGCCACACTGAGATGACGTTGATTGGTTTTAGTTAGTGCTTAGATCCCCAACAGTCTCTGCTTCAGGGCGATTACATTTCATTGAAATATTCTTCAGTCACAACATTTACGATTCTAACTTCCATTTTTCCCATTCCGTATATGAGAAGTCGCCCCATGTGTGTACATATTAAGGTACTGAGATCTATAATGCTATCCTTCAATAAATAGCCATGAGGTGCACATTATATAATTACGAACTGCTCTCTCCGACTTAACACGTAACGAAGCTGCAATCTTGACTCACCATTGAATGTGAAGCATAGCCCACTCTCTGTCACCGTTTGTGTGAAGTTGTCGAACCCACACGTTGCATCTCCCCAAGTGCACTGATTTCAAAGATTGAAGAAAAATTCAATTTAGTTAGAGAAAAATATACGAGCAACAAATAATCACGGATTAATCCTCCCGTGTGAATTACTCTTGTAAGAACCAAGCTTTTGCAATAAGTTCAGTGAGACTTACTGATGACAGTTCCACTAATATCCGTGCATCTGTAAGTTACGTTGACTATTAGCATAGGAGAACTGACTATAACCATTATCCACGTATAATTAGCAAACAGCTGTGTTTAAGAACTGATTCTTACGACTAATATGGACAGTGAAATGTGTTTTAAATAATGATAATAATATTAATAATGATAATAATAATCATCATCATCATCATCATAATAATAATAATAAGAGAGAGCCAAGGATGTCGGACATAATCTCAATGTCGGTGTTGATTTTGTTGATGGTTCTGTACTGCTTGACGGTACAGAAATGAATGTTAACCAAGCGAAGTGCCATATCAAGTCGGCCCAGACAGTTTTTCAATGAGAGGCTTTCTGAACGACCACTGCATCGAGTTATGTGCAGTGTGTTGAGAAGATCAGCAATCCTGCAGAGTCCTTCGTTTGGATGAGTGAGTGAGTGAGTGAGTTTGGTTTTACGCCGCTTTTAGCAATATTCCAGCAATATCATGGCGGGGACACCAGAAATGGGCTTCACTAATTGTACCCATGTCGGGAATCGAACCCGGGTCTTCGGCGTGACGAGCGAACGCTTTAACCACTAGGCTACCCGACCGCCCCCGCTTGGATGAAGTCGCCTGGCCTGAAAAGTGAAACTTCCCACTCGAAACCGTTAATGTGTGAATTTGCATCAAAATGTAAATATGAAATGTAGATTATGTAATGAATTTAATGAGACTGTCCAACACATTGTCAGTGGATGCCCATCTTTGGCACAAACACAGTATCTTAAACGACATGATGGTGCAGCTCGATCATTTATTACCATCTTCGCCATGCTTGTGGTCTTGACACAGAGGTCCACCCATGGTACGACCAGGAATATGTAGAGGGCGTCATGGAAAATGATAAATAAAAAGTTCTTTGGAATAGGCCCATTTACAGCCTCAGACGTATCCAGGACTGCAAACCTGATCTTGTCCTTTTTGATAAATCCAATGAAATCATTTATATCATTGAATGTTCTGTCCCCTTTGACACTTATCCGATTCACAAGGTACAGGAAGAACATGGCAAATATGCGGACCTCGCTTTCGAAATGTCACGCTTGCATCCCAAGTACTAAATTGTCTCCCCATTGTTCTCGGTGCCTTATGTTTGGTACCTCCCAATCTGTTGACTGACATTTGGGGAGTACCCGGGTTTGCTACCAGGAATACAGCTCTTCTGACAATCTGGGTAATGCAGAAGGCTGCAGTGTTAGGGAGTCTTCACATTCTCCGAAAAGTTCTGGATGGGTTTGACTAGGCGGTGCTTCCTGGGAGAAGTCCCTTTCGCTGTCTGGGCTGCGTGTAGAGGGAGCACGGGCCCTGAGATGATGATGAGCCTAACCAGCCTGACTGTGCCAGGATCACCCAAACCCTCTTTGCTGCATTTTTTATTTTGAATCTGTAAATAATATAATAATAATAATGAAAGGGGGGCTTTCAGTATCGAGTTTATGTGCAGCGTGTTGAACAGAACAGCAACTCTGCAGTCCTTCGCTGGTTGGAAGTCGGCTGGCTTGAGATGTGAAACAGAAAGCGTTTTGTTTGCTGCTCAGATCCAGTCACTTCCTTCTTGAAACCTCCAATGTGTGATTTTACATCAAAATGTAAATATGAAATGCACATTATATAATGAATCTGATGAGACTGTCCAACACCTTGTCAGTGGATGCCCACCTTTGGCACAAACACAGTTTCTGAAGCGACATGTTGGCATGGCTCGATCCTTTTATATTACCGTCTTCGCCATGCTTGTGGTGCATGGTCCGACCCTGGATATGTAGAGGGCGTCATGGAAAATGATTATTATAAAATTCTTTGGAACAGACCCAAATACAGCCTGAGACGTATCAAAGTCAACTAACCTGATCTTGTCTCTTTTTTTGATAAAAAAGAAAGAAGTAGTGACGTCTGAAGAGATGGTTTTCATGACTGATTTGAAAGAGGCCAGGGAGGAACACTGCTTGATGTCGGCTCGTCATGGAGAAGAATCGGCTTCGAATCCCCACATGGCTACAATGTGTGAAGCCCATTTCTGGTGTCCCCCGCAATGATATTGTTAGAAATTGCTAAAAGTGGCGTAAAACCATACTCACTCACTCACCGATGTCGGCAGGGAGAAACTTACATATTTTCGTATTTGTATTTGTAATATGCGCCCGCGTTATAGGGGCCAATTGGGAAAACTCGCAGAATTGATAAATGTGCCTGAAACATCTAGACTGGAAAGCGTTATTCCTTTTAAATTAAATTTTAAATTTTGGTTATTGTCTTCAAGCCCACTAGCACACATACCAAGGTACATAACTATTCAATTGGCAATAGACATAGAGGTGATCACGCGAGTGTGTTTGGGGATGGTAAATATCCTGCATTAGGAATAAACATTGTATTTAGCGAGCCTTGGCGAGCTAAATACATAGTGTTTATTCCTAATACAGGATATTTACCATCCCCAAACACACAAGCGTGATAACCTCTTTATCATATAATGTCATTCTTTAATTCTTTGCTTCAAAATCGCTTTCCCTCTCTCACAAACATTACCGAAACATTGCGAGTTTTCCTGGAATGCGCGCATTAATATTTATTACGTCTCGGGGTAAGTGATGTGTCAGTCGGACAGTGACAGAAACCAATATAGTTCCAACTGAAATATGTTTCTTATACAGTGGCGAAGCAACATATACGCTAAACAACAATTGTTTTACTTGCCTTTCGCGGCAATCCATCGGTCTGTCCGCTAGAGTAACTGCCCTTTGTCAAAGGGAAGCTACTCTAACCCTAGTCAATGAGACGTCACGGCCACGGTCAGACGTTGTTGACAGTCGGTCGGTCCTGTCATAACGTTAAGAAGTGTAGTCAGATGTACACACAGCGACAAAACGAAACAAGGTAACAATTCAAACATATTTCGGCCAAATCCAACTATTTTAATTTGTGGAGAAGGTTTCAAGTTGCAGATATGGTTACTGATCCCGCTTGGCTAGGCCTCGTGCCCTCGCAAAATTGTTTCGAAATTTATATCGCCAAAGTTGCCAAAACTTATAAAATGCCTTAGCTACGTCACAGTTAGACACTGATTTTCAGTTTATATGACTTCTCTTTTGATAATGATAGCAATTATCCCTGTAGTTTATCCATATTCCCGATGGTTAATTCTGACTCGATCGCCGAATGACAAGGACGACGCCATGTTTGTTAATAAACAGTAAAAGTAGTCCCTACTTGACCTTTGATATTTGCATCTTTATCCGCATATGACCCCAACGGATATCGTTTTTATCCGTTGGCTTTATCCTGCCGAGAAACCTACCCATTATATGATAAAATAGAGATACGCGTCATTGAACATTGATATTAATTAAATAAAGAAGAAAATGGTTATATCTCACCCACAGTAGCGAGTCGTAGATGGTGTGACTAAACTCTGTGTAATAATGATCAATCTTCTCGGATCCAAAGTGACGGGTTATGTTTAAGCCGACATCTTGAAAGTCATATCTCAATTCATTTGTTAAATCTTCAGTGATGCCATACATCTCTATAAACGATCTCTTCGCTATGTTAGTGTTACACACGGTCACAGCTGGAAACGGCAGCGTCTGCGCTAACTTGACGTCGACGTCAACGCTGACAGGGCTTGACACAAACAACTGAATTTGTTTGGCGATGTTGAAGGCGGTGAACATAACTCCTCCACATATGACAAGGAACCAGAGAGAACGCCGCAGTGTACCGGAAGTGACGTCAGTGACCTGCGTTACGCCTTGCATGCTTACGTGGTCCGCAAGTTTTGGTTTGACATAAAGACGATGCTTGTTTTCCGAATTCATCTCCAGCGTTTCTACAAAAACGTTGTTAACACAATTGTCCGTAAAATAGTGTTCAGTGACTCCCTTCATACGAAATCAAGACTACTGACTGAAAGGTAAAGGAGTGTAGTTTTCCGGACTAGTCACAATAATCCTTACAATGGGCACTTCATGCAGATGGCACGGCATGTATACAGTGTGTCAAGTGATGTTTATAGCAGTTTTGCAAGTGGTCCACACACAATTCACTCCATCTGATTCCGCCATTCGAGTCCAATCAACTCATTCAGTCACACATCAAACAGCCGTTTACGGGTATCCAGAGGACTATTTCAGCCAATTTGTCATCCATTGATGTGATTGCTCATGATGACTAATGGCAGGACTCGGAGAGTGATGGCAGTCCGAGCGGTGTTATGCATGACTAAACAATGATATATGTTATTCATGAGAAGTGGGTTCAGATTTCAAATGATTAAATTCCCGTGCATTGTAAATGTGAAATGTTTTCGGTAATGCTATGACTGACAACGAATGATGTCTCATGTTTCCATGACAACTGAATCCCCCAGGTTTGCAAGTTTGAGAAATATTCGACTTAATTGACTTTCGTATTCTGATGAATATTGGTCCAACGTACTACATTATATATTCATGTCGCCATGTCGAAAACGACAGTTTTCGAATTCGGGACGTCAAGACTCTGGCACACGCACGCACGCGCACACACACACACACACACGCACACACACACACACACACACACACACACACACACACACAATATATATATATATTCCGAGCGAAAACGTGTATATCGAACAACGGATATAACGAACTGATTTCTCTGGTCCCTAGTAGTTCGTTATATCCGTGTTCTACTGTATATATATCATAAAATAATTAAATTAAATTTTCATTGTGTTCATTGAAATTCCTGTATTCTTATTAGCTGAATTGGTCACGTGTTATTGCATTCATTTCCCAATGAATCACTCTCCTACCCAGAGTTCCATGCGGCCGGCAGCCAGCCAGCCTAGTACCTCTGCCACAGGCCAGCGCCATGTGACGATTCGTCACATCTTTCACAGTCCATTCAAGATATTGAATATGCTTTTCATCCGTTTCATGTATGACAAGTCAACACATTTTCATAAACAAACGTCAAAGAATGGTTACGGTTCATTAAGAAAGTATCATAATACGTGAAAATCTATTTGTTTTTGCGTAGTTATTCTTTGTTTACATTGGTTGTAAGGCTCCACGTGCTGTCATCGAAGCCCAGCGGAGAGCTGGCGATACGGTCTTTTTGATGCATAAATATATATTGTCATGCAACTCACTGTCGCAGTTGTAGTAGCATATCTATATAATTATGCAAAACAATATGTTAAGCGACCCCAAATACTTGCATTAGTCCGTTCTACATTAATTTCTGAAAAAGCGCGTTTGTTTACAAACAAGAGAAAAGTCCGATCACGTGATATGCAAATTAGCCTGTGGCAGTGGTGTTATGCTTAGTCACCACTGCGCCGGAGTTCGCCAATAAATGTAAAAAATTAAGCCACGCCCACCGCGGCGCACTACTTTTATTACTTCGGAATGTCGGGGAATCCCAATATTACAGCCGAGGGAATTCCCTTTCTGCTCACGTGTATCGTCATGCACAGGACATTTAGCGACTTTCGTGCATATGCATTGTCCAAACTACCCTTTGAAACCGATGGCCGAGATTGAATGAAACAGCAAACGTACAGGCTCGCTCGTCTGTTTTTTTTTCTGCTCGCCTCGGTTCAACTTTCATGTCTTCGGGTTTCCTTTCTAACTAGCATTTTTCCAACTGTGTTTTACCGTAATCAGGGGAGTAATGTTTGAATCTGTCGGTAACTGACAATGTAATTTGAAACAGCCGCCTTCTCCCGGACATATTTCTTCCAGTTCGTTACAGTCTGAGTGTTGCAGTTCTGTTCGCCTCTTGTCTTAATCGAAAAACCGATGTGCAAACTTTTGTAAGAATCCGCTATGCGGATTCATACAGATTGCACAACGGTTTTTCGATTCATACCTCAATGAAACCGAAAAAAATACACTGTCAATCCTTAAATAATAAAGTCCACGTAAGTCCATCATCTTCATTATATCAGTTTCATACATATAGAATACTAAACGAGCTCATGTGTAATACCAATTTTATGAAACGAGTGAATAGTTGTGGTATCTGACGAGCGAAAGCGAGTCAGATACCACAACTATTCACGAGTTTCATAAAATTGGTTTTACACGGGAGCGAGTTTAGTATTTTATTTATTACTTGCAATTTATAACGTTTTTTTAATTATACTGTTGAGTATGAATAGACTGACACCTACATGATCCACGACATAGTCAAATTGAGTTTAACAGAATAATACTTCAAACACGTCAAAAGTTGAAACGTATGAATTTCATACCATGCAACGGGTCTACCTTTAGAATTCACAAAATTATCGTAGGGCTAAGACTTTCGCATCTCACATACTTTAACTTAGACCAACGACTGTCGTTGCGCTACAATACGATCGCCTTGTGGAACGGGCCTTGCACCTCAAAGTTTCCAATAACGTCACAATACCCGATGACGTAATTTGTGGAATTTTGATGCAAGATCCATCTATCAACTCCACACGCAATGTCGTTGAATAAGCCAAGAGATGTTGAGAGCTTTCAATATTTGTTCGTGAAACGTGTTCCGAGAGTACATAAGCACACGTTTTGGTATTACACAATGTGTAATAAAGCTATATGTTTATTAAACGGGTGATCTCTTCACGGGCAAGTAATAAAAAGTACTTTCGCTGTCTCATGACAGCTCTTCAGTGTAACTGTGTAACTGACAATGACATATAATGACGTCATACTTATGACAACTGTGACGTCATTATGTATTTACACACTCCAGCGACGACACCAAGTAATTTAACAATTGTAGGGAGACTTTTGAATTAAATATACAGTATTTGTAAAGTAACAGTGCAACATTTACGATTGAAATGACAAATCTATTAATACATTCTCGAGTTCAATTCTGGTTTCATCAATTGGATAAACATTTGTTCTTTTTCCAGTCTCAGCTGCTTGTTACTTGTATACAATTTATAAAACGGAAAAATAGTAAATTTCCCGTTTCCGCAATCATCAATGTGTTTGCTGATACCTAAGCATCGAACATTAGGGTCTCTAATCTGCTGTTTGTGTACAGTGACTCTATCTTTTAATTCCATGCCGGTTTCACCCATGTAGTTTTCGCCGCATCCCGAACATCTCATAACATACACCACATCTTTGCTGCGGCAGTTCATGTCGGCTTTCACACTGAAACCCTTGCCATTTGCAAAAAGGAAAGTAGTACCTTCACTTATGATGTTACACGTGCCGCATCTTGGTGTGTTACATCTACTTACACATGGTACACTCTCTGTACAAGAATATTTGGATGGACAAAGAGGGTTCATACTCCAATGAACTGAAGGTCAATTCTTATAATTTTGTATCACAATTTCTTACCTCAAAGGATGTAGGCCATGATCTTAACACAATTTTATTATTTAGTACGTGTGACTTCATGTTTACACTGACAGACAAACAACAACCAGCTACATCGTGGAATAAAAATAGTTCCCCAAAAAGAGAGGTGACATGAGCGTATGGATGCAGAACTTGCTCTTCAGAAACATCTTACGCAACACATGTGTTCATATAATATCCCCATTTTATGAGAATGGTCTGTAATGAACTACCTCAGTAAGTCAGTCACAATGACAGCGCGTCGTAATACATTTACATCAAGTACAAGACGTCAAAATGACCGACACGATAAACGTGCCGGGAGGATTTCCGAAGTTGTTAATGAATCTGTGGCGGTTACATGTGTTAGTCATCATTGATCAACTGACCAATTATTGAAAGGTGATTAAAGATGCGTCAAACAGACACCAAGGTAAATTCGTAGATTGCTGGAGACAATCACTGTCAGCCTAGACACAGATCGAGTCGATACTGACGATAGTTTGGATGTGCATTTTTTCGTTTGTTCATTAGGATGGGCCGTAGCGAGGAAATTCGTGAACAATCATGCAGTCAATCTCTCTTGCGTTTCTCAATGTATACTAAAATTCTGAGACCAAGATTAAAGGTTCTAAATGATCAGAAATAATGTTTATGTATGTTTTCGTGCTAGGGAATTCCCAGGGGTTTCCCCAGGAATGTGGAAGTAGTCCGTTAGCGTTACGTCATTTCAAGAACACGGTCTCGTGAAAAACGTATGAACGTCTAATTGTGTCGTTCATACACTTATGAACGTCAATTTCGCGGTCATGTGACCGACCTCTCGTCCAATGGAAAAGCCGTATATCGTGTGAACTTCAAATTAAAAAATTATATAAGAATTGACCTTCACTTTGTGTGAGTTCATTGGAGTATGAACCTCATAGAGTGAGGGCCAAACAGTGTATGGACGTCGCCGCAAGCTCCGACGTTCATACAGTTTGGCCCTCACTCTATGAAGGTTCATACTCCAATGAACTCACACAAAGTGAAGGTCAATTCTTAAATCATTTACCTCATTTTTGTGTGTGTATATATATATATATATATATATATATATATATATATATATATATATATCCCCCCCCCCCCCCTCTCTCTCTCTCTCTCTCTCTCTCTCTCTCTCTCTATCTCTCTCACTCTCTCTCTCCCCGAGTCTCAGCTTTTCGCGAACTCCTGGTATGATCATTGTTTGATATTAATTCATACAATCGACACTGCTTTTGGCAGAGATTTCTAATGAATATAGAAAGGGTTTTGTCGCCTTTATTCTAAAGACACAAGTCTTGCCCACATACAAAAGCTGATGGAACGTGACAACGATAGGCAAATGATCATGGATAATGCACGACTGTGCTGTTATTCATTCAATTAAACAAGTCACCCAAACATTTACTGAGTACTGAATACGCTATGTCCTGTAATGCATTTCTGTGATCCTCAATTGTAATTCATCATTGCACCCATCATCTCGTACAAACAGATCAATTTGATTCACAGAGGTAATGGGAAATGTAATTGGAGCTGTTGTTTATACTTCTGTCTGCAAATTAAAGCGATAAAGGTCTTTCCATAATAAAACTAATGCCTTTTGGATATGTCCACATTTAATCAATAAACTTCCGTGGGTGTATGGCATTACACTGTATGTGACGCACAAGGACAGGCATCTCACTGTGAGCTGGACGGGCGTCATGGCTGAAACAGTCGACATTGGTATGGAGTTCTTCTTACAGAAATAGTTCTTCTAGTATACCAGATTCAAATATCTTACTCAAACAGTCGGCACTGTAGACGTTGATGTGTAATTTGTGATCAGCGACACACCAACACCTGTTCGATACAGGTTTTTCTGTTTGCCAGGTGAGAGCCATTGATATGTGACATTTAAGACTTTTGATTTTATAGATTGGCCATCGTTGGCAATCTGTGATACTCTCTAAAGCCGAAAATGATTGTAAACAAGGACGAGAATCGTGTTCATCCTCCGCCAAGATTAGCAGACCAGCTGACCATGCAGGGAGTCAAACAGATCGCTGACGTCACATCCGGTAGATTGCGGCGTTCCTTCTGGTTCCTGGTTGTGTGTAGCGGGCTCACCTTCAGCGCCTTCAACATCGCCAAACAGGTCCAGCTTTATCTGTCCGTGCCTGTCAACGTCGATATCGACGTCAGGTTGGCGCAGACACTGCAGTTCCCTACGGTGACTGTGTGCAACACCAACATGTTTAAGAAATCAGAAATGGATCAACTCAATCTAACGGGGGCGCTTAAAGAAGCATTTATATATGATTTCCAAGAAAGTGTAAAATTTGATGACACCAACTACGACTTTTCTGTTGTGGATGTAGATTCTATTGAAACCGCTATGTTTAAGTATGGTTTTGACGTCAATGATTCTGTTATAAAGGTAAGCAATCCTTTTATTATCGGTCCACATGTGTTTCGGTATATATAAGACCTAAGAAACAAGCTTTTTGTGTCCCCGAAAGCCCTTAGGGACTGACAATATATTTTCTGCCTGGGGAGCCTGGAAATTCTGTTTGAAACAGAATTTATTTTATTTATTTATTAAATTCTGTTTCAAAATAAATGCGACAAAACCCTGTCTATGATAATAAGAGATGTTTGCCAAAAGCAGAACCTATTGCAGGATTCCGACTATATCATGAATATGTCTTTATGAATCATTATCAAATAGTGTTAGCGAAAAGGTGAGCGTATCCTGCCCTCGATGGCACCCGTCACAAACACATGCAAAGGCAGATCACTTGTCCACCTGAAAAAAAGCACGGGAAGATATGGTTGAAGTCGAAGATGTTTCTGGAAGAAAGTTGAATCCTGATCAGATATTAGTTTTTTTAATGAAATACTTGTTCAGATAGATATAGGCCCAAAATGAATAGTTTGTTAGCAGTGGTGACAAAAATGAATAGTTGGTTTTATGGAAAATAGCCAAACCTCAAAATGTTTGTGTTATTAATGACAATGAATAGATTATTTGATTGTGCTCAGTAAATACAAATTGTGTTGGTTACAGCTGGAAAATAATAGATTATTCTCACACCAATACAAATCAAATGGATGCTCCCATGGATATACATGGCTCCCCAAACTGTATATCAAATTCTCAGTACTTTCTGTTTTTCTTGTGGTACGAAATGTTTTTCAGTGTGACTGGATGCAGCAAGAATGTGATGCAACCCACTTGACCGAGATGAAAACGGAGATCGGAGTGTGTTTCTCTTTCAATGGTATCAATTATTTCCACACAAAACTATTTTCATAATGAAAATATGTAGCATTTTTTCCATCACAAAAAAAACATTTTCAGAGTTCCCAAGCGTCGACAAACTAAACAGTTCTGACCTATTATTAAGGTTTCTTTCGTACAAAGATGCTTCGTGCAATCGGTTGCCAATCTTACCACGACGCTGAGGTTAAAGCTTCGATCACTTAGTTTTGACTGCAACGTTTTAATAAGGAAGGATACTTGCCATCAACAGTATATCAGTAATATCCCGATGTTGGAGGCTTGATATCGCAGGAAAGCCTCCGACGTCGGGATAAAGGTTTAAGATAAAGCGACAAAACCCTTTTCATATCAAATAGAAATGTCTGATATTAGCAGAGCCGATTTACAATTCCGACTATATCATGAGCATGTGTTTATGAATCACTGTCAAATAGTAATGATACCAGGTGTTCGCGAAAAGTAGAACGTGTCCTGCCCCACCGGTGGCACCCAACACAAACACATGAAAAGGCAAGTCAATTGTTCAAATTTGGAAATGTCCTCCACATGTCTACCACAAACCTGTTGAAAGCTTTACTGAGGCCTTGAATGTTGTAACCTTGATCAAACAACTTCTAAGCAAGAGTCGTATGAGGTATTTGAAATCTTGGTAGAAGGCGCATGCTCGATTGTATCTCAAAAGTTGTCCTCTCTTTGTCTAGTTCAGGTGGGTATATCATTGGAAGGGAACTGGCTATTTATTTGATTGTTATTGAACGATATCAGATCATCGATATACCAATCTTCCCGAGGCAAGAGAGTTAACTGACTAAAAAAGTCCAGTTTCCACCCTTCCCGAACTAGGCTGGTGTTATGGAGTTACATTTTGGCTGGACTAACGAGTCTATGCATAGTCCAATCAAATTGGCGCAATGAAATCGAAATCCCTTTAGTAAAATGAAATGCAGATTTCGGTCGATTGCAGGATTTGCAAAACATGTGCACCGCCAACTGGTTGTCAACAGATATATATATTTTCCAATTCTTTTCATGTTTTTAATCAATGTACTCAAGTGATTTGATGCACGTCGTGATGTTAGACCCGTTTTATCACAATATAGATCTTGATTATCGATCCGATCGTCTTGACTGTGCGCCGCCATATTGTTTGAAACAAATGCAAGTGATACGAGAGGTGGAGTCTGATTGGTCCACAGGAGAGGCTTAGAAGGGACACACAATTGGTGCCCATGGGGATGCCTACCTCTTGCCTAAATGCTTTACCCCCAAATTTTACGTAGATGTTATCAATAAGGAAGTCCACCATTTCACACATTGTTTTCTCAGTAAACTTCAAATGGCATTTGCTTTAGTTTTCCCAAATTGTCCTAAACGTCTGAATATGGATAGGTAACTGTATCTGTGTTCATCACGTTTTGTAATAAAAAGCCCCATGGATCAAGGAATGAAGGTTTTCCTTAAGTTTGTCATGTGGGCTAGTGGTGTACAAAGTTGAAAAATCAAATGTTTTGACAGAATGGAACTTGGTTCTTTTCTGCGATTGCTATGAAAAAAACTATGAAAAAACAATTGCAGCGCCTTTGACGCCTGGGCAATCTGTGCCCCTGTACCATTGACAGGTTATAAAATATGTCTATGGCGGATAATCGATTTTGTTTTCTGGCGTTGACGGGGTATAATTATCCAGCCACAAATCACATCAGTAAGATGTCTCTGCCATGTTTCCGTTTAGCATCTTTAAGGGAAATAACATTATTTGTTTGAGAGTTCAGATTTTAGAATGAGATCGTATTTATTTCGATAGATATATGTAGACCACCTCTGAATCGATAACGACTGTGTCAAAATATTCCTCTGTACCCTGAAGGCAACAGACATTTTCTTTTTATAAAAACAGTGTGAGTGGCGGGTGCTACCGGGAGGGCAGGACATGTTTACCCTTTTCGAAACACCCGGTGTCTTCACTTATTTTCAGTTATCCATTCACATTCTTCTCCCCGCCATTTAGCCTTTAACGCCGAATTGAATTTTTCGTAATCGAGCTTGGTTATTCTCAAGCGTTGACAGTATTTTTTCATCTTGGTTTGTATTGTTTTCAGTCAATGGCAGTACATCCACCGTCGGTTCGGGCCGACATTACGGTTTACACCTACTTCTGGATGCGCAGTCAGAAGAATTCACAAGGAGTCGCGAGAATACTGAGGGTCCTGGGTTTATGGTACGTGTGTGCCATTATGTAAACTGAAGACAATATGACTCAGGAGAGAGTATTTCCTTGTAATATATATAATCAAGCTTGGTTACCCTTTATTGTAAGCGCTGGCATACATCGTGCTCGACTTTATTACCGTATGACCAAGCCATCAGGCAACAGACAGCAAGCCTACAATATGGTGCATATTGGGTAAATAACACAAATACAAAAGGACTTTTTTAAAAACATCAACATTAATGTATCTATGTGCATGTTACTAAACTTATACAATTTCGAATGCAAAGTTGTGCTTTTCTATCAATTTGAGTTTGATCCATTTTTAACTCAAGTTAACTCAGACAGCCGTGAATTTGACACATCCAGTTAGAGATATGTAGGTTGAAATAGTCCCTGTGTTAAATATAGTGAGAGTTACCTAAACCGGACTGGGAGTTCGACACAACCGTAGATTTGACACATTCGAGACACCTGGATTCGGATGGATCATAAGATTTTCGTCCAGAGGAGGGTAAACAACAAATGGGAAAGTCGTCATTTTGTACAGGCGTTGATGACGAATCTCAACCCAGCAACCTCCAACCATAACGGACGACAACTTTGTGATTCAGGAACAAAAAATGACAACAGTCAGTCTAGAAAAGTCATTTAAAGTAAAATATCATTACACAAGTATAGTAACTTCTTTACGGGAGGGGTGGTCGGGTAGCCTAGTGGTTAAAGCGTTCGCTCGTCACGCCGAAGACACGGGTTCGATTCCCGACATGGGTACAATATGTGAAGCCCATTTCTGGTGTCCCCCGCCGTGATATTGCTGGAATATTGCTAAAAGCGGCGTAAAACCATACTCACTCACTCACTCTTTACGGGATTTTTATGTCATCCATCTCATCTTAAGTGTCTGTCCTTCCGGTGGTCCAGGGTCCCGTTCAACAAACCGATCTTAGCGCTAAGGTGATCTTAACTCCAATACTTAAACATAGGCTTGCGGTCATCGTAGCGCTACGATCGTTTTGTGGAACGAGGCCAAGGTGCTTATGTCATTACAAGTTTATACCTTTAAGCTGACTATAGGGGCGCGCTGGTCGGGGTTCGAATCTCAGATTCGCGCCGATCATGAGATTTGCTTTGTCAGCGCCATGCACGTGCTCGTGGGTTCGAGCAAGGTATTCAATGTCTAAGATCTGCATCAAGTTGCATCCTGGCCTGATAGCAACATGGTAGGATTAGTTAATTCTTGTAGTTATCTTCATTTGCTACCATGCGAAAAAGGTACAATTTTGAAAGTATCAGAAAACTAAACGATATAACATTTCTCCCTACATTTGCAACAAAGGTCTTTAAAAAACAACAACAAAAACCGTTTTGTTGATTATTCGCTGCGTGTTTGTCAGATTGCCGTGCATTCCCCTGACGTCCCACTGCTGATGAATGACATAGGGATGGCGCTCACTCCAGGCTCACAGTACTTCTATGGCGTGGAGCTAGCGGTAAGATAATGTGTGAGCTATACGAATGACTTAGTGATTTGGTGTTGCGAGCATTGAGTTACTGAGTGCTTCATCAATCCAGCCAGCATTACTGCCATGTTTGTCCAGGGAATACCAAGACACAATTGCATAGTGAATCCATATTTAGAAACAGGGCAATCTCCTAAAAATCAGATCTATGTTCTCGCTGCCGCTAAACAAAGATCTGAGGACACCCCATTACGGGTCACGCCAGAACGACTTTTCGCGAACTTTGACCGACCACTGAAATGACATCAGCCAATTAGAAAGCAGCTTTCTCGAGCTTTGCGAGACTCGTTTTAACCTGGCGACTTCCATTTCAGACTACGCTTTGAAAATATGTTGACACAGTTCTCGATTAAAATTTTGAAAACTGAACAAACAATCATTCTGTAATGTCTATTATATGGTTGAGATTGTATGGTAGTGCTTCCCACTTACGTTCAAAAGTATATCCCACGGAGGCGAGAGATAGACGATGATTTTGACGGAATCAGTAGTACAGGCCACAAGTGTCACTCGGAATACCCTGTGTTAACGTTTTCGAGGTTGCGTGATTAGAAAACACATTCCGGCTGTCACTTTCATGATCTGGTAAGCGACACTTTGACTGGTTGGATGAAAGGTCGTTCTGACGATACCCGTAATGGGATGTCCTCAGATCTTTGTTTAGCGATAGCCAGAACTAAGATCTGATTTTAATGAGATTGGAAACAGGGTGATGGTTAAAGGCTTTAATCACAAGTTTACCCCACATGTAATATTTGTACATCAGGCTTACTCACACTGTACATGTCAAGTCAGGGAGTACCCATATATCCACCCTAATGTTGTCCTGGGTGTTAGCTTCAGGTTTGGTTTTCAAGTTCCTTGTCAACAGTTCACGCATCCACGTTCTCATTCCATTAACTAACTGATTTTTCATGTTTCAAGACGACAACGTCACCAAAAGGAATGGATCAGTGTGGGAGCAAGAGACTCAAGTACTACAACAAACCCTACTCCCGCGAGGCTTGCCGCATTGAATGCCTCACCGAGTATGCTCTGGAGCAGTGCTCATGCCGTGACATATATATGCCTGGGAATGGAAAACAATGTTCAGCGGTGAAAGGCCTTCAGTGTTTGGTCCCAGCAATGTATCGGTATCCATCAACTCTTAGAGAATGTGAGTCGTCCTGTCCACAAACCTGCTCCTACACCACGTTCAATGTCCGCTCATCATCCAGTCTGAGGATGACACAAGAATACCTCTCCACGCTAGCAAGCGCCACCAACAAGACACCGGATTACTGGAGAAGTAACTACGTGGCTGTAGACGTCTACTTGTCGTCAATGACGTATCAGAGCATTGAGAAGCGATATGGGTATTCCGTCCTTGAACTGTTCTGTGACATAGGGGGCGCTTTGAGTCTAGTTTTGGGAGCAAGTGTTGTTACTGGTGTGGAATTAATAGACTTCGCAGTACAAAGACTCTGTGCTTATTGGTGTTATAAAAGCAATACCAAACGAATAAATGTGAAATCTTTGCAATGAAGCTAACATTTTAGTCAGCTATCGCTCCCTGAATAATACAACACAGTGTGTGTGCGTGAGTGTGCGTGCGTGAGTGTGTGTGCGTGAGTGTGTGCGTGTGCGTGTGCGTGTGCGCGCGCGCGTGCGTGCGTGCGTGCATGCGTGTGTGTGTGTGTGTGTTTGACTGAGGTAGAATATTCCAGTCGTATGACGGGGGCTTATACATATTAGATAGTATGGACCAGACAATCCAGTGATACATATATACAAGGATAATTTGTGACACTGATCTCTATTTGTATATTTCATATGCTTTTTATCCAGAAACAAGCTTTATGCACTGCATAGTTTTGCCAGATGCTTGGGGTGGTTGGCAACTTTACTGGCAATTTACTACTGCACGACCAGGCTTTGGTACTCGAATAGTTATTTCGTCACTCTAAATGGGTCATTTGCACCATACATGCAGTTCTGCAAAACCAGACTTTGTTATTTGAATAGTTATTTCGTCACACAATTTCAATAAAGTTACAAATAGTATTTGTGTTTCTTTGTCAATCCTTTGCAGAGACAATGTTGAATAATAAATTATGTCGGACAAGTATACATACATCCCACTGGGTGTATTCCCTCTCTCGTGACGTCGATAACACTGACAGCCGTTGTCAGAAATGCACATGTTAAGTTTAGAAAATGGCGTTATGATGTATGAATACCATTTGGGGATAGTAAGTGGGCATGATTGACTAAACATATAACGTCACTGTATTCTAATGAGTTTGTTGGTCTGCACTCTTTATTTTTGCCAAACCGATATTAATACATCAGGTAAATCGCAATGTCGTAATACCGTTCAATTGTTTACCTACCTACCATTAGTTTTAAACATATTTTATGGACATAAGTGACAATGGGATTTGGCAAAATTGATCCAACTTAGAAACCTAACATTGTCTAACAATTGCATCAGGCCACACTTATTTTCCTTCTTTGTTATCCACGGTGACATGACGGCCCACACTAATTAATATCGCCCATGCTGACTAACCTGTCACGTAAACAGCAACATGGGTCCATCAATGGCTGCCGGAAGTTTTGAGCCTAAAGACATCCACCAGTCAAACCGAAAACCTGGACTCAACACCATGAACAAATTGTTGGGAGAAGGATTCTCAACAAAATAAAAAGGCGTAATCTCTCATTTCAGCTGTCACAAGTCACTCAAAACGATCTTGACAGATCAAACAATCCCATTCAAACAAGGCGCTTTAATCTTCTCTTTACTTTCTTGGTCATGGAAACAGGACTGAGACCAGATATCACAAGGCTATGGCACATAGTGTAAACGATGGTCTGGTAGCGTGAGTGAGTTTGGTTTAACGCTGCTTTTAACGTGTGAGGAAAGCCCCAAGTGATGCAGGTCTCAGACGTTTACCACTTTGGTGAAACCCACGGGCACGGGTATGATGCTGATAAACCTAGAAACATAATCGTGGCCACCCGGGAATGGAACCCAGAATAATAGGTTTCTCTCGTGCCCAAGAGACGCAGCTCGGCACAGCAAATCTCAACCCCTCAGGGGACTAGGCCATCCGTGCCCCCATGTCTGGTGACGACTCAGCGGATGTATGTATTCACGGTAATGGAGGAACGTGTGTGTACATAAAAATGTATTGATGATGAACCAGAAGGAACCGCTAATTATTGTATAACCATTTGCGTTTGGGATGAGAGCGTTTTGATTCACTGATTGTGAATGTTGTGTGTTTTGTGGTGGTAGGTTTTGTATCCAAACTTAGTAAAGTAACTGTTTGGATCGGTAGTTTGAAAGCCATATCTAGATAGTTATGCTCTATTGTTCCCGACAGATTAAACATCTGGAAATCAGATATCTTGGCAAAGTTCATGTTAAACAAATTGATACAGCTTATTCAATAAGCATCTGAGAAGAAACCCAAGAATAAACGGTAGTTTTACAAATGTGTCCTACACAACTCACTCCCAGCTTTGTCAGGCCAATCACGAAATGGAGGCCCACATCAAACAGAAGCGTAATCCGTTCATTTGATGTTCACGATCACTAATGGCACGGCTAAATGATTAAGTAGCAGTCAGAGCAAACGTTGTTTAGCATAAAAGACACAACTAATAGTGGTGGTCATAGTACAGATTTGTGTGTTAATTATTGATGCCAATAATGTGATGTTGGTTCATTAAGCAATAGTGCCCTAGGTTTTATGGTATCAGTGTTTGTATATCTCACAGGCACTACTGATTTCGCACTTACTACTAGTATTTCGTCTGTGGATGCAGGGGTAAAAGGTAGTGAGCGCTTAAACTTTTTTCTAAATAAACCAGTAAATGAGTAGTATGGAAACTGACGAAATGTTTGTATTACTGAATAAATGTGATATGAATAAATACTCTTTATAACCTGTCCCTTCTTTGCTATGGCGCTTGGCCTTGCGTTCAGCAATAAATGTGTATTTAATGACAAATCAGTGGAAACAAACATAGTTAGGAAAATGTTGAAATGTTTATATTATTTAATAGATGAATAACTATTTTGTGAATAAATACTCTTTATAACCTATTCCTTCGTTACTAGACGTAATTGGCTTTGGCGCGTGGCCGGTGTCGTGACTTGAACATAACGTGTATGCCAGTGCAACCGCAAATTTATTATAGAATGTATTTATGTATTTACCATTATATGTTAAGATTTAAGTTATTGTTGTTTTTGTAGAAATAATAATGTACATCTATGAAATATTAAAGTATTAGAGTTATTAAATTTGTTAAATGTAAAGTACTTTTGTGCAACTATACTATACTTCAGCATCTAATAAATTACTACTGTGATTACGGTATACGCATTTCTGTGTTTTTCTTGTAATTTGAGAGTCCCGGTATAGCAATATCCCGTGTTTACTGTAGCGTGACCAGTCTTACTGTAGCTTCACGAAAGCGAAGAGATTTTAGAGTTGATTATGGCTAGGTTTCGCTCTTCCGGCCCAGAACCAATTATGTTTAGCAATAAATGTGTACTAAGCGATTTTCAAAGCTAATTGATCATTTACAAATAGACAATTAGTTGTTGGATTCCAATACCTTGGTTTTACCCCTATTGTCATATACCATGAAATGTGCTATTCTCTTGGGATGTCATAAAACAATTTTCACTTCTGTGTTCAAACACTATCAATAATTTTTTAATTTGAAGTTAACACGATATACGGCTTTTCGATCGGACGAGCGGTCGATCACCTGACCGCGAAATTGACGTTCATAAGTGTATGAACGACAAAATTTGACGTTCATACGTTTTTCACGAGACCGTAGTCTTGAAATGACGTAAACACTGACGGACTACTTCCACATTCCTCGGGAAACCCCTTGGAATTCCCTAGCACGAACACGTACAGAAGCGTTCTTTCTGATCTTTAAGACCCTTTAATCTTGGTCTCAGCGCTTCAGTATACATTGAAAAACGACAGAGTTTGACTGCACGGTCGTTCACGACTATACTCGCTACGACCCATCCTAGTGAACAAAACGAAGAAATGCACATCTAAACTATAGTAGTATCGGCTCGATCCGTGTCTTGGCTGGCAGTGACTGTCTACAGCAATCTATGACTTAACCTTAGTGTCTATTCGACACATCTTTAATCACCTTTCAATGATCGGCCAATCGATCAAAAATGACTAAAACTTTCAATTTGTATTTAGGGGTGGGGCTAGGGCAGAAACTGCCCTGTTTACATTAATGGAAAGCATAGGTTATTATAACGAAAGACAGTCTCCAGTTTATTGTGCTTTTCTCGACAACGGGAAAGCTTTTGACAGAGTCTGGCTTAATGGTATTTTTTTCAAATTGTATTACTTTGGTATTAATGGTAAATTATGGCGACTTTTACGCACAATATATACCTCAATGCAGTCATGTGTAAGCATTGGAGGTTTCACCTCAAATGTGTTTCATGTTAAGCAAGGTGTTGGTCAAGGTCGCGTTTTATCGGCATGGCCTTTTACTCTGTATATAAATGACTTGTTGTAATCACTTGATGATTCAGGGCGTGGCTTGTGTCTTCCATTGGGTAATACATCCGGCATCCTTTTAGCAGACGATACTACGTTGTTGAGCAGCTCCCCTGACGGACTGCAATGTCTACTGAATGAGACAGTGTGTGTGTATATATACACACACGCATATTCCTAATAGATGGCATTTGAAATATAATGCCAGTAATAGAGCATTTCTACTGTTCGGGAATATTCGCAAATCTGTCTGTCAATGTGTCTACTTTGGTTCACAACTACTTCCTAAAACGGAGAATGGAACTTATGCTGGATTGCTTTTAAGTACATCAAAGAAAACCTTAGAACGTACCCATTTAATATGTGAAAAACTCAGAATGTTACACAATATCAATTATGATCATGGGCTATATTGTGGTGGTTTAAATCCTATCCCAACTGTTCGTATATGGGAAGGGGTAATATTACCATGTGGATTATTTGCTTGTAGATTGTCTAGACGCACTCCTTCCGTCGTCACCAGAGAGTGTCTTGATCAACGAGCTCTCTTATTACTTGGAAGACTATGTAATGGTGACATTAAATTTGCATTTAAAAGACTAATACAGCACAGACTTGTTCAGTATCAACTCGATACAACTAAAGAAAAAGATGATAAATGTAAAATGTCACCCGTATACCACATGCTTTCACTAGTAAACAGGTATGAACTCAATAATGATATAAACACCCATATCACCTCTTCTCAATTCCGAGTCGAGTTAAAGAACAAATAAGTGTATGTGACCGTACGTAATTTATGAAGAGCTTCATTCAAGAGAAAACCTAAAACGATACTCTCTTATACGTTCACCTGGGGAAGACAGACTATGGTTACTAACAACTGAAAGGCCGGAACACTTCTATGATTTAGCATATTTATTATGTCTTAGCACCTACAGTATACAATCTGATGAATGTTTATGCGGCACATTTGCTTTTGATATTATCAAACATGTATTTATGTATTGTAAAAAGACCCAACAACAACGAAGTATTCTGGTTGAGTCTCTCATTGATTTACTAGATGTGACAACTTTTTCTAGTATCTGGAACGATGATGACGATACCTTTCGATCCTGTTTACGTGGCGGCTTGCCAACAGAAAGTACTATGGCTATTGAATACAATCTATAGACAAATATAATGCTTCTTGTATGTAAAACTGTTAAAGTGTGGAAAAACCTACTAAGAAACTTCATATCATAATGATATGAAACTGCCTGTGCATACAATATATCACCCGTTGTTTATATACATTAGTAGAATACCGCAATATCTCATATCAATGTATCTTCATCACTTGGAAGAAATAAAGATGATCTATTCTACATGTAAGCGGCCCCCACTGTCATAATGCTAATGCTGGGATATATATGCCGAACACGTACATGCTATTAATTATATTGTCCTAATCAATAAATGAGGGATAATGGGAAATGTGAACTGGCATTTATTCCATTGTCAGTGACTTAGAGTTTATTTGTATGGATAGCTATGATTACATTATTAGGTTTGCTTGGTAAACACATGTCAACAAGCATGTGCCCACATACCGCGGTTGGAGAGTCGTCTTTCCAGTATAGTGTTCTTCAGTTTGACAGGCGTCAGACTGTGAACTTAGGGTGCACGTAACAAGTAAACACATGTCAACAAGCACGCCCCCACATACCGCGGTTGGATAGTCGTCTTTCCAGCATAGTGTTCTTCAGTTTGACAGACGTCAGACTGTGAACATAAGGTGCACGTCACAAGTGGACACTGATATGGAATAATCGTATGAAAATAGTTCTTCCAGAAATACAAAAAAACATTTGAATGGATTACAATTGTTCATCTCAGGTGATAGGTTGGACATGGATACATATCATTCGTCTTCATGACACATCATTCAATTGTAATGTGCAGTCACATTCCTAACCACTCGCCTCTTTCCGTAACCTGAAAGAAGACTCGTCCCCCTGTCGATGAATGTTATGTGCGAATATACGACAAACCAATCAGAATGCGCGTATGATTTCAAGTTCTTCGTCAAAGAATCCCTCAGAAATAATTTTTGATTTTACATCTAAAAATATACCCAAGATACAGTTAAATGTGTTCAATCATACTGTATAATTCCGCACGTCCCGATGTGCTTTAAATTGCATCTGAAATATATGTAATATATGGGGAAATATATGTGAGCCATTTCGCAACGAATTGACAATTGTTTTAGGTATGCCCGTTTGCGCTAAGACGGAACCCGGTCGCAAAAATGGCCATGGGAGGGGCACGAGTCGCTATTCGGCTTGACCCGGAATAACACGAGTTGGTCACGAATGGTGTAGCCACTGACGAAATTGTTCTTCTTGGAGACGTATAAATGTAAACGTCACTTTTTTGTGTCAGTAAAAGCTGCCGTGGTTTGCAAAGTGGGATACTCTCTGAGATTAATAATGTTATATAATAATTAGCTGTTCCTTCTGGTTCATCATCGATATATTTTTATGTACACACATGTTCCTCCATTACCGTGAATACATACATCCGCTTAGTCGTCACCAGACATGGGGGCACGGATTCCCTAGTCCTCTGAGGGGTTGAGATTTGCTGTGCCGAGCTGCGTCTCTTGGGCACGACAGAAACCTATGATTGTGGGTTCCATTCCCGGGTTGCCCCGATTATGTGCCTTGGTTTATCAGCATCATACCCGTGCTCGTGGGTTTCACCAAAGCGGTAAACGTCTGAGACCTGCATCACTTGGGGCATTCCTCCCACGTTAAAAGCGGGGTTAAACCAAACTCACTGACTCTACCAGACCATCCTTTACACTATGTGCCATAGCTTTGTGGTATCTGGTCTCAGACCACAGATACCTGCCCATAGTGTTTCCATGACCAAGAGTGAGTGAGTATGGTTTTACGCCGCTATAGCAATATTCCAGCAATATCACGGCGGGGGACACCAGAAATGGGCTTCACACATTCTACCCATGTCGGGAATCGAACCCGGGTCCTCGGCGTGACGAGCGAACGCTTTACCGACTGGGCTACCCGACCGCCCCCTCCATGACCAAGAAAGTAAATAGAGGATTATAGATTATATGTAAATGGGGTTGTTTGATCTGTCCAGATTGTTTTGAGTGATTTGTGACAGCTGAAACGAAAGATTACATAATTTATTTTGTTGAGAATCCTCCTCCCAACAATTTGTTCATGAAATTCAGTCCAGGTTGCTGGTTTGTCCCCAAGTTGAAACCGATTGGTGTCTTTCGGCTCCATACCTCTGATGGCCACTGTTGACAATGGTTACTGCGGATTCTAGATGGACCCATGTTGCTGTTTACGTGTCAGGTTGTGGGCTGTCATGTCACCGTGGATAACAAAGAAGGAAAATAAGTGTGGCCTGAGGCCATCTGCTCTTTACACTGCTCCAAAGTTCGGCAATGTTTCTAAGTTGGATCAATTTTGCCCAATCCCAAGTGTTTATAGCGGTTTAGAAAAAATAAACGGTAGCGCAACCGACTACTAGTATACAGTTACGTTATATGTTTAGTCAGTCATGCCCATTTACTATCACCAAATGGTATTCATACATCATAATGCCATTTTCTTAACTTTACATGAACATTTCTGACAACGGCTGTCAGTGTTGTCGACGTCACCACAGAGAGAGGGAACACACCCAGTGGGATGTATGTATACATGTTCGACAGAGTGTTTATTATCCAACATTGTCTCTGCAAAGGATTGACAAAGAAACAAAATAATGAATAAATAACTTTATTGAAATAGTGTGAAGGAATAACTATAGAAACAATAAAGACTGGTTGTGCACGGGTAAATTGCACGTGGGACGGAATCACTATTCCAGTACCCAAACCTTGTTGTGCAGAACTATTGAGTGCATGAAGCTAAACCGGTCGTTTCTGGATAAAACCATTTGATCAGTGTCACACATTTTCTTTGATTGTCTGGTCCATGCTCGATAACACACACACGCACGCACGCACGCACGCACGCACGCACGCACGCACGCACGCACGCACGCACGCACACACACAGACGCACGCACGCACGCACGCACGCACGCACACAATCTGTGTTGTATTATTCAAAGAGAGATAGTTTGCTAAAATGCCAGCTTCATTGCGATGGTTTCACATTTATTCGTTTGGTATTGCTTTTATAACACCAATAAGCACAGAGTCTATGTACTGCGAAGTCTATTAATTCCACACCAGTAACAACACTTGCTCCCAAAACTAGACTCAAAGCGCCCCCTATGTCACAGAACAGTTCAAGGACGGAATACCCATATCGCTTCTCAATGCTCTGATACGTCATTGACGACAAGTAGACGTCTACAGCCACGTAGTTACTTCTCCAGTAATCCGGTGTCTTGTTGGTGGCGCTTGCAAGCGTGGAGAGGTATTCTTGTGTCATCCTTAGACTGGATGATGAGCGGACATTGAACGTGGTGTAGGAGCAGGTTTGTGGACAGGACGACTCACATTCTCTAAGAGTTGATGGATACCGATACATTGCTGGGACCAAACACTGAAGGCCTTTCAGCGCTGAACATTGTTTTCCATTTCCAGGCATATATATGTCACGGCATGAGCACTGCTCCAGAGCATACTCGGTGAGGCATTCAATGCGGCAAGCCTCGCGGGAGTAGGGTTTGTTGTAGTACTTGAGTCTCTTGCTCCCACACTGATCCATTCCTTTTGGTGACGTTGTCGTCTTGAAACATGAAATCAGTTAGTTAATGGAATGAGAACGTGGATGCGTGAACTGTTCAGAAGGAACTTAAAAACCTGAAGGTAACACCCAGGACAATATTTGGGTACGAGTGTACCCTTTTATATACCCATGCCACTGTTTCTAAATATGGCTATATGGGTACCCCGTGACTTGACATGTACGAGTGTGAGTCAGCCTGATGTACAAATAATACATGTATCGTAACCTTGTGATTAATGTCTTTACCCATCACCCTGTTTCTAAATATGGATTCACTATGCAATTGTCTCTTGGCATTCCCTGGAGAAATGCTGGCTGGATTGATGAAGCAATAACTCAATGCTTGCAACACCATATCACTTAGTCATTCGAATAACTCACACATAATCTTACCGCTAGCTCCACGCCATAGAAGTACTGTGAGCCTGGAGAGAGCGCCATCCCTATGTCATTCATCAGCAGTGGGACGTCAGGGGAATGCACGGCAATCTGACAAATACGGGGTGAAAAATTAACAGGTTTTTTAAAAAAAGAGAAGACTTTTGTTGCAAATGTAGGCAGAAATGTTACATCATTTAGTTTTCTGATACTTTCAAAATTGTACCTTTTCGCATGGTGAATGAAGATAAATACAATAATTAACTGACGTTGCTACCTGGCCAGGACGCCACTGCGCTAATTTTTGTCATGCAAAGGAAAAGTGATGCAGATCTTAGACATTGAATACCTTGCTGAACCCACGAGCATGTGCATGGCGTTGCCTTAGCAAATCTCATGATCGGCGCGAATCTGAGATTTGAACCCCGACCAGCGCGCCCCTGTAGTCAGCTTAAAGGTATAAATTTGTAATGACACCACAAAACGATCGTAGCGCTACGATGACCGCAAGCCCATGTTAAAGTATTGGAGTTAAGATCACCTTAGCGCTAAGATCGGTTTGTGGAACGGGACCCGGGACCACTGTGTGGCCAGATAGAGGACATAAAATCCCTTTTATATCATTTTCCAAATGATTGCATTTTTGCATATTTGGTTTTAAAAAAGTTATTGTATTTGTATAACGATATTTTACTTATAATGACTTTTCTAGACTGACTGTTGTCAAGCCTTGTTACAGAATCACAAAGGAGTCATTATTGGAGGTTGCTGGGATTCGTCATCCACGCATGTACAAAATGACGTCCCTCCCATTTGTTGATTACCCTCCTCTGGACGAAGATCTTATGAAACATGACCGTATCTTTTGTCCACCCGAATCCCAATGTATCGTATGTGCCAAATCTACGGTTGTGTCGAACTCCCAGTCCGGTTCAGGTAACTCTTACTATATTTACCACAGGGACTATTTCAACCTACATACGTCTAACTGGATGTGTCGAATTCGCGGCTGTCTGGAACTCAACTGATAATTACAACTAGAGTTAAATACAACTTACAAATAGGTCAAACTCGAATTCTTAGAAAAGCACAAATTTCCCCTTAGAATAAGTTTAGTCAAATGCCTTTAGAAACATAAATGTTGATATGACAAATATTTCTTATTTCTTTATTTTTATATTTATGTTATTTACCCAACATGCACCATAATGTAGGCTTGCTTTCTGTTGCCTGATGGCTTGGTGATACGGTAATAAAGTCGAGCAGGATTAATGCCAGCGCTTACAATCAAGGGTAACCAATCTTGATTATATAAATTACAGGGGTATACTCTCTCCTGGGTCATATTGTCTTCAATTTACATAATGGCACACACGTACCATAAACCCAGGACCCTCAGTATTCTCGCGACTCCTTGTGAATTCTTCTGATTGCGCATCCAGAAGTAGGTGTAAACCATAATGTCGACCGGAACCGACGGTGGGTGTACTGCCATTGACTAAAAACAGATCACAAAGGAATATTTTGACACTTGGGATCGTATTCATCCTTATCGATTAAGAGGTGGTCTACATAAATCTATCGAAATAAATACGATCTCATTCTAAAATCTGAACTCTCAAACAGATAATGTTATTTCCCTTAAAGATGCTAAACGGAAGCATGGCAGAGACATCTTACTGATGTGATTTGTGGCTGGATAATTATACCCCGTCAACGCCAGAAAACAAAATCGATTATCCGCCGAACATTTCCATAGACTTATTTTATAAACTGTCAAGGATACAGGGGTATGGATTGCCCAGTCGTCAAAGGCACAGCAATTGTTTTTTAATAGTTACATCCCCATAATCATGTGTTGTATTTGGCTCTCCCTCAATTTTAAATGTTTTGTTATTTGTTGCATTTCCTATTATTTTTACAAAACAGAAACAAACAGTGACTTCCATGCTACAAAAAAGTGTATGGCTCTCCCTTATCATGTTTCTAGATTTGACAACAACACACCTGTACTCACGGATTTCACCAAACATCTAAAACCTGCATCACTTGGGACTTTCCTGCGACATCAAGCCCCCGACGTCTGGATATTAGTGAAGTACTATTCATGGCAAATATCGTTCCTTATTCAAACGTTGCAGTCAAAACTAAGTGATAGAAGCTTTAACATCAGCCTCATGGTAAGGTTGTGCGAACCTTAATTATAGGTCTGCGTATATAGACCTATATAACTATAGGTCGACAGTTTGGGTTGTTGCCATGGGACTCGGATGCATTTCTGGTAATAAGACAATTGCTACATATTTTCATAATGGATTTTTTTTTTATGTGAAAACAGTGTATACCATTGAAAGAGAAACACACTCCGATCTCCGTTTTCGTCTCGGTCAAGTGGGTTGCATCACATTCTTGCTGCATCCAGTCACACTGAAAAACATTTCATACAGAAATCCTCGAGAAATCAAGACGTGTAACCACAAGGAAAGCATTATGACGTTTGGTTACAAACTATTTATTTCTGTCACCACTGCTAATAAACTATTTGGGCATATATCTGATCAAACTATTTCATTAACTTTCTTCCCGAAACATCTTCGACTTGAACCGTATCTTCCCGTGTTTTATTTTCAAATGACCTGCCTTTGCATGTGTTTGTGACGGGTGCCATCGGGGGCAGGATACGCTCAAATTTTCGTTAACACTATTTGATAGTGATTCATAAACACATGTTCATGATAAAGTCGGAATCCTGCAATAGGCTCTGCTTTTGGCAAACATTTCTTATGATCATAGTTTTAACGGATTTATTTTCAGAGAAAAAGAATGTACACTCTTGAAAAAAGACACGCACAGATAGTATGTTGTTCATTGAAGAAAAAGATCAACAGATCGGTATATAAATTGGATATATGTTATTGGAAAATGGAAAACGCAGCCATTGTCGATTTGGCATTGTTTTCACACTTGTTTTCAAATATGTCATGGAGGACAACAGTAAAGCAAAATGCACGCGCAAGTTATCGCAATCGTATCTCGTGGTAGTGGCTATTAAAAGGCATGCATAGGCCAATAATTTGTCATTCAACTTGGTCGTGGTTCAGGGATATTTGACAGCAAATCGCTACATGAATCAAAATCTTCAACATCACCTTCTTCCAATCATTGACCACCATAGGGAGCTGTTTCAACAGGACAATGCTCCACCGCCCACAGCTCGTGCCTGGGTAGACTACCTTCATAATGCCTACATCAACGATTTACCCTGGCCGTCGAGATCTCCAGATCTCAACGCAATCGAACACCTCTAGGATGAACTCGATCGACGTGTACGAAAAAACGTCCGACACGCCGCAGACACTCCCACAACTGGCCAACGCATTACAAGCAGAATGGCGCAGAATTCCGCAGGACACTATTCGTACACATATCCAGTCAGTGCCGAGGAGATGCAGAGCCGTAATTGCTGCCCAGGGCGCTACCTTGTGCCTTATGTGACATGGCAATTAACAGTTTTCAATTCACTGTACGACAGCATGTGACCATCGAGCTCCGAAATTTCATATTTGTGTCTATGATTTTAAATTAAATATATCGGCTTTATTAGGTACCAAAAAATTACTAAAAATCTACCTGTGCGTTTCTTTTTATGAAGAGTGTATGTCAGCGCTACCTTGTGGCCTTATGTGACATGACAATGAACAGTTTTCAATTCGCTGTACAACGACAACATGTGACTATCGAGCTCCAAAATTTCATATTTGTATCTATAATATTAAATTAAATATATCGACTTTATTATGTACCAAAACATTACTAAAAATCTACCTGTGCGTTTCTTTTTATGAAGAGTGTATGTCTTCAGGCCTTGAACGGCTGACTGAAAGACATTCTGCATTATTAAGTCCCTAGGGGCTTTCGGGGGCAAAGTTTCTAAGTTCTTATATATACCGAAACTCATGTGGACCGATAACAAAAGGATTGCTTACCTGTATAACAGAATCATTGACGTCAAGACCATACTTAAACATGGCGGTTTCAATAGAATAATCATCCACAGCAGAAAAGTCGTAATTGGTGTCATCAAATTTTACTCTTTCTTGGAAATCATATATAAATGCTTCTTTAAGCGCCCCCGTTAGATTGAGTTTATCAATTTCTGATTTCTTAAACATGTTGGTGTTGCACACAGTCACCGTAGGGAACTGCAGTGTCTGCGCCAACTTGACGTCGATATCGACGTTGACAGGCACGGACAGATAAAGCTGGACCTGTTTGGCGATGTTGAAGGCGCTGAAGGTGAGCCCGCCACACACAACCAGGAACCAGAAGGAACGCCGCAATCTACCGGATGTGACGTCAGCGATCTGTTTGACTCCCTGCATGGTCAGCTGGTCTGCTAATCTTGGCGGAGGATGAACACGATTCCCGTCCTTGTTTACAATCATTTTCGGTTTTAGAGAGTGTCACAGATTGCCAACGATGGCCAATCTATAAAATCAAAAGTCTTAAATGTCACATATCCATGGCTCTCACCTGGCAAGCAGAATAACCTGTATCGAACAGGTGTTGGTGTGTCGCTGATCACAAATTACACATCAACGTCTACAGTGCCGACTGTTTGAGTAAGATATTTGAATCTGGTATACTAGAAGAACTATTTCTGTAAGAAGAACGCCATACCAATGTCGACTGTTTCAGCCATGACGTCCGTCCAGCTTACAGTGAGATGCCTGTCCTTGTGTGCCGTATACAGTGTAATGCCATACACCCACGGAAGTTACTAGTAATTGATTAAGTGTGAACATATTCAAAAGGCATTAGTTTTATTATGGAAAGACCTTTATCGCTTTTATTTACAGACAGAAGTATAAACAACAGCTCCAATTATATTTCCCATTACCGCTGTGAATCAAATTGATCTGTGCGAGACGAAGGGTGCAATACTGAATTACAATTGAAGATCACACAAATGTACTACAGGTCATAGCGTATTCAGTACTCAATGTATGTTTGGGTGACTTGTTTAACTGAATCAAGAAGCGTTTATGGGCGTTTCGAAGCCTAGTTCAGCTAATCTATACATCCATTGATTTCATTCTTCACGATCACTAATGGCACGACTAAATGATTATAAACAACAATCTGAACAGACGCTGTGTAACATAAATACACTACTAATGATTGTCACAGTTTTTATTTGCTTGATAATTATTGACGTCAATAATTTGATGTTAGGTCATTAAGAAATAGTGCTCTTAAGGAATTATATTATCAGTATTTGCATATCTCATAGTCACTACTAATTTCGCACTTACTATTTCCTCTGTTGAATCAAGAGTGAGTTGGGGTTAACGCCGCTTTTAACAGTATTCAAGTTATATCACGGCGTGTCAGCTAAATGTGGAAGGAAAGTCCGAAGTGATGCAGGTCTCAGACGTTTACCGCTTCGTTGAAACCCACGAGCACGGGTATGGTGCTGACAAACCTAGAAACATAATCGGGGCGAACCGGGATTCGAACCCACAATCATAGGTTGCTGGCGTGCCCAAGGAACGCAACTCTGCACTGCGAATCGCGGCGCCTTAGACGACTGGGCCACCCGTGCCCCCTCCTCTGTTGACACAGGGTTTAAAAGTAGTGAGTGTTTAAACCGTCTCCCGAATTAAGATATAATGACAAACCAGTGAAAACAAACACAGTACGGAAAATGATGAAATGTTTGTATTATTGAATAAATGAATAAATATTTGTGAAAAATACTTCCCTAACAATCTACCCCTTCGTTGCTATAGAGACGTCAATGGCTATGGCGGGGGCCTTGTGTTTGGCATTAAATGTGTATTTAGCTATTCCAAAGTTGATTTATCAATTACAAACAAACACTTCTTCTTTGGATCCCAATACTCCAATGTACCTGCCTCATAATGTTATCTCCTCTCATGGCTGCGTGACATGATATTAGTTTCTACATTTTCTTTATAATCTGAACAGTCCACAGTATTTTCTCAAGCATTGAACAATTTCAGAAATGTCTTGAACACACGTCTACTTTTGCTTTGTTTTGTATACAAGCGTGTCTAGCCATGTATTTACACGTCACGTATATTCTTCAACACGTTCAGTGTTTATATGGAGAAGTAGTATCACATGCAGTATACAGTATTTCAAGAGATATATACAGTATACCACATGCGGTAATATACAATGTACCGCGAGCAGTGTGCGCTGGGCAGTAGCGCACATTTCCTCCCCCTCTCCCTCAAGCAAACCCCTCGTGGGGGAGTGACCAGGTCACAGGTCAGGCGTGCACTGGACAGCTGTTTCACCGGGGGCTAGTGAGGGATGCGGGAGGCCGGCCATACATACTCTTGGAGTTGTGGGACTGCAACTTCATGCTGTTGTCTTATAAGGCCAAGAGTAAGATCACCAGGACGACCACTGCACGTGAGGCATGTGGGTTGTGGACGAGATACTACATAGCATAGCTGTATTACCTTATAAAGAATAGTAATGAATGTTAGAAAGAGATATATCCATCAAGACCGGCGCGAGCTGGCAGTTGAGATCTGGGAGCTGAACACGAAACAGCTAGTGAAGCTCCCATGCACAATAAAACGTTGTGGACCCGCAGACGGAGTTGTGTTGTATATTGAAGAAGTATCCCCTAGAACAACATACATTTTCTACGGCGGATAGTAGTTAAACTCCGACCCAGCCCCATACATCCATGGGTTTTTTTACATCACCTGGTTGACATATCAGAAGAAGCGCCAGAGTAAACTCCATTATGTAAACTGTATAAAGTTATCTCAACCGTGCACAACAAAGTGCCGGATTTATCGACACATTAGGCATAATGTCCGTCATTAGCCATAGAAATCATGAAGTTTTCGAACATTTGCGAGTTCCGTTCAAATGACTCAGTGGTCATCTCTAAACTGGAAGCGGCTGTCATTCCACCACTGGCAACTGTTCAATGTCGGTCCGATCTTCTCTGTCAGAACCATATCTGTAGCTCAATGTTTCTTACAATTTCAATGACGTCCAACAAATCCTTTTCTTCCTGCATGAGCTTCATATTGTTATTTCTTTCCGTAATTCACATTAACTTTCACTTCATCCACATTTCCGACTGTAAATCTTGCACTGAACGCGTCCTTGTTTGTGACATGGATGTCAGAGATGTATCGATATGCATTTTGTAATGAATACTAGAGCTCTCTTATGTTCTATTGCATCAGAAATACAATTTATGAATCCTTAATGTAGGCGTATATATTAAGCTTTTGGTGACATTCCCTCAATAGTTGAGAATATTGCCATTGTTTACGCATTCGCAAGCATTTAAAATGAAAAAGACAAAAGAGTCAGAAAGAAATTCTGAATCTATTAATAATTATGGTCCAAGTTTGCGAGAACATAGTAGCCAAGAAAGATATTTCCACGTTATAAATTAACAAATCATAGGGATAGAACAGGGATTAACCATGACTTTAACAATAACATATATCGCCTGCTGTTTAGCGGACCTGTTGTTGGAGGTGTTTACATGCCAGCTACCAAGTTGTTGTTTATTCCGTAATAGTGCCTCACAGAGCTTACGCTATTCCTTAGTACTCATAAAGTATATTTACCAACACTCTTAAATAAAGACGGATTTGAGCTGGAGAATAGCAGGGTTTTGGGTTTTGCTGGTTTGGTCGGACAAACACAGTGGAGGCCACGGAGGAACGAGGTATAGTTAAAGTAAAAATATATAAAATATATGAAGCATGTACGTATTCCCCACTGTGATAATGTTGGTGTATATTTGAACCAGGGTAAATTTCTTGGCAGTACATCTTCAGATATGAAAAAACATAGAGTGGAGGGTATGTAAAGATGCCTGCAAATGGTGACGGTGACATTTTGATGCTGCAAATGTGCACGCCTCAGACACTATTCAAAATTCACACAAAATTCAAAATAGTTTGCTTCATTCGTTTAATTGGCAGAACTTTGTTGTGATTTGTGATATCCAAACAGCCATGGCGTACTGAGCACACCCATGTCATTTATTAAATATATTGTCGTTATCAATATGTGAGAGGTAATTGGAAATGTAATCTGTTATTTCTACGTTTTTCTGTGACTAATGATTTGTTTGTATGAATAGTTTAATTGCAATATTAGGATAATGGCGGGGTTTGGTATAGGCATGTCAGCGGGTGTGAGAACATATGTGGCCAATGAAGCCTTGGGAATATACACATCTATGTCCCAGTTAGGACCCCAACAACAAACATGCTGTCATATACTGGAGTAGGAGAACCAGTATTCCTGTATGGGACCTCAGTGTTCATAACTTGATGGACGACGTACCAAAAGTGGACAAAGACATATACTGGACAACAAAAGTTCCTGTGACATTGAATAAGATTTAATGCAAAGTTATGTGTTTTACCAAATCTGAAACAATTTCGTTTTGCAACAGATAAAAGACTCCTGTAAGCGTTCAAATGGTTTAATTTGCTATACTGACTTCAGAAAATGCGTGATTTCATTTTAAAAAAAACCATAAACATGCCAAAATGTCAATTTACAAATCAATAGCGTGTGTGTCCACCTCTGGTTGCGATGCAAGCAACACATCTTCATCTCATGGAATGGACAAGGCGTCGCACAAAGTCCTGTGGGATATCTGTCCATATCTACTGGAGCATGTTTCGAAATTCCTGGAGTGTCTGTGGAACACGTGGTTGACGTCGAAGGCGCCGATCAATCTCATCCCACATGTGCTCGATTGGTGAGAGATCAGGGGAGCGAGCCGGCCAGGGGATGACATTCACGTTGTTTTGTTGAAAAAAATCCTGAACAAGTCGAGCAATATAAGGCCGGGCGTTGTCATGTTTAAAGGTTATGCCTGGGCTATGACGAAGCAAAAAGGGTAGAACAACAGGGCCAATGATCTCGTCGCTTTTAACTTTTGTGTCCATTGAGATTTCCCTCTACCACTATCAAACGGGTCCTCTCTCTTGCTGTAATCCCACCCCATACCATAACGCTGCCGCCCACAAACCGATCTTCTTCCATGACACAATGATTGACGTAACGTTCCCCTCGACGTCGGTACACTCGAATCCGTCCATCGCTGTGGCTGAGGTGAAAACGAGACTCTTCAGTGAATAGAACTTGTCCCCACTGCATGGCCGTCCAGCGTAGACGCTGTCTGCACCATTGTAGACGTGCTTGACGGTGGTTTCCTTTCAAAATGGGACGTCTGGCGGGTCTTCTGGCGACAATCCCTGCACATCTGAGGCGGCGACGTACGGTTTGTGAAGATATTCGTCGAAGGCCAGGGATGCTTCTTGTAGTCGCTGTTGCTGGCTGGAATTGATTTCGTTGGTGTGTTTCTCGAATCCAGTTGTCTTGTCGATTATTGGTTCCGCGTGGCCTGCCACCCCGAGGATGGTCTCTGACAGCATTCGTCTGTTGCCAACGTTGCCATAAACACCAAATGGTGTTTCTGTGGACATTAAATTGTCTTGCAACATCACATTGACTCGATCCTGCTTCAAGCATACCAGGGGGGCACGGGTGGCTGTGCAGAGTTGCGTCCGTTGGGCACGCCAGAAACCTATGATTGTGGGTTCGAATCCCGGTTCGCCCCGATTATGTTTCTAGGTTTGTCAGCACCATACCCGTGCTCGTGGGTTTCACCGAAGTGGTAAACGTCTAAGACCTGC